TTTGGATAACATAGAGCATACCTACAGTTGCACATATAATTTCCAAAGCAACAAATTTCCTCTTATTTTTTTCTTCTGAAAAGGACTTTCAAAATACAATAGCATAACAAAAAGTATCACAATCAAATGATGTTAGAGGAAAACAAACCTGACAAATATTCATACAGTCTGTAACATTCAAAGCTTTTCAAACGCAGAATTTTGCTAGGCTTTCTATCTTCGTCTTTTTATCTGAAAAGACTTTTGAGAATGCAATAGCATAAGATACATTATTATTTTCAACTGCATAAGAGGGCAATCCTACCACGTATTCATTCAAGCTATAATGTTCACACACAAAATTTGGTTGGACCTTTTATTTTTTACAACATGAGCAACATTTTTTTGTTTTAATGCCCCCCTTCAGTAATGGCATGGAGTCCACTTCAGGAGCACATGCCATCCTCCACGAAATCTACAAAGATATCCAAAAAGATCTAAAAACATGAGTAAAAAACCATTGAGAGAAAAGGAAAAGGAGCCAAGGGGCAGGTCTGATCAAGGGGTTCGAGAGACTGGAATCCCCCTAAGGCCCATTCACATTTATACATAGAGTTCACAGTAAGAGAGCTGCACATGCCCTGAAAGCAGTGGAGCTCTATTTCATTTGCTAACAGCATTTCATTTTTGCCCTCAAGGTGGTGTTATAATTTCCCCCCACTTGTTCTCTCTCACTCTCTCTCTCTCTAATTGTTTCTCAATATCTTTCTATCTCTTCCTCCCGCCTTTCGTCTCTTTGTTTTTCTCTCTTTCTAAAACACAAGCTGAGTAATGTTTGATTTCCTCAATTTCATGTGAAATGGATTACTTTATTATAAAAACACCTCTCCTTTTTCACTTATATTTGTATTATCTGTCTTCTTGTGGTCAAAAAGTTCCTTTGTACATTTTCACAAACATTTTCACACAACTCAAACATAATTCAAACTTAGGTAGGTAAATTGTAAATATACACTCACCTCTTTTCTACTATTAAATGCACCTCTCTCTCTCTCTCCTCCTCCTCCTTTTCTTCTTCTTCTTCTTCCTCCTTTTCTTCTTCTTCCTCTTCCTCTTCCTCTTCCTCTTCTTCCTTCTTCTTCTTCTTCTTCTCCGTCTCCTCCTCCTCCTCCACCTCCTCCTCCTCCTCCTCCCCCTCCTCCTCCTCCATCTTCTTCTTCTCCTTCTCCTTCTTCTTCTTTTTCTTCTTCTTCTTCTTCTTCTCCTTCTCCTCCTCCTCCTCCTCCTCCTCTTTCCTTCTTTCTTCCTCTCTCCTCTTTTCTCTAAGCACACCTATCTTTCTTCCTATATACATACTATTCAAGTACTACACTACTCACCCCCCCCCCCTCCCCCACCTCTCTTTCTCTATCTATCTCTCTATCTCTAGCTTTCATCCCTCATCGCTTCATATTCTTGGAATGTATACCATGACGATGAATCTTGGGTGAATCACATTTTGGCCTAAAGCAAGCTGTCCATATCCGCTGTGTTTGGGGGCTTCCATGCGTTTATTGCTATTTCTAGCATGGAAATTGATTTCACGCACACTCTCTTTCTCCTCTCTTCTTCACATATTTAAAGATGCACTCTTCAAATAATTGAAATATATTTTTCATCAAAAGAAATTTCTGCTATTATTTCAAAACAATTTGTCTTACCTTTTAACTTTGATTCTGTTTACCAACATTTATAATGAGATCAGTCTATTTCAACTGGATTATCAAGTACTTGTACAAGTTTCAGAAATCATTGATATGTGTCAGATTTACATGAAAAACAATTTCCCTTTCTTCTACAGACTTGTTTTTGAATTTCCAAAAGCACAAAAAACATAGGCCCTATTTCTCCAGAATGTTTCAAAGATGACCACTAGAAAGGAATGTTATCCAAGATTTGGCCCAACATAAGTTCACTTTTCCACTTGAAAATCAGGAGCAGTCTGTACACTGCAATTGCAATAGGGACAAAATATGCATGATTTAAGTTACATTAAACTACAAAGATGGCCTCCTAAGCCCCTTTCCCCCCTCCCCTTAAAAATATCATCACAAGTTTATAGTATAGTTTTACACTGCATCATTATGCTATAGAAATTAACTGCTATATTTCCTTTAAAATGTGAGCCTTTAACACCTTCAATGAAGGCATCACATTTCTCTTCCACTTTGGTTGAGCCTTAGAGCCATACTCAGTGACTATACAATGAGGGCTAAATCATATCTTTGGGGGTCAACTTCAGGCAAACTATTTCTTTGTCAATAATCCCCTGCAATATTGGGGTTATCAAATTACTTAAATGGCTGAGGAATACACTTCAGCATACATCTATAGGACTTTGGGTGCCCCTACAAATAAATCTATACCTTTAGCCCCAAAATGAACTCGGATTAGCTGACATTAAATCACTGACTCATGCTTAACATAAACACATATAATGATGAGACCATACTTTGCCTCATATAGCACAAATTGTTGAATTTTAGGAACCTGAAATTTCCGTCATATATTTGGCATTAACATCATTTTTCCTTCGTATAACAAGACCTCAATTTTCCCTGGATAGCATGAATTTGTTTACTTTCAAGCATTTTAAATGACTCTGTCATACAGGTGGCATTCAAATAATTTTTTCCTTGGTATAATTACTAGGACCTTAATTTCTCCCTGTATAACATAATTTATCTAATTTCAGGCACTTGAAACCTGGCATTGACCAAAATAAAATTCTTGAGTATCGAGAGACTGAAATTTTTCTCATGTGTTTCAGTCACATGAAATGACTCTGTCATGTAGGCCTATCTGGTATGGACATTATTTTATCCTTATACAAATATAATTTCCTCTGCATGGCATATTAACATACAGGTGTAATGATATGAAATTACTCTATCATATATCTGACAGTCTGACACAATGATTTTATTTATCCTTTGTCTATCACAAGACTAAAAACATAGATGAATTGGTTAATTATTTTCCCATGTAATATCACAGCCAAATACACTGAAAAAATAAATTTTAAATGATTTGAAACTGCTCATCCTATTCATATGTCTAGTTATAACAATCCTTAACCTAATCGTTTACCCCACAGTAGAAATATAATGAAAAATAAAGCCAACCAGATGGCCTTGAATAATAATAATGCATTAAATGGCATTCAAAAAATTGAAAATGTAAATAAAATCTTTTTTTTTTCATGACCTAGTCTAGACCTCCATCATAGACACAGGGATTAAAATCCATTCAGAACAGAATCATGCATTGCCTTTAAACAGTATATTCCAATAAGTTATTGTACTCTTAAATTAGAACAAATAGAAGGTTTAAAAGACCTGTCTGGGATTCTAACAGGCAAGAACTTTTTTTGGCAGTGTGCATAAACATTACCCCCCCCCCCCCCTCAAGCATGATAAATAACATAGAGTTACACTATATTATTGTCTCTGTATCAGTGTATGTCTCAGATATCTGATCAAAAGCTTTCAATATTTCATATAGAATTTTGAAGCTCATTTCAAGGTTTTACAGAGAGCTACCCATCAAAGGCTCGAGGCCAGTGACCACAACCAGCGATAGGGACTTCCAATATAGGGTCACCACTGCACTCACACACTCGAGCCCGAGGATTAACTTTGTTAGTACTGCTGCTAGTGCTTAGCCTTAAAGACGTTGAAGCATGTGATCCGAGACTTTATATCTAAATGTGAATATTACCTTTACATCAAGGGTTCTCTGTAGCAACTTGCACATATTGATCTAAGTGACAGAGTATATAGATAAATCTCGTGTCAAACTGTTGTTTTCTTTCCTCGTTCTTCGTCGCCGTGATCCAGCAGACAAAATTTAAGGTTTACGCCACGTGATGGCGTTCTTTTGATATATTTTAAGATCGAGATGGAATGAATTCCCCTACATAAAAGTATAAGTTTATCACTCGCCTTGTGTATATTTCATTTTTTTCTGTAAGTTTTTATCCATTCCCAACCGTTTTCCTCAAACCATTAAAATAAAACAATGTGAATATGGAGAAAGATCAATGTGCCAAAATTCTTGCATTATATTATGAGCTTTTTATAGGCTTGAGACATCCACGTGGGGAATAATTTAGCTAGATCATATTCAATACATTTCTGAGAAAAATTATGAATAACTCGAAAATTCACTACCAAATGATTGACCTTCAAAAAAAATTTTTTTTTTTAAATGCCCCCTGTATTTTCTTTTACTCAATTGTTACTTGGAAAATACTACTTTCTAGATGAAAATTGTAAATGAGCGGTGAGCATATGACGAAAAACAATTACCCCACCTCCTCCCACCCCAACTTTTGTTGCTGTTGTTATGTTTGGATATCAATTTTTTTTTTTTTAAATATATAAATAGAGAGAGAGAGAGGGAGAGAGAGAGAGGGAGAGAGAGAGAGGGGGAGAGAGAGAGAGGGAGGGAGAGAGAGAGAGAGAGAGAGAGAGAGTGACATAGCCTGCATCTATGAAACAGGGGAGGTGCATGTTAACAAACAACACAGACTTCAGTTATCCCCTAGGCTGGATTCAAATCAACAATCTGTGGTTTGACAAGCAGACTCTTTACAAGCAGAGCCAACTCACATCATTATTAGTCATTTCACCCCCCCCCCCCCCTCTCTCTCTCTCTCTCATTCTCTAACTCCCCCTCTCTTTTTCTCATTCTCTCACTCCCTCTCTCTTTCTCTCACTAAGCTAATATAACTATTGTACACCATCTCTTTTTTTGTTTCCAACTAAAATAATTCCCTTCCTTTAAATTGTTGATTTCAAATTCAGGCTCCATTGACAAAGAAGACGGCATTTACTTATGCTTGTGTTAAAAAAGGTCCCCGAAGTGTGATATGGCGGATTTTCCTTTTGTGTTTTTTAATCTTTTCTAGTACATATATTTAAAAGGAAAATAAATGATCCTACCTTGCAAAAAATAAAAAGTAGATGGAACAACACAAATTTCGATACAACTTGATTAATCAATATTTATTACTTGTATTTATACATCAAAACTCTCTTGCGTTATAGCTCATAAATACAGAATAAAAACCTTTGTAGAATTTATTCACGCAAGAATAAATATACAAGATCCTCCTAAATTGTACAGATGCTTATTTTTCTAATTTATACAAGTGAGCTGGCTAAGGGAACATACAATATGTCACACAATGCCAGAGAGAAGGTTATAATACTCTACTTGCAAATTACGCTGCATACTCGATCCAATTCATTGGAGAGAAAAAATGTATTGTGCGATGTCTGCCTTACACAGCATAATCATGGAAAATAAACTCTGACATGACATTCAAAATTGTTTAAATTTAACCAATATTATAATTAAACCAGTATATGTATTAGCAAATAAAAAAGATACATATCGTATTCCACCGTACCAATGTTAATTTCCAAAAATTTGCAACCGTTACACTTCAGAGTCAATCCTAGCTTTTGAATATGGATTTTTCTTTATTTCTCTGTTTTTACTTTTTAGATGTACAGTACTTGTCTTTTCCTTTCAAAATTTGCTATGTAATGTACAAATGAAGTGATCCAGGTGGTCCAGAGAATTTTGAACATGGGACAAACAAATCAAAATTTGATTTGATATAAAATTTGAACTATCTCCATTTTGGCACATAAATTACCTTGACGCCAGTAAAATGCCCAAGTACATGTACATCGTATGCTCATGATAAGTGACAAAGTGTGCAACCAAATCATGTAGAGGTCCAAAGTGCATTGTAAAAGACGAAGATGAATGCTAAATGCCTTTGCGATACGCCTTTATTCCATAAAATTATTAGAAAATTATTGCAAACTAAAAGATAACCATGAAAATTAACCCACAGACCAAGGAATTCATAAACAATATGACACAAATGACATTACTGTGAATGTTGAATAGCTTTCACATTGTAACACAAAAAAGATCCATTACTGTGAAATATCTCTCTTAATACCATACTGCCTTATGTACTTAACATGCAGCAGCATACCAAAATTTTGTAATACAAGAAACAATCGTGACATGAGAGCGATTTTTCACAGCAAGAAACCTTCAGGTATTGCTGAAGGTCAATGTTGTGTCAGTTGTGATGTTTTGGGCATGAAACTTTGGCTATCTGAAGTTCTGAACCACTTATAAAATTTGTGAATATTTGATGCACACAAAATTTTCTGGTTTTAGTATGAAAATGTCACTTCAATATTTTAAGAACAAATTGCCAATGTGGCAAAGTATGAATGATAATGAGAAGAGATGGAATGGTCTAAAGGACAAGGAATTGATTGATTCATATACATGTACAATGAGGTGGGACAGGAACACACAAATACTTCAGACAAACCATACACCAATATTCAATTCAATACTTAGGTCAGAAAAACAGGTATTTCACTCAGTATTCACTTAAGTTTAAGACAACTCCCTAGCAGGTATTATTTAGGCAGCCTTGATTGAAAGGCATGTGGTTTTATACACAGAATCATAATAATGTTCAGCAAATAATATACACGTAATTGTGAATTTGAAGCAATGCGTTCTTGTTTAATTGATAAGTAACGTGACATCACAACATCCATCAGGAAGAACTTTTCCTGAAAGTTGGTTAAGTAAAGTACAATACATGTAATAAGATGTGATTTGAACAAGACTTGAGCCATTTTACTTAGCTAAGCGAAACACTGAGTAATATAGTGACATAATTTAATTACCTGTAATGAATTGAATACGGGTCCTCCAAACACAAGTGACTAACTTGAAAAAATTCAATTCTTCAAACAATTAAAAGTAATAAAATACATGTATTAGATTTTGGTTAGAATGATGCAATCCTGCCTTTGAAACAAATCAATCAATGATTCACCTTAAATATGACTGTGCAAAGTAATAAATAAATGCAACATATGGTTATATCTTTTATAATGAGAGAATACATTGTTCTTTTCTGTCCGACTATGGAAGCCTTGTGTGGAAATAATCAAATGAGTCCCATGCCTGATATTGGCTTTATCAATAGGCTACATATATGTACAAATTGGTGACAAGACTTTCAAACACTTCACAAGACAATCTAAATTGCACAAATACTTAAAGATTATTTGATACAAAAATTGATGCCATCACTTTTCTGAATGTTCTACTCCTACAACATCAACTATGCGAAACTGTATAATAAGAATAGAGACATAGTTATAATAGAAACCATTGTCCTCACGCGCATATCTCATAGAGCACCTTCCTTGTAAACGTTGCAGTTCATATCTCATGGTAACTTATCATTTTAAAAAAGACAATTAAAAACTTATCTCATTTGAAAATTGTACCACTTTTCATCATAACACATTAATCCTTTTATTTGTTTTTATATCTATCAATCAATCAAACAATCAAACAAACAATTAAACATGATTTTGATAATAATCTTTACACATATTTCATTAATGTTCTTGGAATGACCAATTAAAAAAGAAAATGGTCATCCCCTCATTCTATCATATAAGTATTATTTGGTACATGTAATATGAATGGTAATATTTCACATGCGTATTCAAGTAACTGACTAGCATGAGTTCACAAACCACATTGAAAGAACATAAACAAAAAAAGAGGTCAAACTTTCAACTTTGGATGCATGGAATATGGATAATACTGGATGACATGTGAATTATACATGTTTGTTTCACAAATCATAACCTCATTTTTAATTTCTGCAGAATATTCTGTGTCAAAAACGAATATTTGCATGATATGTGACGGCGCAAGATAGTGTGCATAAACATTTGAGTCTGCATTCTCCCCACTTATTTGCATAATAATAATAAATAGAACTAAATACAAGACATTCTGTAAGAGAAATGCCTTTTAAAAAATTGAGGTACAAAAAATACAATTTATTCAACTTAGGAAACTACATTATTTTTACAATCAATTTGAAACAATTTTGGTACAAAAAAAAGTAATGATGATGGATCTGAAAGAGATTTACATGTAAACACACTATAAACTTATCGGTCTTTAAAAAACTATCATACTGTACTTACCTTTACTCCTGCCGTGAAGAGCTCATCGTTTCCACAAGAGGTAGGAAAATTCCCTACAATTCATTTTATTCGTTCCATTTTCAATAAAAACAATACAAAGATATATACTATAATAAGCATTTGAAATATATAAAAAAATGAAAATAGGGAACTAAAAAAAAGGCCAAATGGCCTTGTGGTGGCATAGTTCCCCGAAGAGGAGTTCAGAGATTTACTTATACAAACAAAACTAAAATGTCCAGCAATAAACTGAAAAGCACTTGTATCATGCCCTTTATTGCACACAGTAGATTTTTTTTTCTGTGTACACACAAAATGCATCTCATTTCCTTTATGCTGGTTGGGGGATTTGTGATATGGCCATGGAGAATACTAATTGTGTCCTCCATATAACAGAATTTACTGGATATCAAACAAAGATTAACAATATTGGCTAGTGTTGACGTGTCTCAAATGTAATGACACTTTTAATGTAAAGTTCTGTTATGTAGAGGACACAATTAATACTCATATTAGGCTTGCGTTATTCCACTTTATGTGGGATTTAGCTTTTGAGGAAAATTCAACGCAACTCATACATCCAAAAGAAGGAACAAATTTCAAGTCCTTCCCTTTGAACATAGAGATAGGTTACATTATCCCTATTAATGTGACTGGCACTGCATTCCGCGGGGCATCTGGTTTTCATCGTCCTCATCATATGCATTTCCCCCTCCATGGTGACCTCTGGATTCATGCTCTAAGGTATAATCTGAGAGAGTAACCATCTCCATATCATCCGTAACAATGCAATCCTCACGGGCTGGCATGATGGCTTCTAGCTTCTCAAGGTTCTTCTCTTGGATGGCATTGTTCTCCGGGAAGTTGATCTGGAATTGGATTATCAAGCGCCCTCTCTCAAAGGGATTTTTGTACAGAGGCATTCCCTCGCCAACGACCATCTTGATGTCACCTGGTTTGACGATCTCACCTGTAAATGGAATACAAGAGACAGAAATGTGATTTTAAAAAAAATATATATAAAGGGAAATTTGTTAGGCTTTTTCATACATGACACTGTAAACAACAGGGTATTTGGTTTTGTGTAAATGAATAGAAAGTGGGAGTGGGGGGGGGGGGGATAGTAGCTGCATGCAACAAAGATCGTACATGTACTAACTTACAGGTGTATGAAAAAATACAGAAGTGGGAAGAACACTACACTTAAGGCCTGTTCAGATATGGCGCAGAAAACTGCTGCACCCCCCCCCCCCCCAATTGTTTTTTTAAATGTGCAAATTGAATGGCAACTGCATGAAAATAAAGAACTTGCACGTATTCACTGACCTCTGAGTTTCAGAAATGTGAAGCTTATCACATTATGTTATAAAAAATAAAAATAAAAAAAATTGCCCCAGTTTTGCAGTGTCATATTGAACGAGGCTTTATATCATCTTAGTATGCCTCAATGGATTACATCAGCAATTTAATGTGAACAAGGCTTTACATTTTTGCAGCTAGCAATAACAACTCACAGGCAACCACATACCTAGTGTTATGGATCAGTATAAGGAGAAACAGGAGAGGTTATATTTTTGTGTGCATCATGTGGACATAGTTTTGATGACTGCAGAGTAAGAATAAGCTTCTTCTTTTTTGCCAATGTATTAAATGGATATTATGTTCATTCATTCCTTTAAACACCCAGCCTTCTGGAACACATTTAAAACTAGATGGAACTTCGACTGCGCGCAGTCGAAAATGATGCCTCCATCATATTTTTGCATATATAATGAGCCCTGTGACCTTTGACCTTTGACCTCGTGACCCCAAAATCTAATCAGTTCATCGGCTCTGCAAGATACATACATGACCAAAGTTTGGCAGGAATCCATCGATCGGTTCTTGAGATAACGCGATCACGAGCTGTTTTTGCATACATAATGAGCCCTGTGACCTTTGACCTTTGACCTCGTGACCTCAAAATCTAATCAGTTCATCGGCTCTGCAAGATACATACATGACCAATGTTTGGCAGGAATCCATCAATCGGTTCTTGAGATAACGCGATCACGAGCTGTTTTTGCATACATAATGAGCCCTGTGACCTTTGACCTTTGACCTCGTGACCCCAAAATCTAATCAGTTCATCGGCTCTGCAAGATACATACATGACCAAAGTTTGGCAGGAATCCATCAATCGGTTCTTCAGATAACGATATCATGAGAACGGGACGTACGTACGGACGGACGGACAACCCGAAAACATAATGCCTCCGGCTACTTCGTAACGGAGGCATAAAAACAGTTCAATTGATAAAATACAACTTTAGATCCCAAAACTTGAAGACCCCATACGGCCATATCTCATGAGTTCACTATAAAATATCATCAGTTGAGTTTCTTTTCTGCAACTCTTACCTGGGTGTGACATGATAACAATCTCCCTCTTATCAAGGGTATTGATGATCTTCTGGAATCCACAGAGTGCTTCTACCAGTTCAATCTTACAGGCCATGATGAGGAGGTCGTTACCTCGCCGCCTGAACATCTCGTTTGGCTTCTCGTCCAGGATGATGATGATGTCTCCAGGCTCCAGCCCAGGCTCCTGGTCTCCTTCTCCACGGAATGTGATCTTCTGACCATCCTTCATACCTGGTTTCGTTGAAAATGATAATAGAAATTAATGTTGGTGTCATGAAACCAACAGCATACATATATCATCTCATTCATAATCATGTCGTTGTTCACTAAGAAAAAAGGGGGATAATATTCAGTATATGAATGGTGTATTGTGCCAAGGCTGATTGCTTTAGATAACATGAATTGACTGGTATATTTCCCTCTTTTGGGTTGTTGTTGTTGATGTGAGGTGTCTGCACTTCCTCATTGCTTCCATCCAGATCAATTTCAGCATAAAGATTACTCTCTTCTGCATTAGATTCTTTAATTTTCAAAACCTGCTTTTTTAACAGTGTTTTGGTATGCTAATCTTCTACTGATGTACAGTTCGTTTCATTGACAATCAGCCATGCATGAACTCTTTCGTCTATAGCTGATCGTCAACAAAACGGAGTGAAGTCTTTTGTCAATTCTGGCAGACAGCCAGTGAAAACAAATTTGTTTAATAAAAAGCATGGAAATGCAAGCATTACTTAAAAAATAACAAAAATAACAAAATTCCTAGCTCATTTTTCCTGATCGAGGTGTCATATGAAAGGGTAGAAAATGAACTTTCAAGAAATCAGATTTTCTTTTTGAAATTCAGATATAGTCCACCAAATGACTCTTTGGTACCCTTTCTTCAAATTGATTTTTTAAATCACAAATGCATGAAATATGCCTCATTATGAGTTGCATCAAATGGAAGAGGAGGACCTATTAAAGCTTTACAAATATGTGTCATAAGTTATGATAAAACATTGATAACTCTCGGTTTCGTTTTTTCTGGGACGCATTGTATTAAAATTTATTATAATTTTTGAGAATCAATATCAATGAATGTCAACTTCAAAGCACAGTGTACACTTCAACACCATGAAACAGAGTACAAAGTACCAGTAGGCATATTATACACAGAAGCAACATGTCATTAGTACTTCCTGCTAATTAATGTGTTTAAAGGGCAGGGGGACACCGCTTGTTTTTTTAATGGGCCTATTAGTGTTGAATGCAAAGGAAATAGCTGTCAAACTAATTAGTTTTTTATTCTTCTTCTTTTAGTTTCTGGTCTTACTTTAAGGGGGGCTGAAGAGTGGGTCTGCCACTATACACTCCACAATGTAGACAATTTTCTCCACTTTTAAACCTGTGTTTGTTGACTTTTAAGGTGCTACATAAATAACAAATGTTAGGTGGATTACCAAGCTAATAATGAGTAGTAAAATGTAAGTAAATGTTGGGCTTAGTGTTAAACAATTTTAAAACAACTAAAAATAAAATAATATACTACAGATTTACCTAATGTACCCACTGTTATCCATTATTAAATTTCTGTTTTCATGGCCGAGACAGTCTGATCATACCAACCAAAGCTCTGAGGGTTAAGAAAGTGTAAACATATACTATACCTTTATCTATATGAACTTCTAGAATTTTGCGTTCCCGTATGACCTTTTGACCCTGACAAGATTTGCACCTGTCCTTGGCACTGATGCGCTCTCCCTGTCCCTCACATGAGGAGCACATGGACTGGATCTGCTGGACCATTCCTGGACCTAGCTGCCGTACGTGGACCTGCATACCTGACCCACGACATGTCCCACACTTCTCTACTGCTCCCTTCTTTCCTCCTCGCCCTGCAAGTTAGAGTTCCAAGAAGAAAAGACCAACATTGAATGTTAAGATCAGAGTTTAAAAAGAAATAATTTACCAATATTATGTAAATAACATACAGGACAGAAGAATGATTTTGGTGCGAAACTAATCAATAAGAGATAAAACACTGCATAAATCTAGTTTGTGCAAGAGTCTTTCAAGTAACATACATGTACATATTATTGCTCTTTGACAGTGAATGAAGATAATCCTTGAACATAATTTATTTTAATGTCACAAGTGCAAATAGGTAGGCAAATTCAGACTCTTATCAAATAAACATCATAAAATTGTTTTATATTATTTTACTGAAATTTATTCCTTGTTCAGTGCCATTAGAAAGTCAATAGACATTCTCAAGAAAATTCAAGTTCTGTGCATACCGTATTTGCCAGCGATAAGGCCGCAGCGCCGCATAGGCCGCACCCCAACTTTGACATTTCAAAGAGGGGAAGAAAAAAAAAAAAAAAAAAAGGACAAAAAAAAAACGGACAAAACAAAGTAATCGTAATTTTCTCGTAAAACACTATTTTTTTTTACAAAGTGATACCAAATTCATCAATATTCTTATAATTTACCACAATGTGCGGTGTAATGCGAAATTGCATGAAATGGAAAACAAAATGGCGACTTCAGATGGATGCTTCGCAGCAGCTCCGTTAAACGGTCCCTTCCTTTACTTTTGCAATGCATTGGCACGAACTTAGATCAAGATCTATCGACAAATGTTGTTTTTGGAAGTTTATTTTCGTCTTCACGTCAACAATGCAAAATAAAATCGTCGGTAAGATGTGTGGAAATATCCTGTACCATAGTGGAATAGTTATTTTACCTTTCGTAGTCCCATATGTGCAAATTTGTGCTGGTTTTGACTTATGTTTTTTTTTTTTTTTTTACTCTTTTGCCGCAAAGGCCGCACCCGACTTTTTGATATTTTCTCTTCCAAAAATACTGCGGCCTTTACGCCGGCAAATACGCGACTACTTAATTTGTCTCAGAATTACCATAATTCCTCTCATCATGTAAGTATCAAGTAAATTATGTGCAAATTTTCCTCTATTTAGGGGCTTGATTATGCCAAATTTTTGACAGTCACAGAAACTAAACAATTATATGTATAAAGTGATTACTAAACTTCCCGGCATCATTTCAAACTGACTTTGATGGTTTTATTCAAACAAGATCTGATAACCACTTAAGTAATATATCTCTGAACGAGTCTCTTCCTAACACAATCTTCCATTTGATTTAAAATACATTCCAATCAGTGCAGTAAAATAGTCCTTACCTTCACACTTGTCACATACAACCTGCTTTTGAAGAGCCAGTTTCCTTACGGATCCATTGTACAGTTCATCTAGAGTGACTGCCAGCTGATGGATCACATCCTTGCCTCTCCTCTCCCGACCTCTTGACCCACCCCCAAACTTAAAGAACATGTCAAACAAGTCCATGGGGTCGTGCATGCCCCCTCCTGTGCCTCCTTCTTTGACGGCTTGTTCTCCTCCTTCATCATATATTTTCCTCTTCTTTTGATCCGATAAAGTCTCATATGCTAGAGAGATTTCCTTGAACTTGATTGAGACGTAGCACAAAACACAAGGAGAATAAAAGGAAACAAATAAAAATATAAAAATTGTGAGGATCATTTGGAGGAAAAAAAAGAAATAAATGAAGATAAGCCCAGACATTGAATAATAGCAAAGCTTTTAATAAAATCTTGCATATGAAACAGATAGCGAGATATCTTCTCTTTTCTCTCAAATAAATTAACAAAGACTTGAATTTTCCCCAGTTTTGCATTACGATATATTCTAAAGAGATTATCACCTTTAAACACAAAAGATTTGTTGTCCTTTCATATATGACTTCTGGTAAGGTGACACCAACAAATTGAATACCGGTATATCACATGACACAGAAGAACGAACATCACATACTTGTTACTCTTCAATGTACATACCTTTTCTGGTTCATCAGGGTTCTTGTCTGGATGATACTTGAGTGCAAGTTTCCTGTATGCTTTCTTTAATTCTGCCTCTGTCGCATTACTCCTAACACCAAGAACATCATAGTATTGAGTTTCTTTTACCATCTTACCTTAAATTCACAGTCTTCTGGTGCAATATCTGTAAGATAACATTAAATATATACCATTATTAATTATTTGATTAATTAATCAAAGGAAAGAGAAGGGAATAGATGGCAAGCACCATTAATCATATCGACAACAAAAAATTACTTGCATGTTCGTTTATCTTTATTTACTGGTTTCACAAGACGAAAATTTAAAAAAATTAAATATCAATTGGAGATCATATTGATTCAGAATAATGACCAATTCTTTTGGAAAATTTAACTTGCAATTTCTTGATCATTTAAAAGTTTTAAAAGTACTCATACACACTGCAATTTTGTTTCAATATCACATGCCAAATGACATCCTGTAGAACTATTTAGCAAATGGGATTTCCACCTCTCAAAAGATGTTGACTAGGGTCTGGAAAAAAAGATAGCTAGTCTTGATATCACTAAGGACCACATAAGAGTACATTGTAAATAGTTCTGGGAGGGCCAACTAATTCAGATTAATATCTAGGGTTCTAAAAATATAGTTGAAAACATTATTCTGACATTTGGGTGTATTTTAATTCTCATTAGTATGGAAGATATTTCTTTGAGCACATCTGGAGGCAAGACTACAAACACGGATACTTTTAGTGACTTAACAGGGAATCAATTTCCTGTATGACAAATGCTCTTGCATGAGTCATGGTAGTCTCCCCCCAAAGACCTTTGTTATGTGAAGCAATATCATGTTAAATTGATCATGTGCACGTGTTTACCTAAATGTTTATGTGGACGATCCTTATTCTCGGACCAGCGCCCCTACTCTTTAGGCTACTGGTGACAAAGCGTATACTTAGCAAGGCATAGAAGTTGAATACCTGCATCTCTTTCTGTATTTCTTTTCTGTTTAATTTAAGACATGCCATATACACGTACAAATCTGTTTTGCATTGCCAATTTGATAGTTACTTTACGATAATAGTGATTTAGTTTTAAAAGGTGCGCAGCGACTTTGCTGAATTCAAGGATTAATAAGGACCCTCCACATTTTCCATTCTCGGTGCTCTGCGGGTGTGGGGATCCTGATCCGCGCGCTGGCAGAGTGAAAAATGGATTCCGCATAATAAAATACCCCCAGTTTACTGTCTACTTTTATTTGTCCATCTTCCAAAGGTTTTATCGTTTATAACGTGAAAGTCTCTGTGCAGAGTGAATGTGAAATGCATCGAGGAGCATCGTTAGTCTGCAAGCACAAACCCTGGTCAGTCGTAAACTATAAGACTACCATAGGCCATGTACTTCAGCTGCTCCTACAACCATGTTGTTGTTTTAGTTTTAAAGGGCGTGTGTCATTCAATTATGAATATTTACGCCAGTAGGTAGCTTGGCTAGACTTCTCTCAAGGCACAACGATTTGTTGATAAAGTGTTAAATTAGGGTCCGTGTCTGCAGACTACAGCATCAGGCCTTAAATTAATCGACGGCCATCGACGGCCAGGCCGTCGATGCCCCTATGACTGGCCGCGGTGCCCTCCCAAAAAAAGATAAATTCACGGCCAAAAAGGCCGTGCCCTTTTTTTCAAACTGGCCGACGTGCCTTTTTTCCAATGGACGTGCCCTTTTTTTTTTAAATTTGCGCACATAAAACCACCAATTGCGCTTAAAACTAGACGGCAAGGCGCAAGTGTTTTCCGTGAAAATGCGCCCATAAATTATTAGAACAGAAAAAATACACGAATCACGAACAGTTTGCCGCCCACGAGCTCTCTTCTAGCTTCGTATTAAGTGCTTTAATAAGGCGCAAGTGCCGTGAAAATGCGCCCTTTGTTATTATATAGGCAATGCGCTAGCGCACGTACGTTCATGCGATCGCATGATATGCATATGGTGCATGTTGTTGACGCACGCACGTACGTACGTACAAATCAAAGGCCAGGGTGCAGGATCAAGAAAACAAATCGTCAAATGGAGAAATAAACAAGCATTCAAATAGTCATTAGAGATCTGTCGAGGTTTGTTTGTAGGTCTAGTTTATTATTTTATCTCAAATAGAATTTAGAATTATCTTATTAATAAGTTAAGAACACCTACGATGTTCTCGATCGTAATTACTCTCATTTTGCCACCAGCCGACCTCGCTTCAAAAAGCTACCCCGCCAGCCTCCCAAGACGAACGTTTCGAGTCCCGGTAAAATTACGCGCTGCGAGTCTCCGAGGGTGCATCGGTTTCGCTGGCAAACTTCCAGCCCGACAGCTTCCCACCAAAAGTGGCGAGAGTGTGTGTGCGAGGAACGATTTTGGTTTCGTGAATGCACGTTACGCAACTGAGCTGAGCGTGTCATTTTCAGCTGTCGAATGTCTATAAGGACATTTTTACATCTTATTTCATTAGTTAGGCCTATCTAGACCTTTCTATACAACAGTTAAAAAGATAATTTCTTCAAATTTGCTCCTACTACCGAGAGAGTGGCGGAAGGTTTGTGTGTGAGGTGCGATTTTGATTTGGGATACCCGGCCCGGTAAACTTGCCAAGTCCTTCTGACTTTCGATGTTTGTGAAATTGACAATTTATTTATTCATTTGCTCATCAATATTTTTAGTTACTTTACTGTGCAAGTTTAATGTTCTTAATCAATCTTTCCTGTTCATATTGTTAAGATTAAAAAGTTATTAAATTGATCGTTCGATCTATTCACATTATGAAATTAACAACTCTCTTTGAACTTATGATTAGATAAGGGGCCTATCTGTTTTTGGAAAATTGCCCCTTGCTCTGGTAAATTCCTGTGGCAAAGGGCGACTTAAAAAAAAAAATGCCCCTTGTTCCTGGCTGCTAAATCTAAGGCTTGCGGGCCGCCGCCTTGTTTGTATGTACCGTAGACCTTTATACATTCTGTGAAGAAGCTGGTGCTAAAAGTCATGGGAAATTGATCCCACACAAGTTTCATAAAATACACATGACATCTAACAAAAGTAGAAACAATTTTTTTGGCCTCATACTCGATGCCCTTTTTGTAAAATATTTTGGCCTCGATGCCCTTTTTGTAAAAATATTTTGGCCTTGGTGCCCTTAAAAATATCAGGTACTCGAGGCCAAACTGGCCTTGCCCTAAAAATGACGAAATTTAAGGCCTGCAGCATCGTTGCGGAATCTGTTTTTTTTCGCATTGCCAACGTGTGGATCGGAAATAAGAATTGTCTGCGTAAATGCAGACAAACCTTACTTTCTAGGACGCGAATGTCTGCGTTTACGGAGACGTTTCTTATTCTCGGACCAGCGCCCCTACTCTTTTAGCTAGGCCTACTTAGTACTGGTGAGAAAGTGATGCCTGCCCTAAGTTCCTAACTTGTTTTTAGGAAAAATACTCCAAAAAAGATAAGAAAATTGACACAAAACAGGTAAGAAAGATAATGACTTTTAAATCATGACTGTTTTTTTAAAAATTGTGGAAGATTTAGTCATTTAGATGGCTTTTGGTGTGTTATATAACTTATATTTAGGAATCTCCACGCCAGAGTCACTGGTCCAAAATGGTCAAACGCAGTTGTGAACAAGCGCCCTATTTTCTACCGTCTTCACATTGCATTCCAAGATTCTAAACCGTATATATCGCTGTTCTGCAGTTCTGACAAAAGCATCAAATCAATGAACTCAACTACGGGATGGACTATCTACTCGAATTGTTCGAATACATTTTTTACATTCATGATTGATGCAGTTGCTCAGCTCAGGGCCTAGAACATGTAGAAGAAGGCTAGAGTCTACACGTCTCACATCAATATGCACTGAAAACGGTGCCATGCCACCAACTGCAACTGCATGCACAAAGCCGGGCGACCAGAAAATTATTCGGGGAGTTCCTCACTTAAATCTCTTTAATATATGTAGTAGTAATTATAACTAGTACTCACCACTTCTCTCGATGCGTTTAATAATCGTATTATTGTCTGTATTTCAATATTTCATTCAGTTGAGAGATTCAAGCGGTCGTGATCCTTCTTTCCACATGTATTTTACCGGCTTTAATTCATTCATACAGAATAGACTAGCAGAATCATTATCTTGCGGAAGCGCATGCGCAGTGTGAGTTCTCGAACGATCTTTCTGCGGCCGCCAAGCACTGATCTCTACGGAAACGTCACAGAAACCGGCTGTATGAAGAAACAAAAGGGACTGTCCCCAGCTTTTGTCCGCATCGACATCAAGCTGTTGCCAAGATATTCGGGGAAACCTGCTATTTCGAAAGAACCGCAGTTACGAAGGGGGAATGACACCGGCAGGGACAAAGTACAAGAAAAACAGAGGGGAGGAGGAAGAGAGAGATAGAGAGAGAGCGAGAGCTAGAATGATATCTCCCATATTTTTATTCATGGAACAATATTACGATTACGTTGATGATAATCCATAATTGTGGATTATAGGCCTACTTTTTTTATTAAATTAATTTGATTTGATTTGATATCATTTTAAGAGGAAATTAAAGGAATACCTAACACTCGAGAGTCAGAGAAATTAAAGAAGTGACTGTCATGATATACGGTATGCTAGGATTGAAATTTTTATTCTTCTGCCGGTTCATACTTTTTCATTTTGTATACTCTTGTTTTTGTACGTTATAGAAATTCTACATATTCATCATTTTCATTTTCTTCTTCCTCCTTCTCCTCCTCTTTTTCTTCTTTCTCCTTCTTGTACTTATTATCATTTCTATCATCAGTTTAATTAATGTTGTTATTATTATTATCATCATTATTATCTTTAATAAGATTTTATTCTTATATGTTGGTAAATATTACTATTTTTAACTTATTCATTTTGTACATGTCTGTCGGGGACCCTACTGGAAATAAGCTCTCAAGCTTTCGTGGGTTATCCTGTTCAAGCTGACTTAATTTTGATCTGTTATTCTTGTATATTGTTGTATGTTGGAAGCTTGGTGAATAAAAATGAATCAATCAATCATTAGAGTAGAATAAAGTATTCAAATTCTGTGCATATTTTCTAACTTAAATTGCCTTGTTTCTTTTGTTGGCATAATTTCAGACCAAGAAGTAGCAACTCTAAAATCAAAGTGTGTTTCATATTTCAAGGGACATTTGGAATAAAATACAGCTGTTTGCAACATCAAAACTAGAATTTACATATTTTTTTTTAAACACAAAAAGAGATCCTTCAAGCTCTTTTTTGTGTCAACAAGTATTAGATTTATTCAACAATCCAAATCAACATATAAATAGCTAGTACATCAAAACTTTGCAAAAAGTTCAGAGAAATATACAAGTTAGGAATTGAAGCATGCTTTGCTTCGCTTCTACCACACTAACATATTTTTATACGATATGAAAAGGAAGATGTTGATGGAGATGCTTACAAAAATATCAAAGAAACACTGATATCAATTTAGATGTCACCAAATCATAAATTCAAATTCAAATTCAAATTCAAATTCAAATTCAAATTCAAATTCAAATTCAAATTCACATTTATTCGGCAAAAGATAAAAACATCAAAATGAAATCATTACAAATGAAATCATTATAAATAAATACCGGGATTGCTAAAATAAGTTAAAAACTTGTAAACAAGCAACCCCAAACATAAAAACAAGATGAAATACGATACAATACAATACAATACAATACAATAATAATAATGTTTCATGCTAACAAAATATATGAGTCAATTATGTATTTCAATAAATCAATAAGTGGCAAGTATTGTTCTTTTCAGTTTAAGTTTAAATGCGTTCTGGTTCTTAATACCCTTTAAATAACTTGACATGGAGTTCCATTTGTGAGGACCTTGATATCTAATTGATTTATTTTGCAAAAATGAGTTAGTGAATTTTGGTAGATGGAAGTCATTTTTTTTTCTTGTATTAAAGGAGTGGACATCCGAGTTCAAATGAAAACTGTCATAAAACGTTACTGGTAGTAAATTATTTTGGAGTTTGTACATAAATAATAAAGTCCGTTGAGAAAGAATATCTGGAAGTTTGAGTAAATTTAAGGATTTAAATAATGAAGAGGTGTGCGCCCTGAATGAAGCATTGCAGCACAACCGAACAGCCCGCTTTTGAAGTATGATAAGGGGCTTTAATAAATTATTAGACGTTCTCGCCCAAACTAAATTACAGTACGTTAAGTAAGGATATATGAGAGTGTAGTAAAGAGAAAGCATGGTAGAGGATGGTAGAAAACTTTTGAGCTTATTCATTACACCGACTTGGGACCGAATCTTCCTGGAAATTAATTCAATGTGTTTTGCCCATGTAAGTTTGTTGTCAATGGCAACTCCTAAAAAATTGGCAAATTGTACCTGGTCAATACAGTTACCATCTATTGTCAGATTAACATTTTCAATTAAAGTATCATTTTTTTTACCAAAGTTAAATATCATGAACTTTGTTTTGGTCTGATTAATTTTTAATTTATTTGATGAAAACCAGCTAGCAACCTTTTGAAGTTCAACATTGGCTTCGAAAATTAAGTCTTTCAAATTTTTACCAGAATAGAAGATGTTTGTGTCATCGGCATACAGTACATAATGTAATTTCCTTGAAGACTCAACAATGTCATTTATGAAGAGCAAAAATAATAACGGGCCCAAGATACTACCTTGAGGAACACCTTGCTTCATTAATAGCAATTCAGAGTCAGATTCATTATAATTTACAAATTGTGTTCTATTAGACAGATAACTTTGGAACCATTCCAATGGAATGCCTCTAATTCCATAAAAACTTAATTTTCTTAATAAGATTTTGTGATCCAAACAATCGAATGCCTTGCTAAGGTCTACATACACTCCTAAAGCTATCTCTTTTTTTTCATAAAATTTGTACAAAAGTTCGGATGCAAAAATTAAAGCTGACTCTGTTGAATAACATTTTCGAAACCCAAACTGTTCCGAAAAAATAATTGAATGCTTATGAAGGAAAGTAGATAATCGATTGTACATTAGTCTTTCTAAAATCTTGGAAAAAGTCGAAAGCAATGATATTGGGCGATAGTTCGATAAATCATGTATATCACCTTTCTTAAATAAAGGTATGACTTTTGAAACTTTCATTGAATCAGGAAATGTTCCAGACATAAATGATAAATTAAACACATGGGTTAAAGGTTCAACAATATAGGAAATTAACTTCTTTATAACGTATGGTGACATATCATCCACCCCACATGAGTGTTTATTTTTCAAGGAAGAAGATAACTTCAAGATCTCATTTCGATCTGTTGGTGAAAGAAACAAAGAATGCGTTACGCTGGTTTTCAAATAGTCACGAAAGCATCCGGTGGTCTGGGGATCATCAAAACAACCAGCATTAACGAAAAACGAGTTAAATGCATTTGCAATTGCTTTTGGTTCAGTAAGCCTTACACCATCCTTACGAATGAATGAGGGTAATTTCGATTTACTATCTTTACCAAGCAGGTTGTTCAGAGTTTTCCAAGTGTTCTTTAAATCATGGCGATTTGATTCAAGCTTTTCAGCAAAGTAGTTCTTTTTGGAGACACGTATAATGTGAGTAAGCCTATTTCTGAAAGATGTGTACTTTTTCTTCACGGAGGGGTTTTTCAGTTTTAAATACCGCTTATACAAGCGTTCCTTTCTACCAATAGATTTGAGAATGCCTTTCGTAATCCATGGTTTTTTGGATGATCTACGTCTATCCTTACCAGGTATTGTTTTCGAATGCTTTGAAATCATCTGTTTAAAATCTTGAATAAAGGTATCGTAAGCTTCGTTGACATTGGTTTTGGATGTTACCAAAGACCAATCATACAATGCTAAATCTTCACACAATGAGTTAAAGTCTATTCGGAGTTTAACTTGACTCGCATTGTTCCTATTCAAGTGGGTGTGGTAATTTGGTGGTAAAGAGTTCGTTACTTGAAAGATTGGAAAGTGATCAGACACATCTGAATACAAAATACCAGGCAGGATTGGCTTATTCAAAACATTTGTAAAGATGTTGTCAATACAAGTAGAAGAGTTAGTAGTTACACGGGTTGGTTTCGTGATAAGTGGGAGAAAAGAGGAGGAGTACATTGTATCGATAAATGCATTGGTATCCGAATGAAGGGCGTAACTAAGTAAATCAAAGTTAAAGTCTCCAGCAATATAACATTGTTTATTCTCTTTGTTCACTTTACCAAGACATTCTTCAAGATGGTCATTAAACTCTGCACCACAAGTATCGGGAGATTTGTATACAGTTCCAACGATTAAATTCTTCCCTTCCTTTACGATTTCAATAAAAACAGTATCTATAGTTGAAGTACAAAAATCCAAATCCGTCCTTGGTTTGAAGGTGACATTGTCCCTGACGTACATACACACACCCCCGCCTACACGACCAATTCTATGTTTTTGAATAAGTTTGTAATTAGGCAAATTATAAAATGAATGTGGGTCTCCCTTAAACCAGGTTTCCGTAAATGCGTATATTGTGAAATCGTGGTGAAGTGTATGTATGTAATCTTGAACATGAGAAAACTTTGATATAAGACTACGAGCATTCAAGTGGAACAATGAAAATTGACCTTCTGATTTTCGATTATTAATTTTAACATTGAAGGTGTCATTGAAATAATAATTACAATCAGAAATATGGTCATCTAACCGGGAACTCATCACTTCATTCAGGGAGAAAATATCAAATTGTAAATCATCGTGACTTCCATTATGAAATGAAGGGTGGTCTATTTCAAAGAAGGTATGAATAGCGAACTTAAAGTCTAAATCATCAACTATGTGATTAAAAGGTATGGCATTACTTAAACAAGGTTGGCATATCCAGGGTAATGGATATGATTCTGCTTTAGCACATGTTACATGACATATACTTCCACATGAACAAGCATATATAGATTGATTCTTTTTTGTGCACTTATAACAAATATTACAGCGCATTTTAAATAGAATGCAGTATCAAAACGAACATACATGAAATCAATAATATTATTTAACGAGCAAAAGTAGAAATTAAGATAAAGCTTTATGCATCACAGTTCAAAATGTCCGAAATCATTCATAAAAGTTTAGTTCAGATAAAATACAAGCAAGTGGATTTTCATATATCTACGAGAGATTTCTTCAAAATGTATGTTTTAACTAGAAAAGCAGGTAGCATTGCCTTTCTTAACAAAAGACCACCCCCCCCCCCCAAAAAAAAGGGAACATTATTTTTCAGGTGTGTTAGAGGTCAAATACAATATACACTCATTGTGGACTTATGAATAATTTATTTTTATTTTTTAGTGAAACATGAGTATGACAACATTGGCAGTACCTGTAAATGCTTGAAGCTATTGTTACCGATGATAAAAAGTAAACAATTATATAAATCAGTTATCTAAATTCTGAACTATAGCTATTGCAATTGTCACAACTTTTAGAGTTGATTTACATGATATCGTCGCTGTTTTCACGAAGTGACAGTAGTGAAAAAAAATTGCATTCACTTTGCGTTACGATTTTCCTCACTACCGTCACTTCGTGAAAATAGGGACGATATGAGCAATCACCAAAGAGAAATGTATTAATTTCATCTGTTCAGCTGAACAAATCTCATTTCCTAACTTTAGATACAAAATTTAACCATGGGAATTTATTTCATTACAACTTTGTATTTTTCATGAGTTATCTGTGAATTCAATGCTCACAATCTATTGTATCCATGAAATATTTTTTCTGGCGTGCTATAAAAACATATTTATGAGGGTCAATAGCTAGATGGGGGAAAAGGCATATTTTGAATCTCAAAAATGCATACATTTATTTTACCTTCACAGGTGTAAATAAATATAGAAATTAAGAAATATAATCTTTGATACTTTTCACATTTAACCAATACAATTACCTTAAAAGTATATAATATAAAAGTAAATAGATCATACAACACATATGAAGAGTGATGTAATAGTGTATCATTAGAGAGTTAAAGTTGATAAATTAAAATGTTGGCAAAACATGATAACATATAAGAATGCCATAATAACTATTTTGAAACGTACATTATAAAATATTTTGGAAAACCCACCACTCTAATAGGATGTGATTAATAGAAGACCATAAATGGGTTTCAGTTTTCTAGTGTTTCAGGAAGATTTTCAAAAAATCTGAGCACCGGTACATTTAATAGAATACACAATTTCACATTATAAAGCAACACTCCATGCAATTTTCTTATTCAGAGGCAAACTATAAAAGTTGCCAGTTCACAGCAAAGTAGCTTGAATATGTACAATTCAAAATTTAAAAAATAAAAGAAAGAAAGAAAGATCAGTAAATCTTAATAAATTTACACATGAAAAATTTTATTGACCCTAATCAGAATCCACAGGCCAAGCAGGAAAATGAAACAGATTGATAACATTCAAAATACCAGTACCAGTACTCGATACTGAGCAGTCTTGATGTACTTATACATAGGATAGAAAAAAATCACACAATTCGTCGCTGTTTTCACGAAGTGACGGTAGTGAAAAAAAATTGCATTCACTTTGCGTTACGATTTTCCTCACTACCGTCACTTCGTGAAAACAAGGACGAATTGTTAGTTTGTGAATATGTAAATTTATCACTGCAAATGTTTTGTACTGGTAATCTTAAAAGTTAAATTTTCCTCTTCCTTTTAAAAACCAATAAATCATCTTAATTTAACCAATCAACTCAACAAATTTCAATACATGATTTCAGTATAATAATCACACAATACATACACATATTACACAGTTTCAAATTGAGTTGTTTAAAGTTCCTTGATTTTTTCAAACTATTCAAAGGTTTCCAAGCTGTTGATATGTACCACACTGATGAGTTTATCTCTCACTGCTCATGCAAATATTGAGGTGTGCCAGTGAAAATCTCACTGGAAATTTCTCTGGTTCATTTACAATGAAATTTAGAAAAAAATACTGTCATTATTTGATGAAGAAATACATAATGTAAAAAGAGAAAACACATCAATGAACTAAAACTACGCTATATTTACTGACATTTCAATATCTAAATATTACCGCTAAAGAAAAGAGAAATTGTATTAACAAGGAAGCAAGAATGAGCTATGTACAATATTCCCTTGGCCAATGAGCAGTCAGACATATATACACAAATACACATACTTTAAAGAAAGAAAAAGATATATAGCACTTCTTAGTGGGGGGATTATCATATTAAAAATATGCATTTCGAAACTACAACATTGCACAGTGTTTGATAATATACTACATAGATGATTTAGACTTGAACAACTATTTGCTTTATAAAAATTGTCAAGTACTTCCAGAACTTCAGGGTAAAAAAAAGACCTCAGAAATGTATTTGTGTAAGTATGTTTTTGCAGTCTTATATTTGCTCTCAGAAAATGGAGAAAATTCTAGGATCTATTTTCTGTTGTTATTGCAACCTATTCAAATATTCATGATATAGGCCATGGTAAACTTACATGTATGTAAAAGAAAGAAGGAAGGAGTAGAGGTGTCATGGTCTAGTGGACACGTCACTGGACTGTGGATCACAGGGTTAGGGTTCGAGTCCTACTGCAGCACTAACGTCCTTTGGCAAGACATTAATCTACATTTGCCACTCTCCACCCAGGTGAAGTAAATGGGTACCCATTAGGAAAACATTCCCTGGATGCCTTAGTACCTGATTACCGTATGGGGGCCTGTGTACTAATATGATACTTTGTATAAAGCGGAGTAGAGTATATTCATATATTAGCTGTGCTATATAAATGGACCTATTATTAAGAAAACATGAAACCACTTACAGCAAGTCAAGGTAGGGTAAAATAATGAAGTCCAATTTCATTAGAATTGTTATCACATACCCTGTAACTAATATTAAGGTTTTAGTACTTCACATGAATCCATACACACATATAAGTCGAAGCACAATTCACATGGCAGTACTTCATATAAAAAACATTCAATGTGGTTCCCTCAAATTACAAAGTGTAGTAATAGTTGCAAAATGATAAATTTAGATTTTACATCTACTATTCTACTTACCCCTACTATTCCCCTCCCATTGCTCCTTCTGTGCAAGTATTTGGTTCTATTAAATGTATAATTTATTATTTTGTTTTGAAAAAGATGTTCTGATTTCATTACATTACAGAGTATGTTGAATGTTGTTATGATTTGAATTAAAAATCCATAAAAAAGAAAGGAATCATCAGTTTTCAAAAATTAATTCTGCAACATTAATGTTCAAGTAGGTAATACTAGTTGCACTTAAATATCACAAAAATAAAGTTAATACTAAGTAGAATACCAGCAATTTGACTTTTTTTTTCTTCAAAAACCTGATTAAGGTTAATTTACAAGATTCCATCAAATTTCACAATAATGACTGTATTTTGTGCCAATTAGTCTAGTTTCTGAATTCTAATTTTAGATAAAAAAATGGCAGTAAAATAACAAGAAAATAGTGACAGTAAAATTGGCAAGACATAATCACACAATTTAGAATTCAGCATGCAAAACAGCAATCAACATCAACATCAAATCCCATTCCTATAAAATTGCACTGAAACTAACAGGCAAATCTAAAAAGAAAACTACTTTGCACATTATTAGAAAAATAACCCCCTGAAGTATACAAAATGAAAGCTTAGCACAGAGAAGAGATTTCTGTTTTTTCAGTGAACTATCCAGAATCAGATCTGTGAAGAAAAGGAAGAAATAGAGAAAACATATCCAAGTTACAGGAGTACTTTCAATTATAAGGTGTAAAAAATTAGGCAAAAATATGAAATAATATTAAACATCAATAAATATCACCTTAAAAAAAAATATTGAATAAGAAGATAAAACGACATGAACAAAGTTTACGTTTAAGTTTACATAGTTTTCCACATCCCAAACCCATAAAATCTCATTCCTAAGTGGGTGCACATCGATAGATTTATTTGTTTTTTTACACACTTTCATAAAAATGTGGGCATGAGTCTTGGATCTTAAAAGTATAAGGCATACATGTACTACTTTCTGTTATGACAACAACAAAAAACATCCTGCCAGTGTAGTAGAATATACAATAGAAAGGAGTATGGAAATAAGTACCGAAATATCATTTAAGTACTTGGTGCTGACATATTGTTAATTGAAAGAAGAACGGTTGTTAATAGTGAAAGTGATTCCTTTATCAAACCTAAAGTGTACCAATCATCTGAAAGAATATTAATTCAAGTAAATTTAGAATGTATAAAATCAACCTCAACAGATTTACCCGGCATTCTAGAAGTTAGCGGTCAAGGAGTATGAAGAAAATACAGGATAACATAAAAACTGATGCACAGAACCGAAGTTGGACTTTGGTTCCTTGTGCGCCCCTATTCTATGCAAGCACGTACGCATGTGTTGACTAGTCTATTCAACAAGTTGATCTTGTGTATACTGAGAATGTATTTAAACTACTCTTTGTAGAAGTAATATTTGAAGCTCATATTCTGAATACAGTTAGCCACACAGAACCTCTCACTTTAAGAGTAAAACATGTTTTGGTGAGTGGTACACTTTAACAGCAGCTGTTTAAAAAGATTAACAGTGATATAGTGCCTTGGTGAAAGAAGTCACACTCAACTTAACATTTAGAATAGTCAGAATCACTCCAAAAAAAAGTTAGTGTGATTAAATGTGCTATAAAGAGTAATGTCCCGTCCCAAAATCTGACACTTCTATTTTAATGTCATTGTACTACCTCATTTGACTACTGGTTCTCAGTCTGGGCTGAATAATATAAATGCACAAAAATAAATTAGAAACACAAGGGTAGTATATTGGGAGGGTCTGGTGAAGTACTATTTTGATGTATTTTGTTGTTGTTTGAGAAAACATATTTCTTGGGTTTTAGGATCTGGGAAATGTATAGACATCAAATTTTGACCAAAAATCACATAGGTCTACATTTATTTAATACTTCTATAACATATACTAAGTCAAGACTATTGAGAAGTCGAAAGTATACTTTACATGTAATAAGAATAACTGGAGAAAAAAAAACAGACCCTTTTACCTTTCAAACCTCAATCTCCTCTCTCTTGGCTGTGATTGCAACCCAAGTAAGGCAGGGGTAGCCGGTAGCCCTCTTGTACCCTGCATCATGGTGCTAAAGATATTGACTGCTACCAAGAGGACACAGAGCAGGATAGGTCCAATGATAGCCCCCTCGAGCCCGTAGCAGTAGATCCCTCCTGCCACAGCCAGGCCTGTCAAGTAGGGGTGACCACCACTGCGAAATTCGAAAACAGATAATTTGTTTGTTTTAAATATTTGGATAGTGACCTTACATTTGTTCTGGCAACAGTAACTCTAGGCTTTATTTTATTCAAAGGCTTTATTTTATTCAAAGGCGCCGGCTCCTCCAATAGTTATGGACTACACATTTGCTTTAAAAAATAAAATGGGTTTTGAGGCCTGCTTTAAAGTTTTCTAGCTTGTCGGTGTTGCGAAGCACAGGAGGGAGAGAGTTCCAGAGGCGTGGAGCGACTGAAAAATAGGCACGATCACCATATAATATCCTGCCAGGGCATATATACATAGTACCCACACAAATAAAACAACATAAATCAATGCTCTGTATCAACTATCAATAGATAAAATCACAGAACTCACCCTTTGATATCACTGTAGATAGCAGTATCCACTACATACATAGGAAGCATCTGAACAACGAAGAGCATGACAGCTAGCACCTTCTCACCATGAACTAATAGTTCAATGACCCCTGGTACAGCAGCCCAGTAAGTTCCCACAAATGGGATAGCACCAAAGAGAGCTGCCAGGGCTGAAAATGAGGAAAATGGAGAGAATGTGATCATCAAGAAAATACTACACAAACAATGATAACAGATAATATTCTTTTATATATTTTTGGAACTGATTCATATTACTATTTTGCTTCTTCTTTTTGTTAAAGGGGGGGGGGGCTGGGTTTGCAATGGAAAACAAATGAAGAAAACAAGAAGAAGTGGCGCGAAAGTCAGTACCCCCGTAAGAGGAAAAATGCTGACTTTAATAAATGATGATAATGTTGAGTCTGTTTAGAGCCAGAAGGGCATTACCTGAATGTTAAAGTGTAGTTTTATGAGTTAATGCCCTTGTGGCTCAAAACAGATAATATGTATCTTACCTGATGGCACATATACAATCTGTAGCCCAAAGATGGTATGTGTTAGCCATGTGTACAGACCATAGAAGGTTGACATCTTGATCGAGGCACCAAACACACCCCTAAGAAGGAAAAATAGTAATTTAAACATTGTATTATAACAAATCACAACTTCTAATTCCTTCAATAATGAACTATCACACGACTTCTGAGCTTAAACCCTGTTCCCCTTCTAATCTAATCTAAAAATAAAGTTTATACAGCATTATGTACCTATTGTTATAACCATTGACATACATGTATATCAGAAGACTTTTGGTTCCTACATAAAGAACCTTATTTACTTGAGATTTTCATTCTACATTGTAATGTCAATGACTTTTCTTGGGCTATTATTCTCATTTCGGCATGCAGTCAAAAGTCTTTTTATGGAAAACATATTTTCAAATTTTAATATGAAACAAAATGAACACAAAGGCTTGTGATTACAAAGGGTTATTCTTCAGCAACTCTGGGAAATACTGAGTAACGTTTCTGGGAAATTAAAATGCATGTCTCAAGTTTTATACCTACCTTGCTATTTAACTGTTATTGGTGTTAATCACTAAGTTTGCTTTATTTTAACCACTTCTAGTTTCAACACACAACACAATTTGCTTTGGCTATGAAGGCCGTTCTCTAGCAAGTCAGCACAAATTAAACAACTGAGCACATCTCTAATAAATTTCCAATGATGTTACTGACCTGATTGAATTCTCTACAGCTTGTCCATACTTGCTGGATGTAGAATCATTGCCAGGGGTAAGACTTGAGATCCATTTCATAGGAAGGTACTGCTTGTCACTGAAACTCAGCAGGTAGAATAATGTTGTCATGAACACCACCTTCAGAAAAACAATGTAAACATCTCACTTTCCATACATCCTTAACATTACATTTTAACCCTTACTGTACTGGGGGGGGGGGGGGGGGCAGGGGGGGCCTGGGAGGCCCCCCCCCCTCGACATTTTCGGAGATTGCGCCGCAACCGCTTGAAATTTTGAATTTTCGTTTCATGACTTTTTTCCCTCAAGTCTTACGCACGTTTTGATACCATTTTCGTCGCAATCGGATATACCTGTGAGGTGTTACATAACAATTAGTATGCGCATGTCATCAAAAATATGCTATAATTGCATATATTCATGTACAAGCAGAAATGTGAATACAGGTTTAGATGTATTCGTTCCTAAGTGGGTGATATGAATTGATATCGAATTGCTTTTATATGTTTCTCAAAGTAACTTGATGTATTCCAGAACAAAAGAATACATAAGAAATAAAAACAATAGATATAATAAGAAATAAAAAAAACAATAAAATACATAAGAAAATAAATATTTTAAAAATCGCATCAAATTTGCATAAATTATCATTATTTATTACATCAAAATAAATATTTTGTGTTAGAAAAGAAGTTTCATATGAATAATGAGTTTCAACATTCAAAAAGTGGAGTTTGACACGTTTTCTGTAAAATGCATAAAATTAGCATTTTGCATAATTAATTAGGCTATAACGACAAAAATTTGCATATTCGCAAAAAAATAATTACACCATCTTGTTCGTTACGTAAATGTCTACAAACATGCAAATTTTCGTGTTCATCGGACATCCGACGGCCGAGATCATAGGGGGGGGCCTCCCAGGCGCCCCCCCCCCCCCCCCCCCCCCCCCCAGTCAGGAGGTGCTCAAAATAGCCCAGTACAGTAAGGGTTAATAATGAATTGCAGGACATGGTCTTGTTTTGTTTATTTACATTGTTCTAAAATTGTGAGGTTTTTCTTTTACCTGTGTTCCTCAACCATTTACATCTAATCATTTCCCTACTATAAATGTATAGAATTGTTCAATAACTTACTGTTTGATTGTCTGATAATCTAGTATTCTACCAGCCATATACAAAGTGAATCCACAATAATTTGAAAATAAAACCCAGCGTGCTTGAATATCAGGTAGGTCAGTAAAAATGTAAAATAACACACTACTCAGTTGTATAACACATGCTTCACCAACAATTTTTAATGTCGTACCCTGACCACATTCCTAACTAGAAACCTGGACTTACTAACCCTAACCTTATATCTTTGATGAAATAAAATCCAAGAGCAATTGTAAACAAAGCAAATGTCGGATCACCATTATTTCACACTAAACTTAGAGGAGAAAGACTTACAAAGGAGATGATGAAATTGAGAATGGCTGTTCCTCCTTCTAGTATCATGTAGAGGATTGTAGTGAAGAGTGATGCAATCAGGTTCATATTGCCTTTCAACACCAGCCATACAGACTCTAGCACCTGGGGTAAAGGTCAAGGGATTTCTTAAATTCACAAGGAAATTTTGTTACAGAATTTCTCTTTAATTTTTCACAATACAGGTACTGGAAAGAAAGTGTAAACCTATCGAGACATCGAGATATTTCACGAAAAATAAGAGACATTGACAGCAGTAAAATGACTTCTAAAATTATGTTTAATTTGAAAATTTGTATGATCACACATAAAATGTGTTTTATGATTTCTGGATTCATGTTGCATTGTAATCTCCTGTAATCAATTTTCTTTTTCCAATAGAAAATATCAGGAAAATTTATCCAGTGGTATACAAAAATTTGAATGAAATTATCAAATTAAATCATCAATTGAATAATATTTTACCATAATATCAGTACATGGTACTTATATAACGCAAACGGCACATCCTTTTAGTCTACTCAGCTATAACTCATTGACATAAAATATATTATGTACTGTCCTACAATCCTAAATCCAGACATCCACTTACCGATTTGACAGTCTCTATGTTCTCATGGAAAGTAGTCATGAATCCAGACACATCTATATCATCAAACTTCCCCAGCATGTCATAGACACTGTCCATTGATAGATTAACATTACTTCTCAGAGATAACGATTCATGAGAATCAACCAGATGAGAGCCCTCTTCTGTTCCATTCTATACAATGACAAACAAAGGAAAATTACAAAATCTCATTGCATACATATTACACAAGGTAGCAATCACATATAAACTCAGATCTGCTTGAAGTGTGACACGGTCATAATGACTGAATTCCTACAAATTTTCTCAGATCATTTTCATAAACAATACAAATAGGATTAAAATTAGATTAAGATTCATTCACAGAGACAATGATTCATGAGAATTCACCAGATGAATGTATGCTGACGACCTGCAGTTGTACACAGCTATGACTCCTGCTACGAGACACGAGTCAAAAGAAAGACTAGAGTTATGTATCACGGAGATTCGCAATTGGATGAAGGATAACAAGCTTGTTATCAATGATGGCAAAACTGAAATGCTTCATCTAACATCATCCAGGAAGCGTGGCTCAAATCAGGAACTGTCTCCACTCACGGTTGGTGACACCAGCATTTCTAGCAGCACAACTGTTCGAGACCTTGGAGTTGTGCTCGATAATCACTTAACTCTACGTCAAAATGTGAACTCCATCTGTCGGAATGCATCCCTATCTCTCTACAAAATCGGAAAGATAAGAAATCTCCTCGACAATCACACAACTGAGATCCTTGTCCACTCCTTCGTCACCTCTCTTCTCGATTCTTGTAATTGTCTCCTCATCAATCTCCCCAATAAAGACATCGCTAAGCTTCAGCGAATTCAAAATTCAGCTGCCAGACTAGTTTCTAAATTACCAAGGCAAGAGCACATCACTCCCACTCTACAGGAACTCCATTGGCTGCCCGTATCCCAGAGAATCCAGTACAAAGTCATCATTCTAACTTTCAAAGCACTTCATCAACTCTGTCCCAGCTACATATCTGAACTTGTTACACCTTACTTACCCACTCGATCCCTCCGCTCTGCATCTCAACACCTCATTGAACCCACGAAAGACAGGACCAAGTCATACGGATCCAGAAGATTCTCATCTGCAGCTTCGCATCTCTGGAACTCTCTCCCCACTACTTTCCGAACCATCACAGACTTAACTTTCTTTCAATCTCAACTGAAAACCTACCTGTTTAAAAACGCTTTCTAATATCATTTAAACTGTATTATTGTATTCATCAAAATTTAATTACATTACTGTACTCTGATATAATTGCCTTCATTTCTCTGTAATGGATGTTTATAATGTTTGATTATTATTAATCTTTTCCTTATTTTGATATTTCTTTAGTTCATGAATTAGTAGTTATGTGTAATTTTGTTGTATTAATATTGTAAAGCGCATTGCTATTTTCTTCGATTATGAAATGCGCTATATAAGTCTAGGTTATTATTATTATTATTATTCTGCAATATCAAAAATTAAATTAATTGAAATATCTCAATAAATATGCATCTATTTATGATGGTTTGTGAAATACAACCCAGGTCACTAAGTTTTTGCTTTAGGGTTAGGTATAAATCCTCATTTCTTTATCTATAAACTTCCTAATATATAATCTTACCAACTAGTCCTACAGTACTTGTGAAATGTATCTTACCTTTACAACCCACTGCACATAAAGCTGATCCCAAATCTCAAGAACTTGCTTTTCTATATTCTCACTGTCACCACCAATAGTACTCCGTATCTGTGAAATAAAAGCATGATGGATAAAGAATTCTTTTTCAACACACATGACAATTAACAGGTTCAGGGAATTAAGCTCTAAAAGCTTGAACACAAAATGTCAGCGAATACTTTTTCAAACATAGCACAAGTCTAATGTTAAGATAGCATTTCAAAAGTCAAATTCTACTTTAAAAATATCAAGGTTTTATATCTTGTACCATGGCCACTGTTGCAGTCATTGGTTTCAGGGAAAAGATGTAGTCATGCATTAACTAAGGACATTTTATTAGAATAATAATAATAATCGAAAGTAATATCGCTAGTGATATTCGTTTGTATTTAGGATCTAAATTCTGCAGCTCTATTCATCCTAATCAAAAACACTATTCTCTCTAAATCTCATACCAGACTATTTACAACACCATAATGGTAAAAGTGTGTCCATTATGTGAAAAAAGTTTATCAGGTAAACTTGAAAAGCTTACCTGTTCAGCAAGCCATTCTCGCCCATATAAATAAGCATTGTTCAACATTGAACTCATTGCTTCATGCATCTCATCTGTTTCAGGGAGCCATCTGTATGTGGGAAGAATTAAAAATACAAAATATCATTCACAAACTAAATGACACTCAAACAACAATAGTTTCATTATTGCATCCTGTTTCTAATGTATGCGAACTGTGATCTGTACTGTGTTAATTGAGGCAGGTATTGTGTTCAATAACATGTGTAATGCAAGCTGAAAGTTTTCTTAAAAATTGACAACCAACATGTATACAACATGAACATAATGTTTAAACTACACATAACAGCCTCCTTTTTTCTCTCTTAAATTAGAAAATGGACCCACAAGAAATATTGTGACTTCTCCATGATATAATAATAATGTTTAATCATTAATGATTAAATCTTTAACATAAGAGCCTGGTCATTTTATAATGACCAACATGTGTTTGATGGACGATTGAGGGGGGGGGGGGAATATACTGCACTAAGTAATTGATGCAATTACATCATCAAAACATTGAGCAAAATTTTGAACACATCTTTTCCTACCAATCAACAAGCTTTATCAATATTTTTATGCACGCTATAATACACAAATAAAAGCAGATTGTAATACTCACTCTTGTAGTTCAGGATGTTGTGATACTGTATCATTGACTAGATCTCCTGTGACCTGTATCAAGGTCATACTCTCAGACTGGATCTGAGCAAAGAAAAATGTTAGAAACAACTTGAAATTATAAATTATAGATTCAAAGGTTTTTATATACTAAGGCTCTTTCGAACCAGTTGCATCATAGGATCAAATTATCTATTTGTATCTCTGTTCCCCTCTTATTTATGTCATTGATTCACAGTATAAACTCAGAGGTTACCTCTTTTTAAATACATCATTATTTATGTTGATGACTGATAGTGAAATGCCATTAAATCATCATGACTAATATTTCCTGACAAATTTGCAAGGTTAGTAAATTATATAAAGTTGTAAAATATTGTATGGAGTTAATGTTAAGTCCACATTCGCACCATGACATATAAATGTATATAATCATGTGGTACTTCAGACTTGGTAACATTGTAGACCCTACAAGTGTATTATGGATGCAAAATTAATAAATGTACTTGTTTACACAAATGTTGAAAATCGTAATATACATGCCTATCTATCTATCTATCACAACACACCCGGTGTAGTTTACATTTCAGGTACACAAACATCTTCAAAAGCACCTCACTGACATTATAACTGGTCAATGCATTGTGTACATGTACCTCCTTCTGTTACTCTCAGACCTTGAGGCCCGAATTCACAAAGGAAATTTGTTGACAAACCTCCTTTTGTTTCGACAAACCTCCTTTTGTTTTTTACAAACCAAGGTTTGTAAAAACGTGTCAAAACGCGTCATATGATGCACATAAACCTTGTTTTGTCGACAAACCTCCTTTGCGAATTCGAGCCGGTGTCTTTGTTAATATCAGACAGGGCCATTTGGCTCTTTAGTGCATTTATTGATTATTTCCAAGGCTGAAACTAAGCTGTTAAAGGCTTCTGGTACTCATAAGACACATTGAAGTAATGACTATTGAAAAGTGGTTTATTGTTTGCTCATGAACAGATAATATCTATGAACTGGCATATATAGGGTGTTTATGTGGTCTTTAACCTTCAGCTAGTAAGAGAACAGATGAGATATGAGATTAAGTGATTACCTGTACAGCCATCATGACAGTGAGTGATATCATTGCAACAAACATTGCTAGGATGATGAAGATACTGATCACCATATCAAGAGAGTTCTTCAACCAGCCAATCACCTGCAATGGGTGGGTGGGTGGGCAAAATTCATAGATGTGAAGTACATGTAATATTGAGCCAGACACAAAATGAACTGACTACTGGTAATTAAATTCCCCCAAAGAAGGGCACAACAAAGGAAAAGATTACTGTACAACCCATCTATATGCATATTTCATATTGTACTAAAATCAGTTCAATGGTTGTATTTTGTCACTCCAAATGATAACTAGATGGAACTTCGACTGCGCGCAGTCGAAAATGATGCCTCCGTCATAGAGCAATTTTACAAACCAAAACAAAAGAAAATTTTCAAATTCAAGTTCAATTGTAATCCATTAAAGGGAGGCTTAACTACTTCAGCTAGAAGGGATTAGACCACCCAGTAAGCCATCGAGGTCACTGTGACAGGTGGCTATCTCATTAACTTGGCTCTCATTTAACATAAGAAAAAGAGGATCATGGGGGACCAACAGGCACCGATTTGGGAAGTTTTCTATATAGAGGGAGCAAGTAGCTACAAGTAGGACAGTGTGCCTTTAACAGGTTCTCAGAACATCGTGATTACAAGCAATTTCTCATATACATATATGACCCTTTGATCTTTGACCTCATGACCCTAAAATCTACTCAGTTCATTGGCTCTGTAAGATGTCCAGAGTTAAATAGTAATTCTTCTGGCAGTTCTAATGAGAATGCGTTCACAAGCTATTTTTGCATACATAATGAGCCCTGTGACCTTTGACCTTTGGCTTCGTGACCCCAAATTCTAATCAGTTTATCAGCTCTGCAAGATACATACATGACCAAAGTTTGGCAGGAATCCATCAATCGGTTCTTGAGATATCGTGATTACGAGCTGTTTTTGCATACATAATGAGCCATGTGACCTTCGACCTTTGACCTCGTGACCCCAAATCTAATCAGTTCATTGGCTCTGCAAGATACATACATGACCAAAGTTTGGCAGGAAATCCATCAATCGGTTCTTGAGATATCGTGATTACGAGCTGTTTTTGCATACATAATGAGCCATGTGACCTTCGACCTTTGACCTCGTGACCCCAAAATCTAATCAGTTCATTGGCTCTGCAAGATACATACATGACCAAAGTTTGGCAGGAATCCATCAAACGGTTCTTCAGAAAACGCGATCACGAGCTGTTTTTGCATACATAATGAGCCCTGTGACCTTTGACCTTTGACCTCGTGACCCCAAAATCAAATCAGTTCATTGGCTCTTCAAGATACATACATGACCAAAGTTTGGCAGGAATCCATTAATCGGTTCTTCAGATAACGCGATCACAAGAACGGGACATACGGACGTACAGACGTACGGATGGACGTACGGACGGACGGACAACCCGAAAACATAATGCCTCCGGCTACTTCGTAACAGAGGCATAAAAATTATACATTAAAGAAAAATATTATCCAAGGTTCTTAGTTTGACATTCATGTAACTAAGCTTTAAATTATAAAAGTAAATGGAAATAAAATACAACATTTTGTGAAAATTTCTTTGATAATCTGTGATAATTCATTCTTTTCTAAGATGCACAATTCTGTTGACTGACTTAACCTTTAATTGGAAAATACATTGGGAAGATATATTCCAAGCGTAAAAATAAGTCACATACCTTACGATCCCCAGCCAGAAAGAGGCTAGCTAATCCCCTGACATAGGATGGGATCAGAGCATCCATTCTCCCAGCAATAGCTTCATTAACACACCTACACCTGTATTTAACCTGAAATTAAGAAGGTAATTAGAAAATTATAACACAAATCTTTTGGCATTGTCAAATCGAATTCATACTACACATTTTCTGTCATGGAGAAGAGCAGCAGACTCTCTAAATTCAATCTTCTAATCAAGGCTTCAAAATCAATTCTTGTCTTCTTTTGAGGTAATGTGCGCCAGTTTTCTCACAGGTATGTCTGTATTGATTCATTATTATAACCTGCTATTAGAACCGTTCACGGTAATACTTTGAAGAATAAGCTGTTTTGCACATTTCTCTCCTGGGCTTCAAAGGCAAGAGTAATTAAAACTGACAGTCACTGTATGTTTTGGATAACTTTCCCAAAATTATGACAGCCTTACCAGATCCCATGCTCCAACATGTTGCATAATCTTCTTGATGAGCCAGAAACCAAGAAAGATAGGAACCAGCTTTAAGATGAGCCCCATGTGAATCCAGAGCCTAAGGACCACACAGGCCCAGATGACCCCATAGATGTAGCGCACACTCTGTCCGCTGACCTCCTCTGACTCTGACCTGACCCTTCGACGGCGAGAGCCTCCCCCTCCTCCTGTATGGGGGGTGGAGGTTGCTGCGGGGATGTTGAGGGGTGGGAGGTCCAGGCGAGCAGGGCGCCCAGTGTCAGCAGCATCATCAGCTCCTGGTTCAGGGGTTGAGGTACTCTGTGGAGCAGTCTCTGACTGATCTCCAGCAGTGGAAGATGAGTCCAGGTCACTACTTGACATACTTTCTGTATGGGAGAGCAGAAAAACAACAAAATGTAGAAATAAGTTTTCCTTATAAAGAAAAATCTACTTGACCTCGACCAAAATGAAAAATCATGAAGTTATCAAACTGGCATATGATAGACTGAAAACTTAATCTGGTAAAAGAAATGCAGCTATCAATTAGCAAAATATTTTGGGAGAGCAAACTGTTTTATAATTGCACATAAAAATTGTACTCTGCTACTTCATGCATTATGTTTACCGGTAGTCACAATTGTTGATGCTATGTTATCTATGATGTGATATCATAAATCTAAGAGCTATCCTATAAGATCTTTGAGAACTGCTATCATAACGCATGGCTTCACATGAATATATATTTTTTGGAAGCATTTCAGATTTACATTTTTAGGGTCTGTGAGCATGTTCTTTTGGAATATGTGCACTGGGATTTTGTCAGTGTCAACTGTCAAGCCCTGCATAACAATTCATAGAATACTGTTTTACCCCTTGCAATCTGCTCCTTGCGATGAGTTGTGTAACCCAGGGCAACCAGGATGACGAAAAGGAAGAAGATGGGGATACGATACCAGCCAGCCACAGTAGAGAGATGGAGAAGGAGAAGAATCCATACTGGCACTGATAGGGTGGTGAGAAGGGAACTAGACTGGGGTGTCCACCAGAAAATAAGAGCCACAATGTACGCAATGATGATGGTCCATACCTGAACATTAAATGAAACAAATCAGACAAAGAATCAATTTAAAGAAAGGTTAGGTATAGACTCTATACTCATTCACAATTATTATAACATGCACAATAACAGAGGGCAAAAAATATAGAATCTGCATGTCTTCCCATTGTAGAAATTGACAACAATCAAGTAAGTTCGCAGCATGATTCAAAATATGTGACTCTGAAATCTGAGTTGTACAATGAGTCATTGTCTAATGCTGCTCTCACACTCTGCCGTGTAGGCCTACCGTCCACCTGCCGGGCTATTAAAAAAAAACAGTGTCCAGAACGTTGGGTTTTGAGCAAACTTGTCCCCGGCCGCAAAAAAAAAATCATGAAATTAATCTTTTCACCGTTTCGTTGCCATCTTCTGACCATTCTCACCTGGCGCATACCGGGTGCTGAACGTGCTTCTACCGTCTTCACCGCCCAGATTGAATTTTGTTGAAAATTTTGGCCGTTTCCATACCGGGCCCATACCGGGTCTCGAACGTGTGCACCGGGTTTGTAGCAGCCACCTACCAGTCACTTAGCGTCCCCTCACTGCTCGGAGCGTCCTGTGAGCGAGTCCCCGGACTGCTGACGTTCATGACACGTTCACAACCCGCTTACAACCCGTTGCAGACGGTGGATTTTTTTTTTTGCCCGTTCATCACCGTTCTGTAACGGGTTATGAGCGTGTTGTGAACGTGTTCATACAGTGTGACCGTTTTCATAACGTATTCATACCGTCCTCATACCGTTCAACACCGTCCTCTTGCCGCTTACTTGCGGCCGGTGCCAGCCGGCCAAAGTTTTGAACATGCCCAAAACTTTCGCCGGGTCCCACCGGGCCCGGGTGTAAATAAGCGCCAACGCCCTATTAACGTGTTGCCCGCTTTGATAACGAACCACCGTGTGCCCTCGCCGTTCTCCACCGTCCGCAGACATTTTCGCGCACGGTGGCACACGGTAGGCCTACACGGCAGAGTGTGAGAGTCACTTTAGGAAATATTATATCGTCAATAATGATAGTACATGATTGTACAGACCATTTATAGTACAATTTGTACTAATAAATGATGTTGATGAAAATGATGATAATGATACTGATGAAGATGATGATAATAATCACCCTCATCCTCCTCCTCCTCATCCTCATCCTCCTCATCATCATCATCATAAACATCATCATCACAAACATCATAAACATGCATCATAAACATAAATTTATAATCACAATATTTTAATCATGCCTCATTACCATAATATTTTGTGATTTGCTCCAAAATAATAATAGGCCTATAACCAATACTAAAATAGAGGCCTGCCTTTGTTCCTATTTTATTAAAGCATCCAACGAATGAACACAAAACTTACCCACAAAGTACTGAAAATGTCCAAGCCATTGTACAAGGTGGTGAAAAACAATTTCACTGCAGGAAAAATGTAATCAATAAACCAATAGACGAGGTAGGCTGCAGGGAAGCCCGCCCCGACGGCGATGAGCGTCTTGTATCGCCGAGAAATCAAACTTCCCAGCTGCTCAGAAGCAAAATTCAGGAAAGTCAGCGGGATAGCGACAGCCCCGACCATCAGCGGAGTACTGGAGTCTTCCAGCCCCTGAAGCCAGCCGGCTGCAGTGCTTTGAAGGGTATACTTGAACGGGTACAATACCGTGCCGCATAACATCGCCCACATCAGAGGTTTGATGAAGATTTCGAAAACATAATAAACTGCAACAACCGCAGCTCCTAAGACAGCTATCAGAAGAAAAGTAGCGGCATTGTAAAAAGCTTGTTTGAGGTGCTTTTCATGGCCCTGAGGCACAAAATTCAGCACACTATCTAGCGGCGATCGGAGGTCCCCGGGAGTCGCCATCTTTTCTTTCTTCCGCTAGTTTGTTTTCATCGAAAGTGCTAGTCTGTGTTCTAGTCTGTATTTATCAATAAACACTCGACATGATTTTGAAATTCTTTTTATCTTTCTGCCAACCCCTCCCCCCCCCCCGCCCCTTTAGCAAATGCAAAAAAGTAAAATTGTGGTACCATCTTTTATTATTTGCCAGGGGTGGAGCTAGCCCAGGCACCCCACCCCTGAATCCGCCCCTGTCAGTAGGAGGAACCTTTCAACAGCTTCTGATCTAGCGTCTGCTGTTCAAGTTGAGTAGACTAATACCAGTTGTACCAGTACCGTACATATTATTATGTGTGTCTGGAGTTTCACTTTTAATTTTGAGACGAATAAAGATGGATGCCTAATATTGATAGAGCTAGACATGCAGAGACAACTTTGTAGACTCACGTTTATACAGTAGGAACTAAGGAAAGATATGTAATCTACTGCTGACTTAAATCTTTTCTATCCAACCAATTTGAGGACCTTGCTTTTCACAAACAAAAAAGTATCAATTAAAAAAAATATATAGGCCATTATACAGCAGTGCGTCCCAGAAAAAACGAAACCAAGAACTGTCAATGCTCATGCGTGAAATATGCATCATAATGAGTTACATCAAATAAAAGGAGGATCTAAGCTTTACAAATATGTGTCATTTATTAATTATAATTGTGATTAAGTTACAAGACATTGATAATTCTCGGTTCCATTTTTTCTGGGACGCACTGTATAACTGTAACTATTATACACATGCAAACATCCAATCTATCTCTAATCATGATTATACTAAAAGGCAACCTAATATTGAACAATTCAGCATTCAGTGAAACACTCAATCTGTCTTTCAACTTACAATCAAAGAAAATGTAAATCAATCATTCAAATGACAATTAATCTACTATTCCAGCAATCAATGAAAAAGTTATTCATAAATTCACACTTTAATTAATCTACAAATCCAACAATCAATGAAATATCCAATCATTCATTCAAATTATAATGAATTAACTGACTCAGCTAAGTAAAATTCAATCAATCATTTTAAATCAAGCAAAGACAATCTTTTTATCCTACACTCAATCCAGCAGCAATCAATGGCAATCAATCATTCAAATTGCTATCTGCTCAACAATCCATTATTCAATTACAGAAAAGCAACTATCAAAATCAATATATTTAATAATTCAGCAATCAATGAAGCAATCAAATAATTTGAATTTCACTTTCACTGTATAATATGATAATGTTCAATCAGACAATCAAACAATTAATCAAACCAATCATGATGCATGAAATGTGTATATTTCTTTTTAATGAACGCAACTTTTAAATGAAATAGAAAACTTTTACTTTTACTTCATAAACTACAAATTTATTAAATTCAAAATCATACAATTTTGTGGTTCATGTGAATATAATTGGAATATAAGCATTGGTTATAATATTGGCAAGAAATCATCACACATGAAAAATTATAAATCATATAAAATCAAACCTTTATAATCAATACAGCAATTATATACAATTAGTTAAAAACAATGTTGAAAACGGTATCAGTCATTTAAAAATAACTTGTTTTTTCTTCATGAGGTCGGATCAAGAATACAAAAAATTTTCATAGATTTCCCTAAAATGTGTACAGTCTAGTGAATATATTTAAAACCCATTTAAATATTTCTGTAAATAAGTAAATTCAATTATTTGAACTTAATGTACAGATATATATTTTATCAATAAAATTGTCTGAAACATGCATTGCATACATTTTTTGTGCTTCTTCACAACTTGGAGCACATATAGAACAAGATATAGGCCTACCTGTATAATAATGAATGTTGTTTCTGTTCTTTTATGGCAGTATACATTGTGTACGCAATATGTCTATTTAATGTTATATCAAATAATGGGTATATAAGGAAATCATATTCAGTTTCAGGAAAATCCTGAAAACATACTTCATGGAACCACTTTATTCAAAGGTGTTGTTGAAACTGTTGAAATAATTTTTTTCCTTCTGTATATGTGAAACAGAGGCATATCACTGAAAAAATTCAGAATGCTATAAAAAGAAATATATTTGAAGTCAACAATCTCTACCAGAGGGCATGACTGAATACATCTTGAACATTAATCTACAGTTGAAGGATTTCCTTATTAAAGTACTCAGATGTAGAGTTTATGGATTTGGTGTAAAATTTGTAAATATATATATATTTTTCATTTGGGGTTTCCTGATCATAAGGTTTAGAATGGAATCATACCTTGCTTAGTAACAAGTTTATATTTATGATATCCGAAGATACTAGTTGTTAAACAGAATATAGTTCAACAAAACAATTTCAACTGTAATTTTAAAAAAATATGGGCAGTCTGAAGCGAATATTAAATCAAATAGATATTTTATACCCTCACAGATATTTATAAACATTACATTATCAAAAAACAAAAATACTTTACTAACTTTTACCTCCACTGAGTGATGACATTCCAGTACAAGAACTATCAGAACATACAGTATATCTATCCATCTTTGAAGATGAGTTGTGTACAACATGAATATCATATTGTACACACACTGTTGAGTATTCAATACTTAATAGTACGGTAAATCTATCATTTTAAATACATGTATGATATATATCTGATACAGGAAGACTTGATATAGTTGAGGTAAGCCCATAACTGAATAATGTGGAGGAATATATGGTAGTACTTCAGGAACAATCAGAAAATTAAAACAGAGTCATAAAATAAAGCAATCTTAAAAAGTCACTTCATCTACAAAACAATGAGTCAATATAAGATTATATCAAATCAAAGCCTATGGTAAATTCAAAATATTTCAGATAAAGAAATACATTACTATTTCGTTATAAATTTCAATTATAACAATTCGTTCAGTATTTTCTTTAAAAAGAAAGCTCCACCTCTACCACCTTACAATATTAATACTAGGAACCAGTTATTTGTATTCAACACAAGAGCTTACAATTTTCTACGAGAAAGGAGATTAAGAGAAAGAAAACGTTTCCAGCATTAAGTAAACGCCAAAGTTGCTCTGGTCTATCATCGGGTTCACAGGCGAGCACCAGATTTCTTGGATTCAAACCTAGCACAGAAACAAAAATTAGAAAGTGTCAAATTAACAATATTTATACAAGGCCTACTAAGATTCTTGCAACCTCATCGGTCAATTCTTGATCACATGACATGCGCTAAAAGTACTGTTGAACGGCATCATTCTCCAGCCGGGCAATTCCAGTTGATCCTCTCGCACCATTGCACGCTGATGTCAATAACGATGTACAAAGTATATTGTGAGGTAAGTGAAGTCACCGTGCAATGGTGTGAAAGGATCAACAGAAATTGCACTCCGCGAAACAATAAACACAAAGCATGGTTTGCGCATGGTGCGCGCATGGTTTGCTGCTTGCTTAATAATAGTGCGTGCTCACTTTCAGCAATTTTATGATAAAAAAACAAACAAAATCACAGAGATTTAGGCCAAGGAAAACTGTTCTATAAAAAAAAAATTGTTTTAATCTTGTTAACGTCCGAGGTGTTGTATAAAACAAAAAGTGAATGGTCTTTATTCGTGCAATGAAACAATATTTTGCATCCGGTGAAAGATAAGACGCTCCATTCAATTCGGCTGCACCTCGTTGAATAGAGCATCTCTTATCTTTCACCTCGTGCAAAATCTTGTACCATTGCACTCATGGCCATTCACTATTTGTATAATATTTACATATCATTATATTCTGGGGCAAAAGGAGAATGACAAGGACACAAGACCAACAATACATCAAATTGGCAACCCAGGAGTCAAGTAGCCTGCCCTCAATAAGTTTGTCAGAAGTCCATTATGAGCCATTAGATAACCTTTCAAAAGTAACAAAAGACCAACAGTGCCTAATATCATAGGCTGTATCGGTCTCATGGACTGTAGCCCTTATATTCATTCTCATCATTTGCAGATTTTTAAAATACCGGTTTACATTTCAGTTTAAATTTACATTCAATAATTGGAAAAAGAAGGTTTTATCTTACTACTATATGATAGGAAAACTGATTTCGATACATGTAGTTTGATACATCAAACACATTTAATACATGAATAAGGGAATGAACAAATGAAGAAGAGGAACAGGAGGGGGTGAAGGAATGACTGAGAGGTACACATGGGAGGGGGTGGTTACATCTTTTGAAAGTTTGAAATGATTTGATTGTTGCCATGCAGTAGTAGTATTGAGGGATATGGTTGTTATAGTTTTGACATTGGCAGAAGAGCAAGTATACAAAAGGCAAATCAGGTACCAGCATTATTATATTTCTAATGAAAATTATATCCCAACATTGGAGCACTAAATATAAAAATAGATATCTTACCTGTTATGTAACGTAACTTTATCATGTGATCAACTTCATTATGCATATTTCAAATCTTGTCTGGCACTTTGATTTGTGTTTCATTCCTCTTTAAAAATATAGTGCTTTGACATTTGCCCCGGGGACTTTTGCTCTGGGCTTTATTTCATCACAACTGTAAGGTTAGGTTTAGTGTTAGTGTTATTGTTAAGTTTAGGGTCAGGGTTAGAGTTATTGTTAGGGTTAGTGTTAGTGTTAGGTTTTAAAGGGGACAGTTTTCTAAATAGGGTCAGGGTTAGAAATAATATTGGATCCAGGTTTGAAGGTAAAAACTCGGTGAGTGTAGGAAACTACAGCAGAGCAATTGTCACAGGAGCAAGTGTCATACAACCTGAAAATCAGTTATCCAATAATTTGCAGGGAACTAAAAAAAAAATCACATTTGAGTCCACAAACAAAAGTAATATTGTCTCTGTTATACAATAATGTGTCTTTTAATTATTGTAATCATTCTCAAAACATGAATACACACGTCTATTTTCATAGAATCATTCATCCACGTGCAGTATAAAATATAGGAATTCACATTTCCAAAACACACTGTTTTGTAAAACATACTCAGTGAAAATTTTCACCTCTAACTTAAACCATAATTTTGGCAGATCGTGAAATGAATCTAAATCTAAAGGCAAATGTCACTGACAAGACTACTAAACTTAAGGAGGTTTCTTCCATAATTTTTCCATTATCACATGTATTAAAATATATTCTGCTATTTGGCACACTTAAATGTAAGATTCAAATTCTTGAATGAAGGAATCAGTAATAATGACAATTTTCAGTGTTATTTAAAGTTTTAAAGAGCTTTTACATAGCATTCCACCTCGCACTATTCAACCTATTGCATCTACATAACTTGTTTCTACCAAGCTATCAAATCACTATTAGGTAATCTTCCAGAAATTGTGCTCTGTAGATATACACTGTATATTCACATCAAAGTGATGTAAACAAAAGGATAATAGAACAGAATTACAGTATTATATTTATTGCTTACATAATGAATGAATAGCAATAAGGTTACTATAATAATACATGCATGCCTGGGAAATATTAAACAAGTTTTAGGGTTCACAGGGGTATTAAGTCCACATCAAATGAATGGTAGCATGTATGCATTGAATAAATGCCACCACACAGCTAACAACAGAAATATGACCATATTTTGGAAGGAATTGCAATAAAAATATATTTGAATATTATATGATGTAAATTTGTCCTGATTTGGGTGCAAAATGGTCTATTGTTAAGGATTTAAGCTTTACAATCTGAGATAAGGCTGAATCAGCCACAAGGTCTTTAGTAGTTATGGGAATAGCATGACCTCACTAGCAATTGCAGTCGATTGGGCTTTCACTCTGACTGAAAGGCTCACAATACCCAGTAATTTTGAGAATAGTCAGGAATGATTGATATATCTAAGCCTTAAATGTTCAAATCTTATACTATTGCAATTTCTTTCAAAGTTTAGTCGGATTGGATCGTAAGGTGTACAGTGGCGCTTATAAATTCTGAAAGACACATACCGGTAGGCTTGTCTTCATAAAAGTTGAATATAAAGTTAAATCTGATTCAACTTATTCCACTGATTTACTAAAGTGTCAACCTCTTCATACCTTGAGAATCACCATAGAAATAAATCTTCCTTTAATAAAATTCCCCTTTTCACCCAAATTTGACTCTAAAAGAATCACAGTGATTTATACTGCATGTTGAGGTTGCATTTGGTGCTTCACAAGTCAGTGGAGTACCGGTAGGTGAAAATGGGTTTAACTTAGTCTACCTTGAGGAGTTCAAGCCATAGTGTATACAAATCACACACACACACTTGGGTGTTTTCTGATCTTAACGAAACGGCACACAGGATAAATACCGGTGGGTGTTTTTACATGCTTACAGGTATGGTCCACTGCACACAATATAAACATACAGGTTTCATTCATGGACAACCTCAAATTTAAACCAGTTACGTCTAACTTGTGTCAATAAATGTAGCAAAATAAAATTAAATAATAGACGTGCGCCCTTAAATCAGGATATTGTAATAGTAATAGTTAACTGAAAGAAATTACAATTATTTTGCACACACCCTATGCACAATGCTGAAAACAAACATAAGATTGTTACACAGGGCAAGAATTAAAGTTACTACATCTAACATCACCTTAACACTCTCTCTGGGTGTACTTACTGTATACAGAATTTACACTTGTTTCCTTGATACAAATAAAAGAATGAAGTAAGAAATAGACATTAGGTATTTCAGCTGCCCTTCTTTTTTGATGGATTAATAGATATAGATTCTGAATAGTCAGCCCTTCTTATGGCACATATAGCTTAGAAAGAAACTATAATACAATGGGTATAAGCCATTTTTAGAAGCCCGATCATTTTAGAAAAGTTAAGGTAGGGATAAAATATGCTGCAAAGGTGTGATTTTTTTGTTAAATTATTAAAAGCTTTCACACATTTTCGAAATTAATGACTGTAAATATCACATTACCATCTCCCTATTTCAATGAAAATAACCGAGAAGTAAACAGAGAAAAAACATAGAGGTTTAATACTCTAATTTGTACATGTAATCATTTGTCATACCTGCTGCACTCTTCATTTTTATCAAAATACAGTGCGTCCCAGAAAAAACGAAACCGAGAAGTATCAATGTTTTATCATAACTTGATCAGAACCATAATTAATGAATGATACATATTTGGAAAGCTTAGAGTCTCCTCTTTCAGTTGATGCTACTCAGATGATGCATATTTCACGCATGAGTGATTAAAAGCCATTTGAAGGAAGGAAACCAAAAAGACATTTTGTGGGCAGTATCCGAATTTCGAAGAAAAATTCACATTTCTAGAAAGTTGAGTTTCTGCTCTTTCATATGACACCTCAATCAGGAAAAATGAGCATCACATGAAAGAGGAGACTCTAAGCTTTCCAAATATGTATCATTCATTAATTATAGTTGTGATTAAGTTATAATAGAACGTCGATACTTCTTGGTTTCGTTTTTTCTGGGACGCACTGTATATGAATACAAGCTATAAAATCAGAATTATTTGCCACTCAAACTTCACAAATTATTCATGAAATTGCAAGCAGAAAACTGTAAATCTGGAACACTTGTGAAACTCAGTGGAATTTGCTGCATACTAAAGTTTGACAGAAGCGATAATATGTAGCCTTTTATTTTCTACTAGATGTCTTGTATGAGAGAAAAAAATGACTTGACATGAAATATGAGAGCAGATATGTCTTGTCTGGTGACAACTGTATATAGGGTGGGGTATTATGAAGGCTTTCTGCATGGTGGGTATGATTTATAAATTGAAGAATGGAAGCTGGTTTGGAGCATGTCATGAGATGGATGATAACAATGATGATGGATGGTGAAGATCATTACATATGCTCTGGATGATCATGAAGAGATTCTATCAGCTTAGTCGCTGGAAGACCCTCGTAACAAATGTTGTAGATGGCAGTAAACAGGGGGTATCTACAAAGAGAACAGAAAAAGATTTATTGAATACATAATCAGGGCTCAACAATTACAGTAACTAAACAAATGGGCATCCAAAATCTAAGCCTAGACCCTCAACATATCAAAATGTTCACATAGAGCTCATGAATACTGAGTAAGTTACTGACTCTAAAATGTTTAATCTGCACCCCTTCCAAAAAAATGTTAGTGTGAAGCCCTGATAAAATGAATGTATGAATTCATTGGTTAGTGTAGAATTGTATTGGTATTACAAGTATGGAAGGTGAATCATCCAATAACTCAGAGTAGAATTCATAATTTAGACTAAGTAAGATACTCATGACATGGCATGCTGTCATCAAATGAAGAACAAATAAACAGATGTTTGATATCTTTCACTACACAGTTAAATGAGCAAACACTTCATATTGCTATCAGAAGACAAAGTGATCTACCCCACCCCCTCCCCCCCCCAAAAAAAAAAACATTAAAAAATGTCTGATTGACTATAACACTAACACACACACAAGAACAACCTCAATCTACATTAGTCTTCTGTAATATTACAATTTTAATACACGACAGCAGCTATTCCTGATATATTAATCTTCTCTCAGGCTCCATCCAATGTATGTTCTAATCAATCAATTCATACAGCCAACCAATCCCTTTTATTCCTTGTATCACTTTTTCATAATAGTCCTGGTTGTACTTACTGGTCAAGTAGATTCTTTGCTTTGAGCATCTGATGAACTTCAAATGCTGTCTGAGGTCCTTGAAGCTTCTGACCGTTCAACATCTCCTTCTCGAGCTCTTCGATTGTCTGCAACAAAGCAAAGAAACATCAATTATATTAATACACAAGACTTTGCAACAAAGCAAAGAAATTTCAATTATATTAATACACAACACTTTGGAATATAACAGTTTTCAAATGAAAAAAATAGATGATAAATTAGCAATGTCTTCTCACAAATACATTTTAAAAGTAGGTTTGTACCACAGGAAATCAATACTTCTTTATGCTGACATATATGTTTACATATTTAAGACATTGATGATGGTAGAATGCGATCGTACATAGAAAAAGTATATTGTCCGAAGTGTCTGTTTATGCTACCAAATCCTGCTTCTGCATCAGCAATAGTACCAGCTACGACATAGATCTGAAGAAGCTTGCAGCATGGAAAGTGAAAGCTTACCAAGACAGGTAATTTTGCCACTGATTTTGAAGAAAAGCGATTGTTTAAGTTACATCACCAATCAGATGAACCTGTTCAGTGATATCAGCAAACAATATTTGGATCTTGGAATCCATACCTTTCCTGTCACGACGAATGCTTCAGCAACCCTCCTATTCCTGCCTCCGTAGCATGTGGTGATGAGATCAGCAACACCGCAGCTCTCCAGGAAGGTTGCCTTGTCAACGTTCTTGTAGAACGTCTCAGCAAAGGATACCATCTCCATGAGACCCAGTCGGATGATAGCAGCCTTGGTGTTATCACCTAGCTTTAGACCATCAATGATACCTGCACCTACTGCTACAATGTTCTGTCAAATAAAGTATGAAAAGAGAATGCAAATGTTTTTTTTCTCCATTTCTTTCTTCAAATCAATGAACAAAGAGTATTTACAATTTAAGATACAATCATAGCTGATAGAGAAAGCAGCCTTGGTGTTATAAGATAGCTTTAATAGACAATCTATGATACCAGAGCATCTAGTGCTACAATGTTCTATAACATAAGATATGAAGAGAATACAAAGGCTTTTCATTGTGCTCTCTTTGCTAATGTACAACAGATATAACATATCGGGGGTACATATGTTCCTTCAGCTACAATGTTCTATACAAACATTAAACATGACTGATTTGCCAAACATATTGCTGAGTTGGGAGTAAAGAAAAAAAGGAAATCAAGATGATCTCACAAATGGTTTGCTCGATATAGTCCTGTATAATTATGTGCATGCTATTTCGTGCTTTTCAATCACTGTGAGTTTCTATAACTCTGTTTCTTTCACATTTTGCTGGTCCACATGACCTCTATTTAATGCACGGTAATCAATTAAGAATGAGTTAAGAATAGCCAGTTTCTATCAAAAAATAGTTCCATTACCAGCACTTAAGCTTATATTTACAGGCTAAAGATGAGAGTAATATTTACCTTTAATGCTCCACATAGTTCCACTGTGTTTTCATCTTCCACTACCACCACTCTGAAGTAATCTACCTCAAAGAGTTTCTTGAGCAGGATACCCTTTTCCTTGTCTTTGCAACCTGCAATAATTAAAAAGAGAATGTCCATAGCTCTATTGAATGACATTTACTGAGCCAAAGTGTTGGCAGGGTAACTTGTCATTTGGTCCAGTGGTCATATGATCTAACATCACTTTGTGTATAAACATCTCATCCAAGGATCATTTTGTAGAGGTGTCCTGGTCAAGTGGTTTAAGCATTTGACTTTCAATGCAAAGGTTGTGGGTTCGATCTCCGACTCTACATAGCTACAATAATCTACATTAGCCACTCCACACCCTGGAGAGAAATGGGGACCTAGCAGGATGAAAAAAGCTTTTGTTTTTAGTAATTTCCATTTGCTCTCATGGTGTCTATACGATAGGAATACTCCCCAGGGACACGAGATGGTGCATGTTGTGCGTTAATGTAGCTGATGTCCAAGGTAATAGTATCTGTAAAGCGTTTAAAGATGGTATTTAGTCTAAATAATCATTTAGTCCGATAACAATTCAGTCTATAACCATTTGGTCTACATAGCAGGGCCACCTCTTATAAAATATTGCGATTGATCAAAATCAATTGTAAGTCCTCTAATTGATCGCAAGTTTGCAGTCTCCAATCTCTTATGTACATAGTTGGGATTGATATTGATTGCAAATAAGTTGCGATTAATATCAAATCTTTATAAGACGGGGCCAAGGATTATTTATGAAATGGACTATATTTAAAAAGCAATGGAGAGTGTCTATATGATGTGATGTTTCATCATCTATGACAGGACACTAAGTAGTAAGTTCCAAAGTTCAAAACTTAGATATGGAAGAGAGAGAAAGAGAGAGACAGAGACATAGACAGAGAGAAACAGAGAGAGAGAGAGAGAGAGAGAGAGAGAGAAAGACAGAGAGAGAACCAGAGAGAGAGAAGGGAGAGGGGAAACACAGATTGAGGCAGTACATACTGTACACACAAATGACAATAAAAATCAGCTGTGAAAACAAACAAAAAGTGTTGATCAAACATAAAATCTTCCATACCGATTGTTGTCTCACAGAACTTCTCAGCAGCTACCTCTGGTGCCAGATTAGCTCCCATAAGTACATGACAGGGTACCCCTCCCAGGTAGGATGAGATCATCTCGGAGATTAACTCTAATCCTTTATCCTTGATGTGTACACCCTGATCAAAGATTGGAAATAAGTAAAATAAGAAATAAAGGAAATCTTTAAAAGTTTTTAATGTTTTCAAAATTGTAGCACAGTCAAACCACCAAATAGACCCAACGCCAATCAAAGTCAACCCTCTTGGCCATCCAGTGTACGGTAACATAATTTTGGTTTAGTCTTTTTGTTGGTCTGGTGTTGGTCTCGCCGGTGTAACTGAGATAAAGGAAAGCATAGGGGGACACAAGAAAGGATCTCAAATAGGCAGGTGGTCATTTTGTACAAGTTTTGAGTTTCAGTGGAAAATACAAATAATATACATTTGTACAAACTTACGGTGGTCATCCTTTACAGGTGATCACTAAAACAGGTTCCACTGAAGTTGTCAAGTTGTACTTTCCTTAAAACACAAGACTGCCCCTAAATCGTTTCAAACAGAATACTAAGAGTCCAAGACACTAAAAGAACTGATGTTCGGAGGCAGGGAAATTCAGTAAGCCCTCAAATAGTGAAACATTGTATATGAAATATTTGTGTACATGTAGATGTCAGACGTTTTCCTAGCACTTAAATATTATCAATGGGCACTTTCATTCTACAAAACATGCATTAACATGAACATGTAAGTCATTGCACATCAAGGCAGTTCTCTAACAAGCATTATAAAGTGCATTTACAATGTAGATTATATGAAAATACAGGTTTCCAAATGATGTATATGAAGTGTGATCAATGAATTATGATTTTAAATATCCTACATATTGAAGCTGAGGTGATCTACATATAAACAGACCTTCAGGAAGGAAAGAGCCCAATAAAGTGTTCCTTTAATAAAAACAAAATCTCCATTGTACATACACAGTACTGTAGTAACTGTACTCTAGAACTGTACACTGTATTTGAACTCTCTCTTTTTTGGCCTGTTTTTTTAAAACTTGGTTGAAGTTCAGAAAAACATGCCTTAATTAGATAAGGTTCTATTCCACATACATTGTACATGTACATTAGCTATTGGACAAAATTATGACAAATCACAAAGCAAGTTTCTCTAAAGATTTGTCTAAAAAACATGCTGGCCCTATACAAGATAGATCAAGATATTTACCCATTGCCTATACAAGTATGCATCCCCTTATACAAATATTGGATACACACTGCGTTTCATTTACAGGTTTATTATCTTTCATGATGTATACTCAATTATTAAGAAAATACACTGTATACAGTGTTTGCCTTTTTTTAAAACAAATTTGTGTTTGCAGTTCAACACAAAGTAAAAAAAATTTAAAAACCCAGACAAGGCCATATAGTAAATAAATACTACCAAAAGATGTGACTGGAGTCAAATAATGGATATAATGATAACTTTGTATGCAAGTCTGAAGTCCATTTCAACTGTTGAGGCCATGTATGGCATTCTGATTCATGTACAAGGCGTTTATTTTCTGACAGGTGAAACGCCCTATTACGGTACCAATCTAGTCAATATTTTTACGCCAAATATTTTTCAAACACATTATAATACATTTTCTTTATTAAATATGAATCCAATCAAATATTATAGATCAAAGTTGAATCTAATTCCCTTCAGTTTCTCAGGTTCTGGATCTCAGAAATCTATAATAAATCTGTAATATCTGAAGAAACAGACTTTATAATCTGATATTATCAAAATCTTTGAAGGCAATACACATGTTAACATTAATATCCCACCCAATATTTTACCATTTCATTGCAAAGTCCACAAACAAAACCATATTTGTTCAGACTAAAAAATATGCAATGACCATGCAAACAATGGACAGCAGTTCGATTACAGATGGATTCACACGGTAACCCAAATTTAATGTGATATGATGTCAATGTTAGTTACATGTAGTACCTGTTTTACATTGTGCGCTTAAACACTGCAAATTTTTCATCTCCAAACCAACACTCTATGGAGTAATCATTCCTATACAACAGTATCTTTACCTCCATGTTGATATCTGTTTCTGGATTATCATTGGGCATTACACCCTGAAAACAACATCATATCAATATCATCTTATAGCTTTCATGAAAATAAAGAATATCAAAAATAAAACCCTGGACTTAAACCTTGTCCCCTTTCATTGTTAATTTTGAATACCTCCCTTTCAATACAAAGCATTACAAATAAAATTGATAGATTACAAAGACCCGACCTGCAAGAATTGGGCAGAGTAACATCCAACACATATTTGCTCCTTAGAAAATTGATATTCACTCCCACAGCAATTCTCTCTGGTAGATTTGATATGGGAATATATTGAGACGGGAATATATTGAGACAAAAAAGGTAAATAAAATAAACAAGTTCTTGGTCCTCTATCAAAAATAATATATTCTTTATCAACAAACTGATAAAATGCAATGCAATGTTGTGACATACACTGTACCCACTGCTGAGACTTAGAGAATCAAACGCATCTCTATCCAACTGTACTTTTCTGACACATTAAGATTAATTTCTAATGTACCTGATTAGTCACTAGTGGCAAATGACAATTACTTTTTAACTATTGTGCTCAACATGACTGTAATCTTATACAAAATGCACAGGGACAGGTACCAAATAATCATTAGTATAATTAATCAAATCTATTGGTTATCAAACATCATGTCATAATAACTAATATTACTACCATATGAGGTAAGAAACTAGACAAAATAATAATTAATTAATAATAATAATGCTGCCAGTGCTCCAACATTTGCTCTTGGCTTTATTTCATTCCAAGTAAAGAGTTGCAATTGGATTTAGGTTAGTTGATATAAGAGTTAGGTTTAGTGTTGGTTCCAGGGTTGTGCTTAGAATTTGGTAAGTGTAAGGACATTACCACAGAGCTATTCCTGCAGGTACAAGTGTCATACAACTAATGGTGTTACGTGCTTTATCAAAAAAGGTGAGAAGATGAAAAAGGTAGGCAAAGTTCTGGCTTACCTTAATAAGTGAGATGGCGATGGTATCTGGATCTATTTTCCCCTTTAATGACTCACACACCTTAGGGACAAACTGATGAGGTAGTACAAAGATAAGAAGCCTGGCTCCCTTGGCAGCCTCAGCTACATCAGGAATAGCAACCTACAAAAACAGGAGAGAATAAATCTGTCTTGAAATTAAAGTCTTTTTATTACTCTGTCATTATTCAATATTCATACAAAATGTTATTTGTGATTAGTGTGATATACTTTTTAATGTAAGGTCACATAGTAACCAAAACTCTTTGGAAGTGCGTTTAGAGCCTTTGAAAAACTTTATTGTGAGGATACTGTATGTGCAACAACATCATCTTTTCATCATTATAATTATGATCACAATTTTTTAATCAAAATTATGTGATTACGTGAAATCAAGTGATACCTCCTGTGTTTCATTCATGTACATACAGAGAGTATATCTAGCTATTGATTTGCACAAAAGAAAATACACAAAAGTAATAAGGTATAATAAGAATAATATGATTTTGAAGTTGCATACGGTAATATAGGAATTTGTAATATCTAATATTATGAACAAAGTTGCATTTCTCTTATTTCATATTGACATACCCACCTTTGTGTATTACCCTCTTGATGATTCAAATCTTAAAACATCCATGGTATTATCATAGTTTAGAAACAAGAATATGCACACAAATTGCAAGATATTTTGTGAAATAATTACCGGTATATATAAAGTCCTATCACATATTAAACTTCTAGGGTTAAAATAAACATGGAGGTGTACATATATCGAATGACTCAACCAATATGCAAAATGATACCAATAATGATATCAATAAAATTAATTATGATAACACAGTTCTAACTTGACCTTCAACCACAATCTAACTATCAATTAGGTTTCCAATAATGACCAACCATATCATGAATTCAAAGACTTCTTCTAACACTGCTGTACCATATATCAAATATTTCTCTTGAAATATAAGCTTGCAATCTGCAGCAATTTTATTTTTCCCATTGAAAATCAGTGGCAAATAAATATGACCATACTCCCAAACTTCTCACAGCAGCATGCATCTGTGTGTTGACACTGATGGATAGAGCAGGCCATTTTGATTTAAACATGTCTATGATAGGTTCATCATTCACTTCTAACAGATGTACTGTGTATATTTACACAGGGAACAAATGTAGTAAATGGGATAAGGCATGCATGCACACAGAAATGCCAAGTTAATTTACAACATAAATACATAGAGATATCTACATTGCAGATTTCTAGATATTAACCTAAGGCAATTTCAATACCTTGTGCATCGCATCTTGTATACTTTTGTATCATTTTGCATCTAAGACAGAGCATTTCCGTACTTGTTATTGGGTGAACACCTGAAATGGTTTCAAATTCCCCATGAGTGCCCATTTCTTTGTGTCCTTAAGTGTTTACTTACCACATTATCTGGTAGAATGTGCCCTGGAAGGTATTTCTCATTAATATGGGTAGTATTGATGGTCTCAGTCAACTTTTTCCCATTCACCATCTCTTCAAAAACCCACATAGAAACCTCATCTTCAAACTCTGGATACTTCTTAGCATTCACACCTACAATCCTGGCAATGGCTGAGCCCCTGGAACAAGATAAAAGAAAGAGAGATTAAATATTATAAACAAGACCTAGATGTAGATGTTAAATAAACAGAATTGTATTGATGATATCAGTCGACTTTCTCCCATTCATCGGCTTTTCAGAGACCCACATAGAAAACTCATCTTCATACTCCTACAATCCTGGAATTGGCTGAGCCCCTGGAACAAGATGGATGAAAGATGTAGGCACACATTTTTTTCCATTGTCATTTTTTTAATAGTATTTGATAGCCCAAAACTTGAACATTTTGGGAATTTTTTAATTTTTCCTTTCCGATTTCTCCCCGATCATTTTCATTGATCAATAATCAGAATTTATTACCTGATTTCACCTGATCGACCAACAATCAGCCCCCGAGCCAATGATCGGTTACAGGGTTATTTTGGACTCAATTTAGAGTCTGTACTTGCAGACTACCAGCAATGTATGTAACCTCCCACCCCCCCCCCCCCCCCTCTCTCTCTCTCCTTCAATATCACATATCATAAGATTCACTGACAAGTGTTACAACCAGTGGGGTCGTGGAGATATTTGTCTTTGATCCCCAGGCATGACTGTTTCCAGAGCAACAACATACAAAATAATAACCCCCCTATCCAGTAGTCTACAGTTCAAACCACAGAGAAAGAGAAGTTTATATCTTCATTGCATATTTTTCATTTACTGTAAATAAAGCTGATTAAAACAATGATTTTAAAGTTTTGATGTAAACTTGGGAATATTCAACAGGTCCATTATCAGGTCCATTATCATACAACAGAATGGCATTCACAAGAAAAACATTTTTTTACTGGTACCATTAGCAAGACAGCGTATGGAAATGTCTTTCTAACAAACAATGGTGTTTTTTTAGAATAACTAGATTCCAACGGAAACTCAAACCTTTTTTTTTTTTTGGGGGGGGGGGAGATGGTAATTATAAGGGCACCCACAAGTTCATGAAGCATTAAAGGAGAATGACTGTAATGACAAATACATGTGCCTCACGACCCATCATACTGCATGCATATTGCATATTAACATAACTAAGGGTTAGAGCTGTTTTTTTAATATAAATGTAGCAGACTTGAACACATAATTTTAAGTTCAAAAGATGGTTATCACACTACATTTAAAAACTAGTATTTTTGACTGGTATTATTTATTTACATACATGTACATGTTCATGTATATGCAATAAAGAATACTACATGAGCAGTGTATTGTATTTGTACTGTTTGTTTTTAAGATACTCCCAAATGTTTTGCTTATAATTCTGATTAGATTTCCCAAAGCAGTACATTGTTTGAAATTATTTATGAAAGTTTTAATCACTCAAGGTATGGGCTCTTTAAATAGTTTTTAGACATTGTTGAGTATTCTTGTTTTTTAAAGTATCGATTGTAATAGTAAATTCATTAGTTTTTTTGTTTACGCTTTCTAAACTGATTTGTACCAAAATACTTTGTTTAGCTGTTTAAGGGGTTAGGCTCGACTAGCACATGTGCTATTATCCGGCCCCTTTTACCAACCAATAGTTTCTCTTCTTGTATATGAAATGTATATGTATTGCTGTTGGTAAATAAATCAAATCAAATCAAATTGGCTGAATCAGTAATGTCTCTGTGATGGACAACTTTTCCATTTGTTCCATCACAAAATTCCTACAATTTCAATTTAGACAAAATGTATGACTCAAGAGGGTCTTTTCTTGAGGACCTATAATAATATGTTATCCATATTATGTTTTGAGTAGTGCCCCAAGGGAGAAGATGCTGAGAAGCAAAACACAAACCAATGATATTTTCGTAGTACACAAGAAACGGGAGACTACGTTTCAAACCAATGACCTTACTGCCAATTTGAGATTTGCATATAGGCCTACTTAGCGATCTCAAATAAATGACACATTCATACTTTTGTTTAAATTGTTAGTCCAATTTATTTCATACTTTCAGCATTAGACCTATGTTATATAATTTGTATTATCATAAACTAACAAATTGGCAACGCAAAAACTGTTTTTCACCAGTATATCACCTGTATACCACCAGTACCTAAGCGCTGGTCCGAGAATAACGATCATCTGCACAAACGAAGATCGTCTTTGTAAACGCGGACAGATCGACCGCAAAACTAAGGATAGTCCACATTTTCGCTGATGATTCTGATTTTGATCCGCGTGTTGGCAATGATTTTCTTGATGTATTTTGCATTGACTTTGTACAGAGACTTTCGCGTTATGAGCGATAAATTCTCTGGAAGACGGACAGCCCATAAAATTAGACAGTGAAATGGGGGTATTTTATAAGGCTGCGACGGGTAGTCGAATGCTCGAGTACCCGCACGGTTGACAACTACTCGGGTACGATTTCTCATACCCGAATATTCGGCCGCAAAAACACAGTAAACACGCCCCTACACGCGTCTTCGCATTTCAGCCGGAACCAACATGGCAAACTCTTGTAAGAGATCCTAACTCATATCTGATTGATAAAAAACACTCACACACAGCTCAGTGACGTGTTGCACCAATATCATTATCATATTCAAACCTCTATATCTGGGACCGAGACAAACCAGGCCACGTACATAACATGGTCATGGACACACCAGACACAGACTCACAGAGAAAAAAATGTTCAAGGTTTGCATCATCTAACTCACCAGTTGCCGGACCCGATGATGCAAACTTTTCGTGCAGATTGGTTGCTCATTTTCCTTCTGTTCACAGCCTGGTTTTGGGGAAAACAAAGCAAATTTACTGATGATTCTAGTATTAATTTTCGTTGAGTAATCCGTGCAGGATTTATAGAATTACGAGGGCCCAAGCAAGAAAGAGTATTCTCCACAAGAGAAATAACTCTAAAGTACTTTCGTAGCAGACCAAAATGCATGGGCGTATACAATATAGTATTTGATTAGAATTAATGCTTGACTTTACACACGAACATGTGTTTGTAATTGTACGCACGCACCACAGAAATAAAAATACGTAGAACGCTGATATCCATATCCCCGGGGGCGGATATAGCCGGTGGCAAGATGGGTGGGGGGGGGGGGGGGGAGGGGCAATTCTTGGGCCATTTTGCGCAGACTCAGCCGGCCGGTGAATATATAAGCGGGGGGTGGGAGGAGATGCTGGAGAGAAGGACCACTGTTGTGTTGGGGTTTTTTTTTGGGGGGGGGGGGCAAAATTATTTAAATTATTTCTTTTCTTTTTGGGGGGTCAGGGGGGACCCTTTTTTTGTGTGTGTAAAGGTAAAATTTACGTTAGACTATCCCTTTTTATTATTTTTTTTTTTACCGTTTTGGGATGCTGGTGGGGGGGGGGGGGGGGGGGGGGCCGGGCCGGTAGAATCGGCTCGTGGATCCGCGCCTGCATACCATTCATTCTCAATGCACAAGTCGACGTGTAGCTTTCAAACGTACTGGAGGATACACTCGAGTGCACACGCCGCCATATTACTTAGTCCTCGATCTTTTGTTGAATTCCTCTGTTCTCTGTGCTCTCGATGACCGGTGGTTTATTTCACCGTTCACGGGAGGGCTCTTCTGGTTTGGGATGCACTATAGACACCGTTATTTTTTGTCGGCGACTTGGCCTACGCGATATGGGTGTCATTATGTCTTTGTATTTTCATCCCTTCGCCCATATATTTTTGCTACGATATTTTTTCAAGAGCAAAGATGAATTCATTATATAAACGATTTTTAGTATCTTGGTTTTCAAGAATGAATATCAGTTTTACGCATTAAACTATGATCTTGATTTGTAATATGATTCAGTTCCAAGACTATTTTAAGGGAAGGGCTTATAAAGATGTCCTGTGGTTTTTCCTGTGGTACAACATTTCACAGGAATATCAGATACTACATACGGGGGAAGGGTTACACCTCTTAATTCCCCGATAATCAACTTTCCAGTTTCTAATGTTAATACGCAAAGAAGCATTCATGCAGGTGCGGATCCACGGGGGGGGGGGGAGTGGGCCTTGCCCCCCCCCCCCCCCCGCGCAAAGAGAGAGAGAGAGAGAGAGAGAGAGAGAGAAGGAAAAGAAGGCCGGAAAGGGAAAGAGGAGAGAAAGGAAAAGAAAGAGGAAGAAGAAAAGAAAAGGGGGAAAGAAGGTGATTGGGGATGGGGGCCGGAAGGCCCTTGCCTCCAAGGCTGTTGCCCCCCCCCCCCCCCCTCATTAAAAAAAAGTAAGGAAGAAGGAATGAAAGAGAAATAAAAAAGGAAAAGAGAAAAAAGAGAAAAGAAGGGGGATAGTTCCAGTTTTCCCGCCAACAAGTGCGGGGGGGAGGAGGCCCTTGCCTCTCACCTCTCACCCCCCCCCCCCCCCCCCGCCCTCGCATAAAAAAAAGTGAGAAGGAAGGGAAAGGGAAAGACAAGAGCTAAAAGGGAACAAAAAAGAGAAAGAAGAAAAGAAAAGGATGACAAGAAGGGGAGATAAAGTGCGATGAATCCCGCGAATAACGTGTGGATCGGGGGAGCTGAAAGGCCCTTGCCTCCCCCCCCCCCCCCCCCACCCCCCAAACCTAAAAGAGAGAGAAGGAATGGAAGGAAAGGGAAACGGGGGGTAAAAAGGGAAAGAAGAAGAAAAAAGAGAAAGAAGAAAAGTAGGCGAGATCAGTTACGATTTTTCCCGCCAGCAGCTACCAAATAAAATTCAAACGTAATTTATTTCTAATTCGATACAAATGTTGCTGAAATGACATAATTTCCCAAGATATTTCCTCACTTTTTAATAAATTATGTTTTTTTTAAACACTTTTCCTAAATTTACAGTCAGGCAGGAAACATGTCAGGGTCCATGAGCCCCCCCCCCCCCTCCACTTTTTTGAAAAAATATATAAAATAGAAATAGAAAGAAAGAGAGAAAGAATAAATAACAGTGACCGACCAGTGTCACAAAATAATGGGATATCAAAATAATTATGCTCATCTGACCGTGATTAAATGCCTAAAACCCCTGAGCTTCCAGGGGCTCTGCCCCCTGGAATCCACCTAGGGCCCTAAGGCGGGCCCCTGGACGCTCATGTGACGATAATACGACTAAAACCCCTGTGCATCTGGGGGCTCCGTCCCTTGACTCAACGCCAATTAGTGTCTTGACATAGTGTGACAAAATAATGGTATCAAAATAATCTGACCGTGATTAAATGCTTAAAACCCCTGGGCTTCCGGTGGCTCCCCCTGGGTTCCACCAAGGGTCTTAAGGCGGGTCCCTGAATGCTTATCTGACCGTTATAAATACCTCAAATACCTGAGTTTCAGGGGGCTCAGCCTCCTGGACCCCACGGCAATTAGTGACCTGCCAGTGTCATTAATATGAATAAGGTATCAAAATATGTTCATCTGACAGTAATTAAATGTCCATACCCCCTGATCTTCTAGAGGTTCCGCCACTTGACCCCCGCCGGGGCTTCGCCCCTAGACCCCACGCCAATTTACGCTACTCTCTTTCTGATCGTAAATACTTTATAGCCTCCCCCACCCGATTTGAAACACGTTCAGCGAGGCCTGCATTTAAGAGTGGGGTGATGCGGATTTCTTGTCTCCCCCCCCCCCCCTCCTCCAAAAGGAAAGTTTTTTGCTCATTACGCCACTGCTGGTCACCATTACGTACCAATAATTGGCTCGCATAATTCCAAATTTAGCCCCCCCCCCCTTATAAATCCTGGATCCGCGCCTGCATTCATGTATGCATATGAAATATCAAAATATTTTCCGCACCATAATATATTACCAAAAGTAGGCCTATATAGGATATAACGGTAACGTGATTATTATTGTTGTTTTAATTATAAAAAATGTAAAAATCGATGATCGCTCTAAAAGTCATGCGTCATCTCCTGATTTTTTTAGTTTCTGTTTGCTTATCTAGTCCTTTTCTATTACTCACAATTTACATAAATTCAAGCGGCGGATCCAGGATTTTCCAAAGGGGAGGGTGCGTGAAGTGCTTCGAAGAGCCTGTCCTTCGGGTTCGAAACCAATGCGATGCGCTAGTGCCCTTTGGTAAGGCATTAATCCTCATTGCCAGGGCCCTCGGAGAGGACCTAAAGCGTCGGCCGTCTGGTTGCTTACTTACAAGCATTTATGCTTTCTTAGCAGTCAGGTAAAATAACCACCACCACCACTTCTCCTTCTCCCTCTCTCTCTTTGAATACCGTATACAAGGTAGCCAGGTGCATCGGTGGTTACTACTCATTCGCTGCGTGTTTAATTGGCCCCACTGAGCCCTCTCCATAGTATAAGCTCTCTAATTGACCTGCCGCGCATTAAATCTCAAAGATCTTGCCTGGCCTGGGGATCTGGATTCAGGGGGCGTTTTATTTCTAACCCATCAATTTGTAGGTCTTCGTCATCATAATTTTGACCGTTCCCTCCGAATTCCGACATAGAAGATCATATTTTATCTTGATATCTTTATTTAATTTACATTCATCAATCATCATCATTTCCGGAATGAACATAATGATGAATGAATGAATGTTTTCTGAAAGCATTTATGCACGAGATATAAAAGGTCTGAACACTGAATTATAAGGCGGGACAATTATTATTCTAATGAAAATGTCCCAGGCCATCGAAGGAGACTATTTCTATTGACACAAAATGAACACAAACACACAAACAAACAGCAAATTTAGAAACCAAGTTAATCCCAACAATGATTCTAAGATCAAGTTTACAATCCCGGTTAACAATGCATCATTATTTTCACTCGGAGTGCAGTCACACAATCATGCCGTATTCCAACCAATTCACACTCTACCAAAGTTATGTCTCAGTGTAGTGTCGGGGCTCGAACCAACGACCTTCGCATCCCCAGTAAAGTCAAAGTTACACATCGAACCTTTTGTCCATCAATGTTTTTTAACTCAATTTCTAGGATTCTCTGCATCTATTTGTTTTCGTATTGAAAATTTTATGATAGGGACCATTATGTAGGTTATATTACCCCAAATTGAGTTGAACAGTGTTGAGAGTGAGAAGATCATTTCAACTTTAATTAATGAAACACATATAATTTTGATCACCATCAATGATTACAATTTATTATCGATCGAAGCCTAGTTTTTTGGGATGCAAAAATTATTTGCAGTGAATGTGATATTTATTTCCTTGTCAAAGCCAAAATTTGCGTGAATTTGTAATGACTTCAGAATACAGAAAAGAAAGCCCCCCCCCCCCAAAAAAAAAACGAAGTCCAGTTAGCCATGAAGCAGAGACAAAAAATAACATGGCCTAATCATAAATCATACTGGTGGTATATGACATAAGTCATGATAATGCCCTCATATACTTTCACAAGGCAGTCAGCTGACTTGTTAATCTGGATGAGTGTAAGGGGAAGTAATTCCAAGGGCAATGAAAGGAAATAGAATAATCTAAAAACAGCTCTCCGTGGAAGAGGCTGCTTTCTGCATGGTCGCACTTACTGAGCCCATTTAAGTGTTGTTAAATAGTCAATATATTTTATTTTTCTTCATGATCTCTTTCCACGGTTGCAAACTAATTACAACATGATGATAATAAACAAATACATCATCAATGTAATACATCGCAATACTAACATAAAAAATCATGAAGACGGATTGCCTTTCAAGCTTAGCTTGAAGGGGTAATCCTTTATAAAACTTAATAATTTCTGTATACAAAAATGATGTTGGGGATGGGAGTAAAAAAGATGTATGAGAAGATGGTAAATAGAGCGACAAAGTTGAAGGCTGTGCTGAACAGATATATGGAAATGACTGGTGTTATGATCAATTCATTGAATGAATTCTTAGATGTGAGCAAATTTGTATTTTTCCCCTTGTCCTTTTCGGTGTTCAAATTCCACAAAAATTATGATTAGTAAAAAAAAAAAATCTGAATTGATAGAATCAAAATCAATCTACATGATGTATAGTTGTCTCCCTCTATCGGCAAGTACCGTCTTGATCAATATTGCCTCCCTAAAAATACTGAAACGAGTCTTTGATCCTCTACAGTGTGAGTAAAAAAAAGTTTACACCTTTAAAAATCATCTTTGAACAGTAAATGATTATACATCAATATGAAAGAGTGTTTTATCCCAAATCATTTAATATCATTTTTGTGTGGTATGTGTTCACGCTTGGATGAATATGAGGCATTGTTTGTAAGAGTGCAAAAATCGACTTGCGCCAAAGTTGCTTATGTGATGTTTGAATAAAACAATTGGGATTTGGGTATTAATTCGGTCTTTGCAGATCCAAATAACATCCCTAACAAAATTAATCATGCCACACATATCAAATATCGAATATCAAATATCAACGAACATTTGTGCGCGTGTGTGTGGGTGTGTGTGACTTTTGCTCTTTGCAAAAAACATATGCAATGGCTTTTCATTTGATACATTCAATTCATTCTCTCACTCCGCTAATCCCAACATACATATTGCAGGCATCACTTTGGCACAAGTTGATTTTTGCACTCTCGCAAACGATGCCTCCTGTTCATCCAAGCGTGAACACATATCACACGAAAATTATACCAAATGATTTGGGATAAAACACTCTTTCATAAGATGTATGATAATTAGTTACTGTTTATAGATGATTTTAAAAATAATTAGCAATTTTCTAGGTGTAAACCTTTTTTTGACTCACACGGTATAGATGCGAACGTGGCACCTACCTCAGTGCCCCCATTGGAAGGCGAACCAAATAACAAATAAAACGAGAGAGGCTGAGAGAGAGAGAGAGAGAGAGAGAGAGAGAGAGAGAGAGAGAGAGAGAGAGAGAGAGAGGAAGAATAAAGGATACAAGTATGTGGGCATATACACAAAAAGGAGAAAAAGAGGGTAAAGGAGATTAAAGGGCCATTCCCAGACCTTATTGTAATCCATCTACAGAAAACAGCGTCTCCAAATAATAAATTTTAGAATGTAAAATGCGCTAAGTTGGTACATTCCTGCACTTCCGATGCCCAAGCTAAAGCCCCCCCCCCCCCACTCCCTTTAACCACCACCTCTATTCAACATAAACATAATATGGATTTTGTTTTGAAAATGAAATGGACTGTAATTGGCAACATTTTTCTTAGCACTGTTGTAGAACAATTCTGGCTGGTCAAACATGGCAATTTGCCGTTGCTGGATCGATTTCTTAGGGTGCCAGCCCCCCCCCCCCCCGATAAACCTGGTGCCTTCATTATTTATATATTTTAATGCTTTGACTGATTGTGATACAACCTACCTTTCTTTTACTCAAAGTCATAATTATATATGATCAAATAATGTACACACATATTTCTTTTATTTATTTTGTTTTCATAGAGGAATAGTTGTCTGGACGATTATAGGTATAGTAGCAGGCTAAACATTCATAATGTTAAAATTTAATAATACTGTGGACCCATGCAAAACCAAACTAAAACCATCGAGTGTCGACCTAACTACGTAATTCGTCCCCAAAAATACAGTGATTATAAGTTGCGCTCCTACAATCTTCCTACACAAAAGAACGGCGAAATTGATAATCTCTTCCCTCAAAGTTACGGATATCAATTTAGACTTTTCAACTCTTTTCCCTGTTGTATCTGTTTAGCCATGTGGTGGGTTTATGCATGAGGAAATCCGTCATTATTAGAAATCAAGACTATTTCATATCTTTCGATTTTCGATGTAGCAAACTAACTGTATGGTGCTACCCGGACAAGACTGGAAACCAATGCCCATCCCATTTCCGGGGATACTTGCTGTTGTGGCTGGCTACGCTAACAATAATAACAAAACAATCATGTAAACAAGGCTCTATAATACATGGTTTGTTTTTAAGTGTTTGTTTGTATCAGGTTGAAACTAGGATTTTGACAAGGAAGCATAAACGAAGAAGATCGAAATAAAAGTAATAAAGTAATAACAATAATAAAATAATAATAATGAAAATAATAATCATAATAATGATGATTTTAATAATAATAATGATAATAATAATGATAATGATAATAAGGAAAAGAAGAAAAAGAGAATGGAGGAGGAGGGGGTGGGTATATAGGAAAAAGAAGTAGAGGAGGAGGAGGAGGAGGAGGAGGAAGAAGAACCAGAAGTAGAAGAAAAGGGGGAGGCGTCCGGATTTTCTTCTCCATGCGCCTCGAACACATTATTCATGTGGAGTTGGCGCATTACAAATATACTCTATATTATTATTATTATTATTATTATTATATGTTTGAAACGAGGATGATCGACATTGTTTCCTCATCTCATTTTCAAGTCTAAATTTTCAACATCATGAAAAACTAAATTAATATAAAAAGTGGGCCAGGAATTGTATAGGCCTACTCTATTTGAGTAGACAATGCAGAGAATTTGTAATATAAACATTGATCTAGCAGAACAATATGATGTAAATGTAAGGTCGACCTCTACTCAGAACTGTAAGTATCGTTTAGAAAGGGTAGATGGGTAAAAAGGAAAAAGAACTTCTGACCAGAGACGTGCAATAGATTTTACAAATCGCTGACCTCCTCGTACTAGATCTAGTAGTAGTAGTGAATCAATCGGAGAATTTTAAAGATTGTAGTCTTTTGAATGAGGTCCTAAGAATAGCAGACGAGACCACACAAATCCCTTTCACTCAAAATCTAGTTCAGCTATCCAACAACAGTGTTTGTATTTGTAAACAAATAGGAAGTTTTTATCTCATAATCCCATTCATTGATTGACCGTGTAATTACTCAAGCGTGAACATACCGTTAGAAAGTATGCATGAGTAAATCTGATTCACTGGTAGTATTCGCCGAAAAAGAATGAGACGATGGACGAGTCTATTTAAAAAATAGGGATGTTGTAATAATGTTATTATCTTAATAGAGAGATTTTAGAGTATTTATTATCAAATTTAGATTTTAAAAATAATTCATTAATTATTTAAGTAATTTACAAACAAATAAATTATTCTAAGCAAATTTCAAAACAAAAATGTTGCTTTGCTCATCGTTCATACCTACCTTAGGATAAGGTTACCTTTACGTCATGATTGCTTTTACGGCCGGGGTGTGTATGGAAAGCTGCATGCCTTGTTCCCACGCAAGAATACCATGCCGCGCCGCTCCCGCCTCCCGCTCTGTTTGTAAACATTACATTTGCTCAGATTGAACATCCTCATGCATTCGGAGTATACTCTATCAAAAAATATACCGATTGGTTAGTTTTTTCTAATGAAGATTGAGATGTTTCTGCTTTTATCTTTATTATCATGGTGTTGATATCATAAACGTTCTTCTGTTTTAATCCAAACGGCGAAATTTCATCCCGGATTGGTCACCTGCCAGGTTGCTAAAACGATCGCCGGCTTCGTACCCACCCCGCCTTCTTAGAAGTCCTCATACTATTTCATCGGTACAGTGTATTACTATTACTGGACATTACTGACAGGAGCTAACACCGGTGCATTTAGCTGGAGTGAACGGCGGGGAGTTTTGGTATCACTTTCAGCTTAGCCAGGTAACGTAATCCCACTCAGAAAACTGTATTTATATTTTGTTTTATGATTTAAGTTACCCCCTTATTGAAACCTGAATATGTACAAGTATAATCTGTTTCACGAAGGTATGATCTAGCCTAAAAGGCCTCCAATTAACTAGGACTTGATGAAGATATGAAATGATACTGATGTCAATATCATATTTCATTTTATCTTATAAATGTAAATATACATTTCGACCACTAGTTTTAACTGATGTGTAATATAGATATGGTTATTTAGTTTTTCCAAAAACAAGGTGTTATTTTTAAGTGGTAGGCTCTATGTTGTATTTCATTTTTGCACATTTCTCTCACCACTTTTCCAAGGGGGAAATCACTACATATGCTGATTACTGTCTTGTGAGAATGGTGTTTTTGATTTTTTTACACACTCCAAACAAATGTGCTGGTTTCACAAAGAGTTCAATTTCGCTCATCTTACATAACTTGTGCAACACCTGCTGAACTTTGAAGCCTCTTTCCAGGCAAAGGTACCAGTACAGTAGATATTGTTTTTTGGGATGACTGATTTGGATATACAGAGAGAAAGAGAAAGAGAAAGGAGATATAAAAAGAATATCAACTTTCTATTTTTTCTTCCTTTTTCTTTCGTTTTTAAACATTATTTTGATTATGACTGTCAGTCTGATCACATGAATGAGCGATATAGTGTGGATAAAATCATAAAAATTATCAAAAGGTTAGAAAGTATGGTAGACTCATTCATAAACCTTGTAGACCTATAGGCCTAATCTGTAACCCTAATGAAACGTGTAGGGGCCCAGTCTTATTCTAATGGATGAATAATACAAATATATATTCATTAACCTAAATAATAGTAGGAATTCATTTCAGAAGAAAAGAAAAGAACACCCAAACAATAAAAAACAGTTACATATATGAAGTAAATTTATGAAATTTGAGGAAATCCCTATAAATGCTCATTTGATATATTTCTGAAATGCTTCATACAGTAACAATATTTACATCACTGTGATATCTTAACTTCAAAGTCCTAACATAATTTCTCTTGTGTTCAGAGCCAGAAGGGCATTGACTGTGTGTTAGTATATTTAATACCCTTGTCGATAGTTGATGCCCTTATATGACTCCAAACATTAGTGTGGAAGGGATCAAATATAACCTTGAACCATACTCAAGAAGTCAATATCATCTTGACATCAAATATTTAGGCTTTTGATAAAAGTGGGGCAAGGTAATGTATTCATTTAACAAGGATGAATCATTATAAAAACAAATAATGGGTATATACCTATATGCTACAGTACAGTGTTCCTGAGTTTAACATACAAAGTTAATATTATGACAACTAACATGGTTTAACTTTGAAAATTTCAATTAAAAATGAATGTAATAGAATGATGAATAAAACAATCAGAAATTATTATTTACTTGATCATAAATGATTCAATGATCACAAATATTTAAGTGAGTAATAAAAGAATTATAAAACATGATCACAAATTGCTATAACTTGGGCAAATGGGCCTCTCACCCAAATGCCATGACTGTATGACCAGTTACGATGGCATTTGTGTACTGTGCATGTAGGCTTGCATTGTATGAGCTTGGCCTAATAATTAAAGTGATGTTATGAAAATGTAACATGTCCTTTGCTTGCTTTTTTTTCAATTTTCATATTTCATGCCCTTTCATTGAATATTCAATACCTTATATGAATCATCCATTTTGTTTGATGTAACATCTGGACATCCTGCAATCAATATTTACAGTGTAGTAGGTTTGAGATTTTACTGGTCAAGTGGTAAGGCATGACATAGACAAAGAACCACCATTTGTTGTATTAGGCACCATGTATGGGGAGGGAATGGGGAGAATTGAAAATACAAGTCTTTACCCTTAAATAGCATGTTACTGTACATTGTTAGTGGAAGGTTTTATACTCCCATGTATTTGTCACAATAGCAGAATAATTCTGAAGAGAATAGTAATGATGGTAACTTTGCTATCTTTAATATCCTTCCCATTGTATCCTGATTTTTTCCATACATCTCTTAAATTTATTATAGAGCAGTAAATATTATATTGTAAACATGCAAGCCTTCTACATTAAGCCTGAGTCATTACGGTTTTTGTGCTAAACGGTTAACCGTTAAAAGTATACGGGCGGTTTCGTTTAACCGTTTAATAATAATCTGAAAAAGTGAAAATACAGTATTTGTAATAGTGCTGTAGCTCGGAACCCTGCTGGTCTTCAGACTGTTGGGCTGAGCATTCCCAGCCCCGGACTATGGCACAAATTGGGTCATCCTGATAAACAGAGACCAGTAATAAACAACATAAAACATGTCTTATTATTCCTGATCTGAATTTGATATCATGATTAACCTTGCAAAGTTACTCTGTGAAGATAGCTGATCTGTGACGTGTTTATATATGCCTTTGCAATGCAATGTTTGCACATGGTCAGGGAGAGAGCTCCCTGCATGTATCATTGCCATATGAAATTATGTGGAAGTGTGTATCACACACACCCAAGACACACCCTGCAATGAGCTGATCCAAGTTAGTGACCAATCAGGAAGGTTCTCTAGCTATGTGGGTGGAGTTTGATACCAGCATAAATTACAGGTTGGTGACCGCGCGTGCTTTCACCGTACCCAGTTCAGTGGGAGGTCAAGAAGCCACGCCCACATGTGTGCATGGACAAGCATGAGCCCTCCATCTGTGTGTATGTACAGTGTATTTGGGCACCGGAGGTTTGTGTGTACATGTGTGTGTGACTGAGAGAGCATGCATGGGCTAGCATGTCCCTGCATGTCCCTGCATGGACCAGGCAGGGACATAAGAGAGTGAAGAAGTAAAGACAAGTGAGACTAGACAGAAAGGGTGGCTGTGTTAATCGGCTGAATTGAAGAATGATCAAAAACTTAAATTACTCACAATATCCAAGACTTTGTTGATTGATATTTCTAAAACTTCAATTATTATTGTTATCAATATTTTTGTATTTTATTTATATATGAACATTATTTTAGGGGGCGAGTCGGCAAGGGATGGATATTAATATTGAGAGAGAGAGGGAGAGAGAGAGAGACTCGGGGGAGAAGGGATGTGAGAGAAACTGACCATCGAATGTGTAAACATTTAGAAAGTTGTGAGCTGAGAGTGCAGTAATAAGAAAAGGTACATGAGCGATGAACACATTGCAGAGAGAAGGGAATAAAGAGGGTGAGAAAAGAGAGAAGGGGGCTGGTTGTTTTATTGTTTACAAATTCATTCATGGGGATTACTGCTGCCAGAAAGCTGGCGCGCAGCGGCCAGGGTGTAACATTACACTGCGGTTTCTTTGATTATCTTTATCATCGGCTATTAGCACATTCCAAAATGTATGCAAATAACGGTTAACCGGAGCGAGATATGCTAAACGGTTTTGATGAATGCGGTCGGATAACCGTCGGTTAAACGGTTTGACTCAGGCCTATTCTACATAATTTCATAACTAGCCTATTCCAAAATAGCTATTAAATTACAAGATAGCCTACTTTATCTCCATTTTGTAGGTTAATCAATTTCGCACTTGTGCATGTGCCCGATAGGTTGATAAATGACTCATGCATTCCATTTCTTAGTGAAAGTATAACCCCAGAAGAATAACGTGACCTCTACATTCTCCCTTCTCATTTCTTCTCTCGCAGGTGGCTGTAGGAACAGTCAGATTCAATTTGGTTAGAAATCGGATCACGCCGCCACGGCTCTTCTAATGGAGTTATGGAATAGTATCATGTGGAGGGGCTCAGCGGTGCTGCTGGTTCTGACAGCCTTGTATTTTACGACAGGAGATGCTAGCCTGTCATTGGATGTGGATGGTAGCCATGTCTGTACAAGAACAGAGAGGTGCGTATCTTCCCATTTGACCCTGGATGTGGATATTTGAAGGATTCACAAAGATAGGGATAACAAATTTAGGGATCAAAACATTTTTGTATTTTTCTCATGATTTTTTTTCTTCTCAATTTTCAAGGTTTGCAATGGAGAGTTATATGAATTAGCAGCATTGGATACCTATACATGTATTTTTATTGCTCGTCTAAAACCTTGATAATCATGTCTCTGAAGTGAAGGAGATGATAATATTTGTATGAAATATTATGATATATTAAGTACAGTATGTGCATTTACTGTAAATGCAGGCCTACTGTATATAGTGTTATATAAATTGATCCATTTTAATTACAAAATATTCATTTGATTACCGTAGTTGAATGCTGATAAATTATAATTATTAGTGGTGTAAAGTGACCAGTACTTTTCCTCTGCTAAATTGCTCTGGCATCCCAGTTTTTAAGTTACGGTAGCTCTTTGGTATTGGCTGCTAATCTCCCTATTTCCCTTCAACGCCTCCCCAGGGCTGGCTGTTTTACCCCCATTCCTCTTCCTGTCCTGTCTGGGTCTTATCCCTCCTGGCTGGCCCTGCCCTCCTCTTGCTCCGAGCAAGAGCCAAGAAAAGGATCTCTTTAGTACCTTCAGTGGCACATTATAAAGTTCATGATCTATAAGAGGTCTAATATTAGACCATGAGTTAATGGCATGAGTGAGTGATGTGTGAGTCAAGTTTTGTCTTCAGACCCCATGCTGTGTAATATCATCCTATTCCATGTAATAATCATTGGCACCAATTCATCTATGACAGATGTCTTCTGCTTACCTGTTAGTCGCCCACTTTTAGCATTTAGCAGTAGGAACATTTAGTCACTGATTACCATACCTATTACTGTACTCAGTACTCACTCAGCTCTTGACAACTTTGTCAAGTGCATCACAGCAGTACATGCATGTACTTGATATGAAACAAATAAATTGTTGAGCTACTGAGCTGCAACAGGAAGATGCTCAACATGTGTATTTGGTGACATGTGTTTAAAACGTTGATACATATTATTGGTAACATTTTGACCCTGAAGATGTATGTGTACTTTCACATTTCTGTGAAATATGAATGTAATGCAATTGTATGGGAAAAAGATCTGATTACGACCCTTGATTGACAGGGAAGAACCCAGGATTGACATTACACATCACTTTCATTTTTGATTCCTCTAATTTACATGTTGCAAAATCTTAACTCGGTTCTCAATATATGTTTTGATTTCTTTTGACAGTTATTTCCAGACTATGACAGCATCCTACAGTGAGCCGTTTGATCAGATTTACTATACCAGATGTACAGACATCACAAACTGGTTCAAGTGTACCAGGAGAAGGTGAGATTAAGAGATCATAAGAAAATGATTGTGTGACAATACATGGTTGTCATTTAAGATGTAGTGATAACTATCAAAATTCAAAAACAAACACGAGGAATAAATTGCCCCATTTTGTGTAATTTTCTTTAATTTATTATAAATGTAAATTCAGGTTAATTTATCTACAGGGTGTACATCTCAATGAAAAAGTTATTCAACCCTCACCCTCATTTTCCCAACCAATTATTGATGAATTAATTAATCTTACAGTATCTGTGCATATCTCACATGATCTACAAGTAGTTGTCCTCTAGAGATTTTGTCCCTGAACTACACCTTTTTACAAGATATTAATGATAATGATAATTGTCAACAGAAAGGAGAGAAAGATAATAAGAGAAGACACACATCATAGAATATCAGAATGTGACTATCTGAGGTTTTGTGGTATTATTTAGTGGTTTATACATGCACTTGTGAGGTTGAGGGTTCTACATTCTTTAGCAATGCTCCTGATATGCCTGGGTGTGACCGATTGACTTTAAGACTATATCCTGGGTATCAAAAGTGGAGCACCAGGAACTACCTCATAACATAAACATTTCAAACCTGGTGAATATGGAAATTACAAGTTTTACAAGCCTAGTGGAATGATATCATTTTCCTTCATGCAGTTCCACCAAACTGACAATTGAGCAATTATATATCATCTACAGTATTTGTTATCAAAGTATTGAATTGTTGTAGTTGAAATTCACTTTTAGTATGAAATGTACTTGTACCCTGTACTACACAGACATGTACATATCACACACTGATTGATGATGAGAAGGATGTCGTATGCAACAGGTTAAATTGTTTGGTCTATCAAAAACTGTGAATGAAAGGAAATATTTACTATCCTTGTAGTAAATGTGTAGATCAAAATATTTGCTCAGGAAATCAGGAATGCAAAGAATTTAGAATTGAGGCCAAGTTCGAAACAAAAGAAAGGCGGAAATTGAAGTGGTGATGGTATTATTGCCATTATAATGGGTACCCTGCCCAGTCATGAATGACAACTATGAGCAAATAGAAACCAGACGTTCAGATTGGAAAAATTATAAAAAGGAAATGTTTTGTCTGACTCCAACACTTGTAAGAAATAAAAGCTCTTTTATTTCATACATATGTTCATCATCATGTTTGGTCTGTCTCCATTGAGAGCCACACAGATGTTTCTCCTGTGTTCAAGTATGAAGCGTCACCCCTTTGGTTCTCTAATAGCAGACATTTGGCATATATATGTCTGATTTTTTCCCCCCTTTTTTTCCCCAATTTTCTTCTTGTACTTCCTGTTTTGATATGACCAGTAAAATATATTTCAACATTTTCTTCTCAAAATTATTTTTCTTTTCACCAGATAGTGTTGCCATTCAATTTATCTCTCTTGAAATCTAATTATCATAAACACATAGATTTGCATGTATGCATGGAAGGTCAATCACAATAAAGACTACATGTAGATGGATGAAGGTTCCAAACCATTTGAAGGAGATTCAATGCATACATGACTCATCATACAAATTGAATGCGACCGAGCGATTCTAATGTTTACCCGGACGACATGTGCACACAATGTGCATACCATCTCTATTCATCTTTTATGTCTTCTAATAGGCCATTGGTCTAGTAACTTTATTAAAATGCTATTCTCCTAAAGATACACCCTGAAAAGAGCCAATAGAATGAGGATTCTGTATACATATTGGGAACAAATGAGAAACTAGAATGCAAAGCGGGCATTTAGTACATTGTATCTATAGGTACTGGGTACATGGTTGTACATACGGTACATATATTGGTATGTTTGATGTGTTAGCAGTTTAGCACATTGCACTGAAATGCAAGCTTCATGCATCTAAAAAAAAAACACCCCTAAAATGTAACATGTACCGTACATGTTAATACTTTGTCTCAAAGGTTGGTTGATTAAAAAAAATTATAGTAATACCGGTACTGGTACTGTGAATGTCATGTACATGTATATATGTCCATGTGACAGAACTGCCATCCATTCCTTTTTCGTAGGAATGTTATCTGTTTTTGGGGCCGTCAACATCATGTCACCCCATACTCCTCTTTTCTCCTGAAAACTCTGTAATTTAAGCATACAAAATACAATGTACCATATTCATATTCTGGCCTTGAAGGATTCCATTTTTTTGGTTCTGGAAGATTGGCAGATGTAGTATGTTACTATATATGGAAGACTATTGGAAAGAGAATATTATTTTCCACTGTGCTTCCTTTTACGTGTATATATAATGCAACATAATTGTTTCCTCCTTCAAATATATAAACAAGATAGTACAGATTCCAGTATTCAGTTATAATGCTGGAAATAACTGTCACAGTCCTGCGACAATGTTAACTAAAGTAGATATCCTTTGATCATGTTTCAGGGAGTGTTTGCTATTGGGGATTATTGTACGGCTATCAATGACCTAATCTGACACCATTATAAACATATTGATAACATACAGTGCCTTGTACAGATACCTTATGGTATCTTTTCCTTTGGGATGTGTGATCATTTACCAAATCACTATCGAGAAACATTTGACGTTAACACAGTGCTTAAATGAGGCTTCATAAATATATGTATTTTATGATGGTTTTATGACAGTATATAAATATATAGGAGCTGTCTAGTTTTTATGATTGTTGAGGAGGAAATGAGGATGTACACTTCAAACAAATAATGTATGAGTCTACCTCACAAATATGGGGGGGGGGGGGGGCTGCAGAATACAACCCACTCCCAGTTCAACAGCCCCTGGTGTAAATTTACAGGAGCATGCACTTCAATTTGTTGCCTGCTTAACATTGAAGTCTACATGTAGTTATATTCATTAACTTGTCTTCATTAATAGAGAGTGAAGGCAAAATTGAACCTCTTCTGGGCTGGCTCATTACCAAGTCACTATGAGTAATGGCTTCTGGACTCTGGAGTAATCAAACCTAATATTAGTTGATTACTCCGTTGCATAGTGATATTGACAATGTTGATGATACAGGCTACGGCCGTCTTCTTTTGGGGATGGTAGAAATTGACATATTCTTGCACATTGCAATTTGTATACTGTTTTATATGTACATGCAGGGACTTGTAAATAAACTGTAGACAAAGTTTGATTGATAAATTGAATGGAATTTTTCCTTTAACAACATTTTTACTCATTGTGACATACTAGTAAGTAAAGTAAAGTTTATTTAACCATAAAATGAAACATGTACATACAAATGAGAAACATAGTAAACATAATACGGTAAAGGACACCCTTAGAAGCAAATTGCTTGTGGTGGGGCCTTAAAAAGAAGATTGTTTTGATTTGTTATTTACTTGTCCCTCCTTATTTTTTTCCTAGCTGTAGAACCATGTACATGTATACATACAATGTAATACAGAAAGTGTACTTCTTACTTTTATCTACAATGTACACGTATGCTTCAGTGACAGTTTAAGTAAATTTGAATATACTGTATAGCTTCTTAATATAACTGTGATATGGTACTATAGTATAAGAGGAAAATAGACATCCAAGAGATACTGTATTGGTTATTGGTTGTTATTTTACCTGACTGCTAAGAAATTGATGCCTCATGATGTATGATTGAAACAGGATATATATATATATATATTTTGGGGTTGAAATGCATTATAATTTATCCAACATTGCACATGGAGAAGTGCATCTCATCGTGTCCTCATCTTCCTTTAATACAGGCATATATGGAAACTAGATTATAGACATGACGTCACAATGTAAAGGCTTCTTAGCCTTGAACTTCGAGTTAAGAGTCTGAGAGAGTTCAAACCACTGGTAGTGCATACGTGCTGAGAGGTGAAGTTTGTCAACAAAGTCGGTCCTTAGGTCCACTCATATTCTTGTACATGCAGATCAGTCTGTACACTAACATACAGAGTTCTCTAGAGACATACAAATGTGCTGTAAGCTGTCATACTGAATGATGTAGGGTGAAATAAGAGAGCACAATCATTTAAGATGATATATAAAAAGGATTGATCTCATTTTCTGAGTTAATAGTTTTGTCACATTATGATTTTAGTATTCAGTAATCTCACAATTAATAGCCATCACAGTTCTACCAGCCGACATACTGGTATGGACATGTATTTTGTAGGCCACAATCTACTACAAAGTAGTGCACAAATAAAAAGGTTAACCACATGAAGCTAAATTTTTCTGTTTCGGGGGCAAGAATAGTGAATTGCCAAAATGTTAGATTTTCAATGACTTTGATTTAGTTATTTCATGGCATCAAAACTACATGAATGTGAATCTGTATAATCAAACTAAATCTTATTATAATTAAATTTCTTGTTTCTTGTTTTACAGAAAGTCAGATATTCATGTATGGGAATGGCCCAGGTTCATTACAAAGGAACCCTTATCAGGAAAATCCAGGCTTAGAATAATGAAGGAAGGAAATGGAAGTGCCAGTGAACTCTATAATTTTTCTTTCCAAACTCCCACAAATCCTGCTAGACATGAGGTGATAGGATATCCGTTTAAAAACGGTTTCACTCTGTTTCATTTATTTTTTTAAGTTTTGCATTCAACTGGAAATATCATCACTATTATATGATAGTTACTTGTGATAACATACCATTTCCGGGTATTTGTTATAAATGACTAGGCATTTGAGAACAGACAATTTTACAGGGTTATAGATATAAAGAATAGAATAAATGGGTTAGAAAATAAAGAAACATGCTGAGACCTTCAGCAATGCAGTTCAACAGCACTCAATATCAATACACATGTTTTATGCATACTGGTATGTTCCTGTGCGTTGTAGGTCTGTTTTATGTGGTTAAAATCTCTGAAAGTGTTACAAAAAAAATAGAATTATCCATGAAAGCCTATTGAGAGTGCTTTTGAAAATAATAACGCAATGTGATATGTGATTAAATTATTACCAAGGAGATCATATGATTAAAACTGTAAAAGATAATACAGAGGCTACAGTATTTTGCATCTGTAGATGATAAAAATTCTGATACTCAGGCACTTCCAGTTTAGCAATACAAGTTGAAGATTAGTATAAAATGAGATGGAAAATTTGTCATAAGACTCTTGGGACAGACTTTTAACATGACCTGCCCTTAGTAGAGTTGTGTGTATTGGTTCACAGTCTGCTTGTGTTTGATGTGTTTATTGTGACAGTATTTGAGGGAAGAAGCCTACATTTCCAGATATAATGTTTTTATATTGAGAAATAACAGAACATGTGAAATGCCTGCAAAGAATGATTATCAACAATATGTACATTTGTGAACAGGTGCAGATCTAGGACTTTGTTATATATATTTCAAGAATTCTCCAATAAACAAATAATTAAAGCGTCATCAAAATTCAGAATTTGAAAGATTCTTGACTTGAAAAGCTGAAAGAAAGAAAGAAAGAAAAAGGAAAAAAAAGGAACATCCACATTTTCTAACTTGTGTACCAAAGCTATGCAATAGCAGTATTTGTGACAAAAAAGAAGAAAAATTATATACATATTAATGATTGTAAACATGAATGTTAACCTCATGTCTTTTTGTTTCACAGGACGAGGTACAGGGTTCGGTATCGTCAAGAAGTGAGGACTCGCTATCGCAAGCTGAGACTGTGCTGTAGTGGGTACCATCAGACAGACAATATGTGCATACGTGAGTCGAGCCTTCTATTCAAGAATTAACATACCTACCTACATGTAGGATGGTTTGGGGGTATCATGCTATTAGTCATACAAGAGCTTTACAAAATTAAAATTTCAGTAGCCACAGATTTCTTGAGGCAAAATTTGAAAAAACTGAGAGAGGAGCCAGTTAATGATTATTCCTTAAATAGAACATGATAAACCCTTGCTTTTTAGTATGATTTATTTCTCCAGGGCTCTTTTTTCTCTTCTTGAGTTACATGTACATGTATGCACATCTGCATCCTAAGTTTTGGTCAATTCTATGCAGTTATCCGGTATGATGCAAGCCTTTTTTCCATCAATAAATAGAATATGTTGATTTATGTCTACAGGTTGAAGTTTATATCTTGTATCACTACAACTAGTCAATAGTTATATTAAGAGATTTTTCATTTTCATGAAGAAAAAAATGGATTAAAAGACTTATGCCATATGGTACTAAACAGAATCACCTTTTCATTGACTTTGATGCTTTCCAATTCACAAGAAGGGCAGTATTAGCATGACTGTGCAAGCGACTCGGGAATTATTCATTTATTTTCACCATCGGAGATGGTCCACGTCTTTTTAAAGACACCACAAATAGTCTGCAGAGTGCAGACATCGATACCCAGACGCTCGCTGCGATAAAAAAATCAAATCTTTGTTGAACAGCCTTGAATGAAATAGTCATCTCCTGATATAATTATTCTCTGGATAAAAAATTCATTAATTTTTTCAAGGATTCAGCTACATGTAATAGGATATATTTCTAAGTCTTAAAAATCATGTAACTTTGGGTCTGTAAGTCAGACTACTACATGCATGGACAAGGCATAAATATTCACAAATGAATAATATGCGCCAATAAAAACCTAAAACAACAGTTGTTAAAAAATTTAAGTTTTAAACCAAAGGTTATTTTTTTAATAGAGATATTGTCCTGTTCAATTGAAGTTCGAAATGTAAAGTACAAGTGCTGTTTTGTATTGAGTTGCACATAGTGATAATAAGATTAAATTGCCATGTTTACATGCTGAATTGATACTCATAATTTGCTAGCTATTCAAGATAAAAGAATGTCAAATTACATCCTCATGTCAATATGACAATCAACAGTACTTTGCCTTCATATATTCCTAAATAAAAATGATATGGTCTTGACAAGGCATTCCAAGGCCATTGTATTCCTTGGTGTTTATGTAATAAGATATTTGTAAAGAAGGAAAGTAACCAGATATGTGACATCAATAACTCTTATTGACATCATGGAAAGGTCAGGTTTATTTCTTTTAATGTTCTACTCAGATAATATTGTTAGAAGTATAATTTCCTGAATGGCTGTGTACTCCCAAAGGTTGGAGTGATCTCTAATTGAGAGTAATTCAACCCTATATTTCCTTAAAGAAATCTTGAGGAAATGTAATCAATCAATAAAAAGGATTTTTGACACTATTCATAATAGCGTGAAAGTCATGACATTGCAATTTTTTCCATTTTAGTTTTAATGGTTTAGGAAATGGGTTTGTAATTCAAAGGGGTTGAAAGTTATATCCTACAATTTCATATGTTCAGTAATTAAAATGTATTCTGCCAGAACTCTTCATCAGCTGATGTAAGATACACAATAGCTGGAGATTTAAGATTACATAAAGATATTTGATTGTTTCACCATTAACCATAAAGAAAATGTAATTGTATAATCATTGCATGCATGCACAGACAATGACAATTGCTCTCTCTTTACTCCCCAAATCTATCATATTAGTGAAGAACTTTCTGATATTCTGTTGCTCTCTTTTCCATATTATTTCTTTGAGATGTAGAAATGTATAAATCAAATCAAATTTGAAATGAATCTCTATTGTTTGTATAAAGACCTTTATCTTGGTTACTCAATGTTTTTTTCCAGCCATTTGTTCCAATCCTTGTGTCCATGGCACATGTTCTGCTCCAGAGGTCTGCACATGTGGGGCTGGATACAGGGGAGATACATGTGAAAGTAGTAAGTACACTGTATATCAGCAAAATACGTTTTCAAAATCCATTCAGAAAGCTCTTTTTTATTTGGGTTATTTTGTTTAGAGTATGTAAAATGTGTAAGTTGTCTATTGTGAGATCATAGAAAAAGAAAAAAACTAATGATATAAACCAGGCAGATGGCGAATACCATATTTACGCATACTGTATTGTATTGATGTTTAAAGAGACTTGTGTTAAAATGGGAAGAAAAAAGTACATGTCATGTGAAAAATTGAATCCCATGAATGTACAAGGGGAAAATCTCTCATTAATTAAATCAGATCTATCTTATCTCCAGCAAATCTTACCTCTGTATGAAATCCTACATGTACTATCAAGTGTTTTTGTTGCTGTTTGGAAGTGTATCAACTATGAAGCAGGCTTGAGGGTACCTTCTACATGTATATCTTCTTGTACTGAATATCTATCTAGAAAAAAAATTTAAAGGTCAAAGAAAACAAATTTAAAGGTCACTCATTATCTATTTATTGCTTTCATAGTGACTGTTAAAGTAATACCCTAAGGCCCATCTGCTAAAACTTAAACTTGATGCTGTGTTTTTTGAAAGCTTGGTCTAAAGTCAAGTTTAGACTGATTATCCCTTTGATAATTTAAAGGTGACATATATTGACCAAGTTGTGGGATTACTGAATTAGTACTTGAGTAGACTAGACCTGTGTACGAGTATAAAAAGCGAAAGGAAAAAGATACAAAATAACAAAAACATTAGACATTAGTTTTTTTCATTTGTTATGTTCATTTTAATGTTAGAATATGACATTTTAAAATTTCATTTCACCTTATCTCAGAAATAGACAGTCACTTTGTAATTACATTTGTGATGAGGTGCTTTAAGGGGTTACTGCATGTAGGCAATCATAACAACATTCAAACACCCCATGTCTATACACCTCGCAACCTTTCATCAATATTATGTGTAACCATGACAGACATGTAGTGTTGCATGCAGTAAGACAGACCTGTTTAATAGGAGGAGGTATTGTTGGAGAGATCTGTTATACTGTACTGGAACAGAAACTGTTGTTGATAGTGTTTTTATGTAGGAAATTTCTACATATTCAGAAAGAGTCTGATATTTTACTTATTACTTTCAGTGTCAATTTTCCAACACTTAACGATTTGTTTTGTATTATTTGTGTTGTCTTTATGAAAATTACTCTGTTTTAATACTTGTTTATTCTTTCTTGGGTTAATAAAGTAATATTTCAACACTCGATCTGTAGGCCTAGATTGGTCAATCAGTGAGCCAATAGCACCCAAATCTGAGAGCTAAATCCAAGTTATCCAAACTGATCCACCTAAAGAGGATGATATGGTTAGCAAGAGTGAAGGAATGTGTGATATTCATGGGGAAGATATTTTCTTGGGACCATTAATAATACAATCTGGTCATCATATATTCTGCCTCACCAGACTCCAAAGTCATCAATCATATTTTGACAAGAGATGAGTCAAAAGAAATGATGCGTTAGTCTTAGGGTCTAGTCCCATCTAACTGAAAAAAACTAGATTAACGGTAGGCCCTAGTATTCAACTTTTCATTAGTAAAAAATAAAAGTGGTTGAAACTATCAAAATTAATTCATATCGAACAGCTTAACATATAAGAAAGCCTCAGCACATGATATCATCTTTTAACTATGTTAAATGAGAAATTTGAATCTTGTATATTTCTTTATCTTTTGAGTGCATTTTGGGGAAGACATGTGTAAAATAACCAAAGCCTTTCTAATTTTTTTTGGAGAGAAAGTACAGTTTTCTTTCTGTTTATTGGTTATAAAGATAACCCCAAACTTGTGTCTTAGATATTTGATATTAGCACAAGTCTTCAAGAATAGTTGTCTGTTTCAGTTAGGCGAGACTATAGGCCTTAATTTTCAAGAGAGTTTGACTTTGTCATCCTGCATTGATGATCAGGGTCATACATGAACATGCAGACAAGTGGAGAAGTGAAAGTGAAGAGTCAAATTGGCCATCTGCATTAAAGAATTTTCACCATATGAAAACCTGTTTTCCCCAAATATGGACATGACTTGAATTTGTGTATGTATGTGGTTATTTGCGTAGGTTGGAAGTAATTGGAAGGATGGGTTAGGCATCAACCAATTCAGAAAGATAATATCTACAGTTATACACACATTTTTTGTACGGTTGTTGAATTATACAGTTTCTGTAATACAAATATTTGAAGAATTTGAATTGGACAGAACATATTATTCAGGTACTCTTTCTGCTAAAATATTCCAATATTAAAATTGACAAAGATCTTAAAATTGTGTATAGACTTTAAAAACTTTGTCAAATAAGATGAATATCAATACTAAGACACATGTAGTGGAAAATTGATAAATATTTGAGGTACATGCCCAGATGTTATTGCTTCAAGGGTGGAATTTCTTATATATTTCATGACCTTTATAGAAAACAAATTTGACTATAGGGGAGAGTGTTTTAAAAATTCATCTCAGGATTCTGAGAAAGTGGTAAATGCAGTAGAGGCAAATGAATCAGAATTAATTAACAGGATGAATCGAGGGTTAATAAAAAGACAAAACATACTGATGAAATTTTGGTCATTGAACCAAAGTGTTCTAAATATAAATTCATTTTGATGTTAATTGTTTATATTCCTGGCTTTAGTGGTTGATGGTATCATACATGTAGTTCCTTGACACAATAGTTGACTGACATGGTAGATGTATGTTAACTTATTTTGAATGAAACTAATCAAAGTACTGTACGTGGCGGTAGTTACCATGCATTTATACTTCTTTAATCCATAAGTGGAGAAATTCAGTCATGTTGAAAAATTGTATGATAAAAAGCGCTAAGTGATTTACCAAACAAATTCTGTATGGCATGCATGCGTGCTAATGCAGTTTTGTCAGCCGCATGACAATATATCTAGGCTACAGACTTAATTTTTGTCACTATGGGTCTGTATTGAATTTTGTAGGGTTTGCATATTGGTCCTGTTAAAAATGTGAAATTTTAGGGTCTGGAGAAGAAATTTAGGGGCCCATATTTACCATGCATCTATTAGTTTCAAGCCCTGCATACTTGATATGTACTACATTGACATTGTGTATGATATGTAAAACTCATTATGATTCATAGCGTGATCTGTGACTGTACATGGTGGTTCACTGCTAGAACATGAGACACAGCCAACAAACGTGCCAACAAACGGTGATTTAAGCTGGTGGGAGAGGGTAGGCTTAGAGATTAGATGGGATGAAAATAGACAAATGAATCACACAATGGATAGGATTTTATGAAAATGTGCCTGACTCTGCTAAGCTTGTTTCATCATAAACTTGACAATCCACCAAAATTAGTGTCAATGCCATACGACTAACATGGATTTATTAATTTCCCTTGTGTGACATACACCTACTGTAGATGGCATTAAGGAACTTCAAGGATGGTCACCCACTAAGTTTTTATTTTCTCACTGAGCCTACATACAGAAGCTACATGTAGGCTACCTTATTTGAAATCTAAATAAAGGAAAATATAAAGCACCACTTTTTTTTAGATAAGGCAAAAGAGTGTTCTTGTTATTCCTGTATTAGAATTTGTTAACCACAATTCAAAGCCTTCATGTTCAATCATACAAAAAAATTGTGAAAGTTTCTATTCAGGCAATTCTATCAGAGTTTTTTGTTTAAATCAGTGATCACTCGGAGTGAATCATTGTTTTTGGTTAACCTTGAAAATACAGAAATTGGGCATATTTTTTTTGGACAGTAAAACGTTCTTATACATGTTTTTTTTTTTATACACGTGATGGTCATTCCTGCAGTGAAAGGTTTTCCGGTGACCTGACATAGTTTTAAGATGCTGTTTATTTTGCTTATCTGATACCGGATCCCTTTATTTATTTATATCAGTGTTTTCAGATATGGGTCAGGCAATAACCATCTTTATCTACATAGGCTGAAATATAATTGACCAAATATGGATGCTAATGGCCATGATGTAGACAAAGATAGTAGAGATCTTCTTGTGTCATAAAGTATGTGTACAATGTACACCTTCAATGCATTTTTTAAATATTGCATGCACTTTTAAAATAATCAAACCATATAGATTCTCCTCTCTATCTTTTTCTTAATCTTTTTCTTAATTTTGGGGAATTTTCTCTGTTTCTTTCTCACTGTTTCCCTACTTTCATTTGTATCAGTGCATCAAACTGACTTTAACAAAATTTGTTGTAATTTCCTCATGTTACTTGATGAAAATGAAAATGAATAAAAAAGAAGAAATTGTACCGAGATAAAAGTTTGTTGGGTCAATATTAATCATATCAGCAGTAATCTAACTCTATTAATATCTCAATTTTCAATTGTTCTGCCCATTGTAAGAACATCTTATTGTTTTATCTTTTACCAGCTTGCCCAGATCAGAGGTGGGGCAGTAACTGTCTTAATCTTTGTGGGTGCTCTAACGGAGCATCATGTGACCCTATGGACGGAAGCTGTTCCTGTCAAGCAGGATTCTCAGGTAACCCATTTAGAAACAATCAGAAATAACAATGACCTTAAACTAATAGTTACTATTGATGCATACTGTGTATATTTCTTTTTTAATCATAACTATATTTAAAAATCAAATTGTGCAGAGTATTACTTGAGTAAATTGAAGTTAAATGCTCTAATAAGAATGGAGTTTGGCAAATGCAAAAAAAGAAGGCAATACTTACACTGTGTACACACAGTCATAAATGATTTTATTACATAAACTGGCTCTCAAAATATTGCTGACACTAAAGAAAACATGAAATTTAATAATAATAATAATATGCCATTGTTAAGTAGCGCTTATATCAAAGGTTATTTAGGTTATTCCTCAGATACTACGTGTCTGCCAGCCCACCAGGGGTGAGCCTCACACCTCACACCTCAAGTTCAGTACGTCTCATTTGATGCAACCAGGTCCTACTGGGCTTTTCAAACTAAATTACCGTCATTAATAATAGAGCACTCCCCAGAGTATAGCATGCATGCAATGAGAATGCATTATTAATAAATTGCTCTATGTTGAATGTTAATGAGATGGTGACAGTGGTGATGAAGCTCCATCCAATTGAGTGAAATTTAATTTAAATATGAATCATAAGATTTTAGCAGGTACTGGTACATGTATATTGTTTTGTAATGAGTTTACTTCCGTTGTAGACTGACACTGGGCTGATGACCATTGCAAACCTTATGATTTGACTATAACTGTGAACTAAAATTGGAAATTTAATACAAGAGGACTAGATATGGCATTTTAAATATGGATTATTGTATCCAACTGAAGTCCCCAACGTTCTTTTAAAAATTGCATGTTACTTAAGCCTTGCAGTAGGAAAGATATGTTTATTTTGCTTACAGATATTTGCTGCTTGTGCCACCTGTATGTTGTCTCAATGATCTGCTGCAGATCAGGCCTTTTCTCTAACTGGAAGGCTTACAGTATCCTAAAATTACAATTTGACAGCTCAGGACAGCAGTTAGGAAGAATATATATTTTGTAAAATATTATATCTCATCTAATTTCAATTATTTTATTATTCTGGTTCTGGAGGTATCATACAGTAATACTAAGGTGATGCTGTGGTCTTTATACCAAACTTCAGCTGACACTTCTGTTGCATGTTCAAACAGATACATATATATATGTCCATTAATTTGATTTGCATACATGATTTTGTAGAAGTGCTTATCATCATCTTATTCCCACTTGTAGGTCCTAGCTGTTCTGACCCATGTCCAGCTAACACCTATGGCCCAGGGTGCCTCTTGCAGTGTCAGTGTGAGAACGGGGGTAGATGTGACTCTGTAACAGGTGCATGCTCTTGCCCTCCTGGATATCGACTGCCTCTGTAAGTACATCTATTAACAAATTTCATATTTTATGTCTAGCATATACTTACGCATTTATATTTTGTTTCATGAGATTGATCTATTTTCGTTTGATCTTTTGGTAGTCAGGGTTATAATTTGCATTGATCGCAAGGTATGACAAGTTTAGGAATAATTTCTTCACAAGCAGTTAAACTGATTGTACTTAGTCCTTCTGTCTCCATGGAGATTTATAGACAACGAAGCAATAAGTAATTTTTTAATTAATAAATGGACCACTTCTTAAGAAAACTTTTAATTGTGTTTGAAAATGTCTCTGAACGACATACATGTATACAGTACATATCAGGAAAGATTTCCATGCTCTGGTTGATTGTATCCACAAGTATTCCAAAATATATTTTTAAAGAACAAAAAATTGTGAGAAATCAGTGTAAAACACTGACATAGCCATTTGTAGTATGTCTAAAGTAAATAGTCAAATTCACTCTGATATAAAAGATATGACTAAACAAACAAACAAAGAGTTTTAGAAATGAGGCTAATATTTTCTGTAATAATTTTGTTTATATTGCAATTTTTTACTGTTTATATAAATTTGAAAATGATATGTGTCTCGAGCTTCCACCTTGGCCTCTCTCTAGAGGCCCCTGGGAGACAGTAATAAAGCATTACACACAGCTAGCCCGGCCTTATGAGACTGATGTGCTCTATTATCAATCAGGGGACATTTCCTAACCATAATGGATGGCAGACAGCAACTGACTAGTTTACCCAGCCATGTATAGCCATGGAGTTCTTGATGGGTGCTTTTCCATTAGCCTAAACAAGCTCTAGTTGAGATATTTGACTGATCAGTGGTTCTTGAGAAAATAGATTTTAAAGTTACGGTTTTGAGGAGGCGATTGAATGCTTGTCTGACTCTCAATATGGTTATTGTCATATGCGTGGGTTCAAATCCCACGCATGGCAGACAGAAATGATTGTTGCTGTGTTGTGTGTAAGCTAGTGCGCCTCTCCCCTCTTGATGCAAGCTGGGGTTCAGGGAAAAATACTCTGTTCATGGGCTAGAACCGTTACACAGAAGGGACTGTAGTCTTTTGGAGAGGAAGAAGTTTCATCATTGATAGCCCAATTTGAGCAAAACCTGCAGTCTATTTCATGAACAAGCCCTAGTTTGCTTGAGATTTGTCGTCACTTCAAATTAGATCAAGCTATTTGTCTGTAAATTGGCCAAATAGTGGGCTTTTTGATGAACAAGCTCAAGTTCGGATTGATAGCTTGAAGATATTTTAGGCACAAAATTTGAAATATTCTATATTTGTGTCTTTACTGCTAATTAGTTTGAGCTAGTTGTGATTAGATTTATTTTTCTGGATCAGCATTATACTGGGTATGTTGCTGGGGATAATGAAAACAGGCCTTTAACCCCAGAATTCTAGATGAGTGTAGAAGTTTGACAGCATGAACTATGTCTCTGATATGTGAGCATCCTCTATACAAACTAGGCCCCTTACTCTATTGGCTTGTTCTAACTTTTGAGATTATCATTGGCATTAGGTATTATGTGATGCCCCAAAAGGTGAACTTGATTATTTAGTATTATTTGATACTCATTCCTAGATTGGAATTCTGCCAATTTTTCCATATGAAAATACAATATCAGATGACCCATTTTTGCAGTTATGAATCATTTAAAAGAAACTTCTTTCCAAAAATACACAACTGTTGGTTTGATTCAACAGTCACTCTTGAAGGGATAATCTTTCTACTTACATTTTTCAGAAGTAAATGTATATTTTTGTTGTCTAGACTGTCATATAAATGGCAGGTGAAACATGAAACATATGAATAGGACAGATGCAGCTTGTAATATTGTGACAAGCAGATTATGAGGTGACAAGCAGATCATTTAGTTGTGTATCTCGGTCAATTAGTGAAATATTGGCAATCAACTGTAACTGCTACCATAATTTTAAACTAAATGAATGCAATGGGATGTTGCTATTTTCCTAAAAGGGCATGCTGCAGAGGATATTTTCATTTGCATCTGTCACCATCACATTTGACCCACATCCAGATGAAACGTGTTAGATCATATGTACCAAGAAGCTGACTCCTAAATATAGTCTTCTTCTAAAGAAAGTATAGTTACTATGAACATAAACATGTCAGTGTCATTTTCTTCATAATGTACATTGATTTAGATGGAATTTTTTATGTAGATGAAAATTGATGAAAGAAAAATAAGGAGAAAGGTAAAATTTAACCTAGTGAGGGGATAGATGTGCGAAAAAGAAATCTACAAATTCTAATTCACATCATCCTCTAACAGGCGATACATGGCAGGAGCACCATGTAAAATGATCCGTACAAACAAATCATTTTAGTTTCATATGCGAAGGATCACTATCAGTTCCATTTGTTTAGCTTCCAGTATGTGAAAGAGCTTTATGGAGTCCATGCTCCGCCAATGTCTGCATCATTGTCTGCCTCTAACCTTCTTATGTTCACATATACATCCTAGTCACGTATAACGCCTGGTTTTGAGGTAAAGGATGCTCGATTTAGATTTTTGCCAATTTGGGCAAAATGTTGCCAGGAAATGGCCTTCCAGACAGAGCTGTGGATGCATCAGTTTTTGGAAGGGTAATATGAGGAAAAGTGTCTTTGGGTTGAACAGTGGGTGGTGTATAGAGAGTGACGTAAGCAGCAGAGTTCACTTTTGGGTGGAGGCTTTTAACCTAGGAATAGAATATGATGGTACAATGAAACTCTATACAGGGAATGTTATAGATTCACCACAAAATTTCAAATGAACCAAAGTTGCTATTAATGGTGGAATATTTCACATCAAGCAATCAGGGATGAGATTCCTCGGCTGATCGGTGGATTTTCGCAGATTATCGAGATTTCAAGACCAATTTTTTTTCTTCTTTCCTTACCCTAACCCCGTAAAGTGGCATAGCCCCCTTGGACCCCATTTAATTTTCCTCCTAATTGGTAATTTCTCTGTCTCATTCCTGAGCAATTAATTATAGCCGTTGAATTTTGAGCTTATTTCATCATGGACAAATAATAATAATAAAAACAACATTTGCATGATGAAATACAAAAAAAATAACAAATTTACATGTTATAACAGATATATATATATATATATTTTAAAGTGTCATAAGTTTTTCATCAAGCAATTGAAATAGACATTGCCTTCATATGATTTGCATATTGGTACATGCCCTAAATCTGTATCGGAAAATTCCTTCCTTTTACAGGAGGAAATGGGTTGAGGTACAGAGTTTAATCTAGAGAGTAGGAATTACCCGAAACAAAAACATTGCATGTACATGTAAGACCTTTATTCATGGTTCTAGTTATGAATGAGAAGAGGAAATTTGAGGAGAAATCATGAACGCATGATTGTTAGATATGCAGCAGAATATCATGACTCACATAGGTCCCTTCAGGAGTAACATTTGAAAAAGATTAGTCAGAGATTGTATGATTTTGTCAACATTGATTAGGAGACGTACATAGGTAACTTCACATGGGACCAAACAACGATCCACTAAAACCACGATAAGGGTTCACCTGGGACCAAAATAATGAGGATTCAAAGTTAAAAAGTACTAGCCGTACAAGTTGGGTAACCTCAAGCTAACATGGCACATGACTTCAAGTGAGGTCCCCCTGCTGCGCTCATACATATAGTTATCACACTCTTGGTTAATAACTTTGATTAAACTGAAATGGATTGTGGTGTGAACCTGACTATTGCATTTAATGTGGTGCTTGGGAAATGACATGTCAATAACTGCATGGTCATCATAGAAACAATACCATCTTGAAGGAGAAAAATGATATCAGGTATCGGAGGAATATTGATGCGAATCTTATGATACTTTTATAGCTGCAATGATGGATGGTCACGCCTTTTGAATTCACAGTTACTGTCATGATTTTTGTGTTTCAATACCTCAAAGCAGTTTTTTTACTTCGAAATTAAATCAGGACGGGTGTCACCATGCAGGGTTAAGATTCATTAGTGTTCATAAAAGCTAAATTGATATTTCATCAACAATTAAACGTGAACGACAATTGAATGTATAACAATTCGCACAGCATAATTTCATGTACTGAGGGGTTTTATAAGAAATTACCTGGGAACGCTGCCAGTATCCATTTCTCCTTCTGTAATTGATTGTTACTCGGGGGGTTTCTTAAAGGGATATTACCTGGTACATAAAGGAAGCCTGGCACATTCTGCACCCCTTGGTTATATTCCTGTTAATATTGAAATATGATATTGTTCTGATGTTTGCAGGTATGGTTAAGATTTTAAGATGTAGGGAGCATTATGCAAAAGAATAGGGATAGTATAAATTTTAGTCCAAATATCGTCACTACTTTGGGCTTTCAACTCATGGGCTCTTGAGAGATCTTTTGATGTACAAACACAGTTCATGTGTATTGAATGAACACTAAAACCAAAGAGGGTGCAATATTCACATCAGAGATTTATCCGGATATAGATTAATAAAATCTGAAGTTTTCTGCATTCATTTTTATACAGATGTTAGGTTTAAGCTACTTTGTGTTGTGATGTGAACATCTGAAGATACTAGATATTGTGCTAGGTCAGATGACATGACATATATGTACATACCTGCGTATTGTGAAACATGTTGCCAGAGACCAGTTCCCTTGCGGACTCATATTACACAACAACTGGGTTTATCCTGGGTTTATCCTGGGTTTTTCCATAACCCCATGGTTTTTCCCAGGCTGATGAAGTGAAAGTTTTGTGTCGTGTCAGGTCATATGGCCATCCTGTCATGAAATTTGATAAATATCTGTACCAAACCAGTGACATTCTTTGATCTATGAGTCAAGGACATAACATATGTGGGGCATATATATATATGAGGGACATGTCATATCATGTAGTAGACTCTCAAACATCATATAACATATGGGAATGTGAAATATATGTTATATGTGATAAATCAAATGATTGTTAATCCAGTTACAGGTAGTACAAAGTTTTGGTATGAAGTCATGAATTTGGTTCAAATTAACATATTGGAAGCATATGCGATCCTACAATATTCAGCGATCGTTGTCGCGGATGAAATCGAGTCTAAAGTTATGAAAATAACATAATAAACTCTTTATGTTGTATAGCTCCCTCTCAAGGTCAATATATTAATTAAGCTATAAAACAATGTTTCTCGACTAAAATCGACCGATTAGCTATTCCCGTTTAGAAATTATATATCACAACCACATCTTCTGAGATTTTCATGGTTGCAGCTACCATTTGTACGGCTGTAGGCGCTTTTTGAAATTCATCAAAATTTACCGGGAGCACTGGTAAATTTTTCTATTCAATTTATCTCGAAAGCATAAGTGTTTTAGGGGCTAAATTTTCTAGTGCTTAAAATACATCCAAAGGGGCATCCAAATATATCAAAATTGTATAGAATGACTATCCACCTAATTTTCAAAATTTCCCAAAACTTTGTATTATCTTTAACATTATGCCATTCTAACTTATCTATCAGAAAAGTGCAATCATTTGTGCAATCTTCTTGAATGTACCGTATTTGATATTGAATGTATATGATACAGTAGAATAAGCATAAAAAAATACTTCATTGGAATTCTTCTAACTGCTTATCTTTGAAGAATAAAAAGATAAATATTAAAACGATCTGTTTGTTGCAAAAGGTGACTTTTAAACATTTCATATATGTTCCCTAGTTTCATCAAGCTTCACATGATGATCGAGAGTTAAGCATGATATCTTGTGATTTTTGTTAGATATCCCCGATTTTCTCAGGGTATAGTCCATTGTTCCAAGTTTGTCTTCTAACTTTATAAACTTCTTCCAAGAACCCTCTCAGAAGCTTGGGTTTCCCCGAGCACCTGACTGGTCTATGAAAGAAAAGTGAAAGGTGCACAAATGGGAGGGAATAATTTCCTGCACTAAAATTTATTATCCATCAATCTTTCTTTACACATTGTTTTATGGTACCATGTTGATGTTGCCCTGGAGTTGTTTAGTTTATGAATTTCCTTGGTTGTTCTGTTTCAACGTGATGATTCACTTTCCCTAGCAATTTATGAAATAGTGAAACAAAGCATTCTTCTTGTGTCAAAATGTCCTTCCCCTCTTTCCGAGTCCTAGAAATCTTATCTAATCTTACGCAAAGAAGGAAATATTGTTGGCTCACTCACTATCCCTATGGAAATGAAATGAACTTTGTGAGTTAAAAGACACCTTGGTGAGATATATCTAAGAGCTATGCCCTACTTAGATTTTGGAGCAGTTTTGTTCATGCCTTTGTGCTGCATTTAATGTAGCTTTGTAAATATCATCTACAAGTAGGGTTCAACTTTACAGATTGATTATTGAAAAGATTTTAATCCTCAAATTGATGCGCAGATTGTTTTATCATTTGTATGGATGTCTGTTATCATGGCAATTAAATGAAGTTAGAGCAATAGGACACTTCCACATTGCAGCTCAGTTCACACATCATCTTGTCACCTGTTCGCTGTTCCTCAAGCCTCATATACCTAAATTCCAAATAAACATGAATTACTTTGAGGCAGAATATTTTTATCTCTAAGTTGGCGGCTGTCTGTATGGCATTTCACTCTAATATGAAGAGTGGAAGGGGTAGAGAAGCCGATTGAGTCTGAAGTTTCCATTCATCTCAGCCTGTTTCTCACATTTGTTCTAAAACTCTTCAATGACTATAGACAGTCGGAGGGGATGAATCATGTATTAAATCAGTCTACCTTCTGTTGAGGATCCTTTCAAATTAAAGCTATGCAAGACAAGATTGAGCGCCTTAACATAGCTTTATGCACACGGTTACGGTTAATACAAATACATACATGTATATTACAGGTCCTTAGTAAGGCTTTACTACATGAAGATATAATTCAAAACATATTGTTTGTAAAGCATTTTTACTGATACTTGAAATAATTTTTAAAAGTTCTTCAGTATTGCCTTATTCCATGTGCTTCATATGGGGCACCACCACACATTTTGCCTTTAAAAAAAAATGGAATGGTGAAAACTTGTTGTATGGTCGTAATATAGTTAAATCTTGTGATTGTTATTTTAGATGAAATCAGTTCAGTTCAGTTCAGTTTATTGAATTCCATCTTTAAAAACATTTTTACAAAGTAAAAACATACAATTTCATGTACAATATAATACATAAATTGGGATAGTATATACATGTGAAATGAATTAATACAAAACAGAATAAGGCCCAGCTGTAAAAAAAAACCAAGAAAAGGTTTTGTCTGGACAGCTTCCTATCAAATTAGATATAATAAACATAGTAAGAAAACAAGTAGCAAGTAAAGTTTCGGATAGTATCATTCAGAACAACCGGCACAAACCCAGTACATGATATACAACATGGTAGGATGAAAAAGTCAGAAGATAGCAAAGGGGAAGAAAGAAAGAGAGAGAGAGAGAGAGAGAGAGAGAGAGAGAAAGAGAGAGGGGTAACAAGCTAGATAAATACATTCAGTGAGAGTCATGCGCAATCAAGAAACTTTTGAGATTACGTTTAAAACTGTTGTAAAATGAGAAGTTATATTAGTTGGAAGCAAGTTCCAAATTTCAGGTGCATGATGTCTGCAAGAATATGATGCAAAATTTGTATTAACACACCATCGGTGATATTTCTTCTTATTTCTAGTATTATGGTTATGTATTGTACTGTTTGTTGTAAACATATCGGATAAGTTTTCAGGAAGCAGACTTTTTTCGTTCTTAAATATAAGTATAGCACACAAATATTCATTTAGGGTTAGGGTTAATGGACAGTATACTTAATATACTTAATATACTTAATATAACATTTAAGAAATACATTAATATGATCTGCAGTAATTCCCTTCATCAAGAGTCTATCATTATCATTCCAGGGGGGAAAATCACACAAAAAATACAAAATTTGTTCTTGGGATTCCCTTTGTTTCAACGCCAAACTGTATATACTTTACTAAATCCTACATGTAATACAGGAAATGTTCAAGTGGTGGAAGTTTTTCTACTTGTGGCATCCACCTTCCGAAACTTCCTTCCTATCCTAAGAGCAAACTCTTACTTTTTTCTTTCTTATTTTTTACTTTCACATTAATAGTTTAGAAATTTTCTTCCATTGTTACATGAAATCTGACCTGTGATATGCTCTTGAATCAATTAAACTAAGTGATCAATTACTAGGATATAAGACTTTCCTTTTCAACGAAATAGTAATAACAGTTTATCGTTTGCTTAGAAAATTTCCTAGACAAGATCATTGTTGTTTAAGTGAAAGTTTGGAGTAGGCAAAAGTACCCACTATATATTCTTAACATTTAACATTTTGCTTAGATGTATCATCTGTTCGGAGCTAGAAGGGCGATAACTCCTGTCATTTAGTACAGACTGAACGCCCTTTAGGCTCTTACCAGACAGATATTCTATGAGTACTTGTATCAATAAAATGATATTGATTACACAAGTAATATGTGTGTTTTAGTTTAAACTTTCAACTGTTTATATGAGGCTATGCATATAAACAACTTTAATTTCCGTGTCTATTTCCTGTCTTGCCTGGTAATTGCTATCCCCCGGGATTTGTTACTATCTTGCGCAATGTTATTCTGTCCATTAAAAAAAAAGAGCTGAATTGTAAAAGACTTTTTTGTGGTTGCATTTGAGTCACCAACATTTAACCTTAAACTTTTTAACATGCTGAACAATAGGTGTAACAGATGTACAAAAAGTAAATATTATGATGGTATCAATCCAAGTACTTAATATATACTAAATAGTACTTAGTACTAAATATTGAATTTACAATGTACATGAAATTGAAATTGAAATGTAAAGTGTGAAAATACAACAAAGTCATGTACTTAGATCTTTTAAGATCAAACATGATTATTATTTTAAACATGGAAATCTTTTACCTAGGTCAATATCTATTAGACTTTATCATAATGACAGGCTTTCCCCATGTCTGCGTTTTTTTTTCCTCGTTCAAAATTATGCAAAATTGTGGTAATAATATGCAAGGAGTTATGTGTGAATTTTGGAACAAAAAATACTATTAAGTTTGCATATTTTGCCTGATAATATTCTTAGATAATTTGGAAAAGGGCTAGACTTCTACACTCATTGCACAATTATTAACGAATCTGAAGAATTATACAAGGTGAGTTTTAGTCTTGGTTTGGCATATTTACCAAGAGATGTATTTATTGGAATATTGCAGAAGCCAGACACTATACAAAGTTTCTTTGTATATAATGTGATTCTGCAGGCTAAATGTCACTGGTAATGATTTGCATTTGAACCTTTTCTATTGATGCAGGTGCCATGATTATTGTCCCCAGGGTACACATGGACCAAACTGTGTCAACCAATGTCAATGTCAGAACAATGGTGTCTGCAACCCAGCTACAGGCAAATGTACATGTAAACCAGGATGGAAGGTATGAAGAAATCTAGCAGTATAATTTAAGGAAATTTCATGGGAAAGAAAAGTATATACCAATGTTTAATGTTTAATGTTTAACACGGTATGTCCCTAATTACAAGAGAGACCTTTTCTGCTCTTATATTTGTCTACATTATGTCCCTTGTTGCATCATGATAAAGAGTAGAGTATCCAATTAATTGTGTAACATTCAAATGGAAAGAAGATTTTTTTTCTTTTCTTCTCCAGAACTGTAGAACATAAATGATTTGAGGCCTACAAAATAATGTTGGAGACATATTTTATAAACTTGTTTGTTCTGATTTGTCTTTAATTTAGTTAATCCCAGTAATCGGATTGATATAAAAGTGGACTAGTACTGCTGAAAGAGACAAATAATATATATGTACATGTAAAAAATCTGTGTACATGGGTAGATTTTGGCATTGCCTGAAATTAAATTGATCAAAACAAGAGCTTCACCAACTCTGGTTAACTGTTAGAATATAAGTAAAGATATGAACAAACAGCAAGTAAAAGAATTGTAGTGTAGACCCTGTATTACTTGTATAATAGATGAATTTTAAACTTGTTATTCCATCGTGATAAATATATATATTTTTGATACTGTGATCTAGTTGAATCTTTTTTACAAGTGAGAGTTATGCTCCATATTATTTACATGTATTCTGTGATTTATTGAATTTCAAACTTTTGTATTTCATTTTGATACCAAATGTGCTGTGGTTGATTCATTTTCAACTGAGATAGTGTTACAGCTGTACTCCAGTTTTAAAGTAGAGTAACACATTCAATCATCTCCTTACTGTGTACATTAATTGTAACTGTTTGCTCTGTAGGGTGAAGTGTGCGCTGTGCCTTGTCACAGGGGCCGGTATGGCCAGGATTGCAGGAGCCGTTGTACCTGCTTCAATGGTGCCTCCTGTAACCCTGTCAATGGCACGTGTCAATGCCCTGAGGGGTTCCAAGGGGACCAATGTGAACTGCAGTGCATGTCAGGAACCTATGGAGTCAACTGCAATCTGCAGTGCCAGTGCCAGAACGACGGACGCTGTTCTTCGGTCGATGGCAGCTGCAGGTAAGCAGAAACTAATTTAATTCTTAAAATTGTGAGCAAGGAACAACATGGATGTTAGTTTGATGCTGTTGTCTGATTTGAGGTCCTTTCACCTCTCTTGTTGAGACTTACGTCTTGTTGGCTTTAGCACAGTTGTAGGTTTCAAGAAGCATGTTTAAAGTTTTTCAAAGTTTTCAGACTTCTGTATAAAAACTACATAAATGGCGCATTTGTTAGTTTATCTTTTGATACACTGTAAACAGTTGCCATGACATCTTTTTTCAAAGATGTTGCTTTGTTATAAAACACCTGCTTGTACATCCTAAGAACAAAGGATTGTGACATTGATCAGAGAATATCTTGATCTCATGCGTACTTTGCCTTGAGACATCTGTTTTGACAGATCAGTGTAGAGCAGAGCATGTTTATCACACTTTGTTCAAACAGTATGCAGCGTGAAATTTGAAAAATTCATTTAGGCTGAAGTGTGTGATTGAAAGAAAGAATGGAAATGTAATTATTTTTTTATTCAATATATTTCTCTAACTGTGAGTTACCCTCCCTGAATACTTTCTTCTCCCCAAAATGTCATTCCTTCAGAGGATGATCATGCATCTAAATCTGTTGCAAAATATATAGCTAAGATATGTATAGCCCAAGTTTGAAGAGAGCGATACGTCAGAAGTGTCCACTTGTTGACGGAAGTAGCGCGTGAGTGTGATAGGATCATAAGGTAAACTGTCAGATCAATATGCTTCCTCTCACAATCCCAAGGGTATTGTTGATTTTTAGTTCTTTTTTTGTCTAAAGCCAATTTTTGCCAGCTAATGGAGTGCAGCATGCATGGCTGTGAAATTTTGGAAATTGAAGCAGACTTGATGTGGGTGTATGTGTCTAGAAGTCTCTATGCAATCCAGTTAATAGGGTCTATAAATTGGCTTTAAAGTACCATGGAGGCTTAAACTCACAATTTGTGATTTATATTGGTGGACTTTAAGTCGCCCTCTTTGATAATTGAATATTGTCCTTTACGTTGCTTAAATAATCCCTTGTGACTTAATTACTTGGAAAATGAATCATATTTCTTGTAAAATTTAGAAAATGATCAAACTGATATTAGATTAGACATTTTACGTAAATGGTAATGGCATGAATTTGTCATGATTTTATTCCATCTGTGTGTTTGAGAAGCATCTTATCATCAGACATCACTCCGAGTCCACCGAGCCAGAAAATGAGTCAATTCATTGGCTCTTTGTAGCTCATCACGTATAGCTAATGTACTCATCAACGAGCCATGTTGGTTTAAAGTTAGCCCTTGATGTATTCCTAATGACTTTGTTCAGTGGGATGTGACAGTTCACAGATGATATTCCGATCAAGATTCTTAACCTCTGCGGCGCTTGCACACTTCCTATATTCACTACTCGGTGGATGCGGCTTTGATTACCGCTTCCTTCTGCTTTTTGTGTTGACACATCTGTAAAGACGCTGCTTTAAGGTCTCAAGATGACAATAAAGACAGCTGAAAATGCTACATCTAGGCATCAGGTGAACTACATAAAAACAGAACCACAAGGAACATATTCTTATGGAAAAAAACATTTGTATGGATGTCAAGAGCACATTTCTTCTCGTCTCCTATTTCTGCCAATCTTTCTCTTGAAATCCCCAACTTGCACACAAGAAATCTTTGATAAAAAGTTTCAGGAAGTTATGTTTTTGTTTCCTAGGGAAAATACCATGACAACATATCCTCAATTTTTTTATTTCTGTCTAGTGCACAGTTTTTAAACCTAATTATTTTATTGATGGAAACTTCAAACTTGTTTCTAAAATCTTTCTAAAATCTTTCTGAATGTTGGTTTGTTAATTTACAATGGTTTAAACTTGGCTTTACATGCAAATTGTATACTGTTATATATTTCTTCATGGCAAAAGGAATCACATAATGATAATTAATGATGATCTCCACATTAAGGAAATATCAAAAGTAATTTGATTGCAGGAAATGGCTTGTAATTTATTTTACCATATGCAGTGTCAATATTATCAAACCAATTCTCCAGTGAAGGACTCAATTATAGACATTCTTTGTAATTACTGTATGATCACCAAATAGTATTTTATGCTTGCACATGAAAAAGAAAACTTGTTATCTAGAATATTCCATCAGTACTTGTAATTGTGCTGTACAAAATATTGGTCAAACTGCAAATATGAATTAGGAATCTCTTTCAACATTCACAGTCCAAGACCATTCCGAGAATATCAATGAGAATCAGTCTAAGGAAGCTAAGATATTAAATAATGGGATCCAGATATTTGTTAAAGGTCGAAAGTTACAGAATAGTTAGAGGGGAAAGGAAATTACAGTTGAGAGTTCCTCTACTCTGCTCTTTGATAGGCAAGAATTGTGTGAAGATTAGTAGTAGTAGATGGATATAACAAAAGACAGCTACACAATAAATGTCTGCTTTTCTTTGCATAACAGTGATAGTACTTTGAGCCATATCAAGTATATTCATAGAATTTATTACAAGACAATGTAGTGTAATGTAGTAATGCCAGTTTTTAACTTGTGCACTAGCTGCTCACCCTCATTTGAATAAATATGCTTACCAGATTACCAAATCCACAGAATAGTTGATACAGAGCTATTTTTTTGCAGTCACATAGCAGTAAATAAGATTAATGCTATTGACTTGCCTGCATGTTCCTACACATACCTGTATATATATGTATAATGCTAGAACCACTAAGACTATAAGCCGTGATCCTGACTCTTTTTACATGACTCCATTTTTAGTCAGCAAGATTATCTGGCTCTACAGGGTTCTCCTGATGACATTCGGACTTACGTGTGATTTAAAATTTCCTTTCCGTAAAGGTGGAAGGCTGATCAACCATAAGGGTGCTCCTGTGCATCATTGCACATTATCTATTACAGTCTGTGCCTGGCGTTCATAAAGCTTAGATCGGTAGCATGGTAATGGAGCCTAAGCTTTAGGGATGGAATGATGATTATATTTCTAAACACTTGCTTGCAGATGAGTTATATATCCCTATTTTTGTTATGTATACATATACTGTAGTTTAGGACACATTTATTCATCAGTGTATTCATGTGGTCACGAAAAATAATGTGCTGACAAGATATTTTAACCAATTTGGTGTTTACTATTTGTTTCAATGGATGTTTATGAACCGGTAGTGGAAATTCCTTCCAATGAAAAGTTTATGTTAATCCATTATTGTGGTATCTTTAAATATTGGAAATCACATTTTTTTTATTAATGATTTACAGTAGGTACTTCAGAACTAATTCTTCGGTCTATTTGATTATGTTTAAAGAAAATCTCTATCTTACTATTGAACAAACTGAAATGATGGTGATTGTGTTATTAAAGTCAATAGTTCATAAAAATAATCTACTTGAATTTAGTATTGAAAATGGTGAAGAAAAGTTAGTCTGAGGAAGGAAAGTAAACTATGGAAGTATTCTTTGGCACAGATTTAACACAAATCTGCTTCTCTTAAAATGACATCATTTCCCCTCTTGAGATTAAGGGGAAATTCTCATAATGTACCATACACAACCGCAAACATGTTTTCAGCCATCAATATTTCATATTTCTTCAACGAAAGTGTTTTTGTGAGAGGAATGAGTCCGGTCTTCAGTCAGCATTCATATCTAGGTCAACCACATATCTATGTAACAATGTACGAGTATGTCCTTGATATGCTCTCATTTTGACAGCACTTGGGATGCTTGGATGCTGGGATGTTGTCTACGTCAGGCACCCACCATTCTCTCATCTTTCTACCTACATTTACCATATAAGTCGCTATTACTCACTTTTTTGCCCTCTTTTTAATTCTATGCCAACTTATCTAATTTCATGATTTTTCTGTCTACAAATTTGATCATTCTATAAATATACTGAACTCTCAGTCCTGACATCTTTCAGTTTCTCTTGCTCACTCTGCTGTCTTTGCACACTCTCTGTTTCTCTCTTTTCCTTTCACTCGTTCTCTACTATATCTTTTCTCTTCTATCTCTTCTCCCTTCTCTCTCTCGATTCTCACTGTTCTTACTCTTTTCTCTTTATGATCTTTCCTCTCTCTCTCTCTCCCTACCTCTCTCCTTTCCTCTCTCATTTCCTCTCTCCTTTCCTCTCTCCCTTCCTCTCTCCTTTCCTCTCTCCTTTCCTCTCTCCTTTCCTCTCTCCCTTCCTCTCTCCCTCCCCTCTCCCCTTCCTCTCTCCCTTCCCCTCTCTCCCTTCCCCTCTCTCCCTTCCCCTCTCTCCCTTCCCCTCTCTCCCTTCTCCTCTCTCCCTTCCCCTCTCTCCCTTCCCCTCTCTCCCTTCCCCTCTCTTTCTCTTTCTCTCCCATTTATCTTTAGTTCCCTTGACTTGAAATAAATAAATTACATATTACCAATATTAATGTATTTTGTATTTTATTTATTACAGCTGTCAAGAGGGCTTCCTTGGAAAGTACTGTGGAGAGAGTGGTAAGTACTGAACTATTTTGTAAACTGTTTGTCTTCACAAACTTACCTAGATAATGAGGGCAGAGATAATATATATTTATTAGATTGATTGCTACTTATTAATTTAAGCTTCAAAAACATGATTTATACTCCCAGGGATTCAGTGCAGTTCTTTGCCATTGAGCTTTAAAGAGATTTATACATTTGTCCTTGTGGCATCCATGTTAATAACTGAGTGGAACGACCAGAGGGAAAGAAGATGCTACAGTCATACACAACTGTTTCCTTCCTGGTTATGTAATAGTTTTATTTGAGAGAGAGTTGACTTTTGGGGACCCTGGGAATTTACAATGCATACAGTAAACATAACTGATAGTAACGTGTTTCTGTGCTTATTAAAATCTGAAATGTTGTTTTAAATCACCTCTCTCTTTCCCTTTGTTTTCAGTGTGTCCCCCATGGAAGTATGGAAATAACTGCTCCAGTCTCTGTAGTTGCAATGTAGAGCACTCCTTGAGGTAGGTCCCATCAGAGATAACTTGATCTACATACAATACCTCCCTACAGGCGCGTTCACATATGATATGTGCTAAACTGTCTAAATACAACTCCCCCAGCAAAGTAAAATAATTTTATGTGTAAATGATCAGAAATTACTGAGGATGAAAGAAAGAAAAAACAATACATATGGCTGCAAGCAACAAAGGCCCCTGCATGTACCGACATATCTTTGTGTTGTAAGTTAGAGAAATGTTTAGGTTAAATTAGAATTTGTTCAGGTGGTTTACCAGGTCTTGTGTGAATGAGGCTTACTTAATTCAAGAAGTAGTTGTATCTTTGGTCGGTGGGTTCAGACATGAGCAGTGTTCAATATGAACTTACCATCTAGATTGCTAAGTGCTCATTTGGCTACCAGCCAATGATTATGAGCACTTGTTTGACTTGGGAAATGAATGTTTGCATGCATGCAATGTTATTAGAGACATTATCATGAATATATACCGGTAACTGTTTTTGTAGCATGTAGACCCTGAAGTGCTTGAATTTACGACGTGATAAAATATCCAAGTAATCAAAGGAGGTGCACACCGTCTTATTCCTTCTTTGTTTGATCTTATGTTTGACCTAATGTATGTTAGATCTCATTTGTATTCATTATTATTATAATATATGTATGATTTATTGAATAAAGAACAGATTTATAATTTGTGTGTTTATTATAAGTTTTGGTTAATAATTTTTAGTCAGACAATGGTGCGCTTAGAGACACACGTATTAAGCGCCTAATAAATGTTGTGTATTATTATTATTATTAATCTTATCTTTCACAAAATGCCCTGATACTGATAGACGCATGTTTATGGAAGATTGATATGTTCCGAAGACAACCTTAAATTAGACCACCAGAATTTCATATTTCCAAATTGGATTGACCAAACATTAATGTTAAATCTGGTATGAATGTGCTGTTATAGTCCTAACATAGAATGATTCATGTTTCAGAAGGGCAGAATGCCTCTATTAACCGGAAGAAACAGCTTCCTCTATCTACACAACAGTGTCTAATCACATTGTTTCGATTGTTCAATCTCTGCGTAGGCAGGCGTTCAAGGAGAATTGTAATAAAAGAGGAGGCCCATGCTGATTGTAAGATATGTAAAGGCCTCATCTAAAGAACAGTGGTGATTGATCCAAAGCAAATTGCAAGTCCTCAAATCTTTTCATACATGACGATTGCCTATTTATTTGCACATGATTACATGTTTAACTTGAGATTGATTTAAAAATCTCAACTTTTAAGACAAGGCCCTGGTAAACATCATCTGCAAAGGTAGATTTGAAGTGATGGAAATTTTTACCAGTTACACATAATTGTTAACAAACATAATCACTACCAAAATTTAATCTATCAAAGAAGAAGATTGGTCCATATCATGAACACAGCAAGTTTTTCCAGGAAAATTTTTGTAGTTGTTGTTTACCGGAATTTTGGTTCATAGATGGTGTTTTTTAATATTAATGACCAATGAAAATAACGTTTATTGAATTTTCTTCCAAAAGAGTACGCCCAAAATATGGAATGTATTATAGCAGTCAAATATGTTTATTAAGTCCACCAAAGGATCATATGAAAAACGGCCGGCGTCTTAAGATAGGTGAACTTCTACACCTACAACACACAATTCTTCCCAGAGGGAGACAGTTTGGGGCAATTATAATCAGCTGGCCTCAATAGAGATGTGGCTATAGTAAGACAGGTTTGTATGTATTTGATATACATGTAGGCCTACCTGGCTAACATCTACATCTTTGATAGGCAACCAAATGCTTCTTCTTCCTTCTCATTTACAGTTGTCACCCCATTACTGGACAATGTAAGTGTAACACTGGCTATGTTGGTTCAGAATGTGACTTCACTTGCCCTCTTGGTTCCTATGGCGATGGATGCTATCAGATATGTGAATGTCAGAATGGAGCTCATTGTAACACTGTAGATGGAGTTTGCACCTGTGCGCCTGGATGGCTGGGGAAAATGTGAGTACCGGTATACTTTTATTGACATCAAATTGGTTAAACATTTTAAAAAATTGTTTTGACAAACTAATTGTTTTAAGAGATATATCCTTCCATGTGTAGGATTATCTTCTGTTATTACACAAGTATGAAATTCATGATTACATTTGAATAGAATTTTTCTTCAGTATCATAATTTTTTGTTATAGGGGGAGAATTTGAAGAAATGGAAAGTGTGGGTCTTGGTGTCAGTTTTACAGAGCTTTTTATTTCTGTTGTAAATTCTCACACATATCGTTCCTATTTTCACGTAGTGATGGTAGTGAGTAAAATCCGCACGCAAATTGTATGCGATTTTCATTCACTACCGTCACTTCATGAAAATAGGGACGATATCTTAACCCATTGAATACTAAGTGTTAGGCAGCTTGGGTTGGAGTCTATTGGAGATGAGCTAGTGTTATACCAATATCAATTGTTTTCTGAAGACTTAGAAACATGAGGTTTTACTGACTATGTGCAGAACTTTCTTTTTTTCATACTTCTAAAGATTTTAGACCGTATACATGTAGTTCATATCTTTCATACTTCTATCCTGATGGCCTTGGCAATCTTTCAAGAGGTTCATCCCTTCCTTTCAGTACCTATATATCCTACTTCCTCTCCCCATCCTTGTATCATGCTTATCTTTGTCTACAATCTCCCAAGATATGTCAACTCCTACTCAAACACTCATTCATATTAATCAAACACTGCATTCAATATTGTTTTTAAACCCTTCCTATTTTGTGACTAATACATGGTTTGTGGAATAATCTGCAATATCTGCACACCCACATATTCCTAAATTACCAACAAATATCTCTAATGACATTTCCTACTACTCTGTTCTCAAGAAATTTCATGAATTCCGTTCTTTCGTTGTATTCCCTCCCTTTCCATTAATCAGCTGTAACGAGACGTGTCCTGTTGGTAGCTACGGCCACGGTTGCCAGGCAACGTGTAACTGTCAGAACGGAGCCACCTGTCATCATATAGACGGGGACTGTATCTGCGCCCCAGGTAGGTGTCTCCTGCTCTTAACACTCTATCTATACCTCATCTTCTGTTCGTTTCTTGCCGTATGTTTTGATTAGCTTGCATATCTCGGCAAGAGCCAGAAGGGTGTTAACTCTTTGTAAAATATTAGCTAGTGCCCTTCTGATTCTCAACAGGTGATGATCAAAGAGAGACAATTTGGAAGAAGTCAATTTGGAAGCAGATTTGGTCCAGGGTTTTAAATGGATTGTTCAGTCCTATATTGATGTTAATTAGCCCTTCCTTTACATGTGAATGAGCTATTTCAGTCTGCTTCTGGAGCAAAAAAAATTTCTCAGAGAAATAAAATCCAGTGACACCTTTAGAATAGTTGATTTTTTTCACAATGAAAAAAAGCTATTTTTCTCACTGAAGCTAGCGATACTTTTTTTGCAAAGAAAAAAACTGATGTACAACTATTACGTAACAGAATAGTTAGATGATTTCTTTTCCCATGAGAAAAAAGTAGTTTACTGAAGCCTTAAGTAATAGCTTTGTGCAAAACTGATGTACAACAACTTCATAACTGAACAGTGAAGTGAAGTTTTTTTCTAATGATATAAGCAGCCAGATGGTCTTTGGATTTAAAGCTTTAATGTGATTTTAAGATGATGCAATACAGTGTATCAGGACATATCAAGTCTTCATATGAAGAGCGATACTTTGAATTTTAAACATGCCAAACATTTGAGAAGAACATTAAGGCCATTCGCGTGTGAATCTTTCAAATGAATGTGGATGCCAAGGATTCCAACAGAGGCATTGATAATTAAGTATCCTATGTCTACCTACCCTTGTGTCTGCTTAGTCACTACAAATGTTACCTGGTAAGATGAGTATCACGTTAATCTTCATGACCTGCTGTTTGCTTTGGGCCCACAGAAGTATCTTACTCATCAATTGTCTAGGATTCTACAACTTACTTGTTGAGACAGACAGAAAATTATAAAAATGCTAGAGCTGGGTTCAGACAGGAGTGATACTAGCAGTGTAAGATAAGCTCTAGAGATAATGTTGATTGATGAAATGTTTGGAGGAAAATATCCCTTCCTCCTACCCACCACCTTCAGAAGCTTAATGATTTAGAGTGAATTTGGTGGTTTGGTGCTATATTTGTCCATGAACAATTCATTCTTAATTATTCTTGAAGGTCAGAATGCTCATGTGTCAGCTTTTGATAATTGTAATATATTCCTGTTTTCTGTGACTTAATTCTCAAAGTGTTTCTACATGTAGAGTTGATTCCATTGAGTCTTTCTACATGCCTAAGATACAAATCACATGCAAGCTAGGCCATTGCTAGCAAAATAAGATATATCCCACTCATAATGGATGAACGGTTCAACTGACACGTTGTATTTCTTGACAGAGGTCTGTTTACATGTTAAGTGGTAACCCTAGAGCATAGGAACTATCTGATACAAAATCATATTTGAGCAGGCGAGAGGGATGTAAAAGATATACTATCCCTGGAAGTCCTAAGAACATCTGATGGTTTATTTTGAGGTGCTTCCTCTGTGCAATATGGAGACCTTTCTATGTCTTGAAGGACGTCTTTTCTCACATTGTGTGATGTCCTTACATATTTGAACAGGTGAAAGAGGAATATAAATGATACCCTATCTGCAAGAAGACAAACATATTACGTTCATCTGATGGATTACTTTAAGGTGCTTCCTCATTGCACAATGGAAACACATCTCTGTCTTGGTGGATATATGCTTTTCTTTTTGCTTTTGTTGTAAATATTATTTAATGCCCATATACATATTTGTGTGTATAATGTAGGACACAGAAATGGAAAGCATGCTTCTCTAATTTTTTGCTGCAGCTTTCATTCTTAGGCAGTTTTATTGCCACATTGTATGTGAATGTGAAGTTTAATGTACAAGTCTTCTGTTCATCTAAAAGGTCACTGTGAATGAGTGTGCTGGAAAATTGGGATTTGATTAAAGCTAGCATGAAGGCCTTTTTCTGTCACCTCACTTCACCACAATGACTCTGGTTATATTAACCAATCAAAGGATTATCTAGAAGGCTCACCAACACTTTTAGACCATGTTATTTCTGCTGTGGATATATGCTTATCTTCTAGGTTTCTACTGTCTCGATTCCAAAGGATAGATTTGCATTTGATGTTGACCGTGGCTATTGGGTTGAATATAAAATGAAATGAGGCTTCGCCTCGGGATGATAGAAGGGCCGGTGTAAACACTACCTTGGGAGTGATATTTCCCACCATCATCCTCATGAGCAGTCAATATTTGTATAATATTTCATGGAAAAATTATGCATAACAGGCAATAAAGGAATCCTTCTTGGATATATTACAGTTCGTACTGAAAAGGAAAATTTAATTTTAAACAAATTCGTGTTTTATTTCTCTATTTCTTTCTCTTTCTCTCTCTATATCTCTCTCTTTCTTTGTTCCCTCTTTGTCTCTCCCCCTCTCTTGTTTCTCACTTTCTTTCTGTCTCACTCTCTCTGACTTTCTCTTCCCCTGTGTCTCTTTCTCTCCAGGTTGGCAAGGGGTTCACTGTAATCTTCCATGTGAGAATGGTTTCTATGGTGATGGATGCAGCAGGTTATGTGACTGTGGGAACGGAGCATCTTGTGATGCAGTGACTGGACAGTGTGAATGCACCCCCGGATGGTTACAACCCACGTGTCTTAGAGCTTGCAATGTGAGTAGTACATGCATGGAGGCACTAGTGGAATGATAAATAATAACAGCGTATTTGTTTTGTTAGAATGTGGTTTCATGTATAGGCATTTTGATACTTCGATTGACAATGCTCACTGCTCTGAAGAAAACAAATATTTTAAGAATCACATAACATTTTAATAAATGTATACTGCCATCCGCAGTCCTGCCTTGTTATTTCAAAATATTCAAGTATTGTTCTTGAAGTCTTATGTTGTATATTTCAATATAAAACTTAAATTTTCTTGTTCCTTGGATATCACAACTAAGTGACAATAAACAATTTAATTATATTATACACAAGACCGAATATATTTTGGTAATCCTAAGTTCTGTTCATTCTGCTCTATCAGTAGGTATAGTGATTCTGTTTAAGTGATGTCAGGTTAAGAAGTGAGACACTTGATTATATAGAAATACCAGAATGACATTTTAAAATCACTACATGCCATTTTCCCCCTAAAAGATCCTGTTTACTTTATCATGATAAGCTCTCAATTCATTTAACTTCTTTCTTTTCTTCCAGCCGATGAAATTTGGACCTGAATGCATCAATAATTGCAACTACTGTGAACACTCCTCAACATGTTCTAATGTAGATGGTCTCTGTCAATGTGACATTAATTACACAGGTATGAAGGCATACAGTCACATAATACCCCATTACCTCTTATCTCACAATATGACAGATCAATCTATGATCAAAGGCTCTACTCCTTCATGGATTATGATTTATAGATTATGATTATGATTATATAGATTTGAAGAATTTTTTAGTGGGAGTGTTGATTGTAAATGAAAGAAGACATGTTTATTTGTTTTTAGTTGGTTTGATATTATTTTATATTGTTGGTTACATGAAAAGATGCCTCGGAATGCATAATTGTTGAAAATCATGATTTTATGGCATAGAGGTAGAACCATATCTTTTATGATATAGAGCTGGTATTCAATTTTGTCAAACTCCAGCTTTTAATTCACTGACATCACAACTTATTATGCCCTTTGTGTTCCGGATCTGTCTTATTGTGCTACAACACTTCGCTACACGACCCGACAATTGAAAATTTCTAAAAGAATATTTTGTAAGATGTCTTATATTGGATGAGGCTATTTTCTATTTTTCTTTCTTCTTCAATGATTGCATTATTCTTTCTCAATAGGTGTATTGTGCTCCAGTTCTTGTCCCAATGATTTCTGGGGACCTAGCTGTTCCCAGACCTGTAATTGCCTCAACGAGGGTTCATGCCATCCTTTGAATGGGACCTGTCTGTGTCCTCCTGGATTCACAGGAGAGTATTGTGAATTAGGTAAGTTATCACTATCCAAAGTGGTCATGATTGTCCTAACTAATTGAGTTATACTTAACCTCAAAAGTGACAGGGAAGGAGAAACAGAATCTGCCCCCTGTCATTGTATTTAACCTTTGAATGTTAACTGTATATGACCTCTATGATTCACCGGGGATTTTTTTGAATTATGTAAGAGGAATAGTGTCATTGATCATGCAAATGTCCTAAAAGATAAACTCCAGTTCTGGTAAAAAAAAGAAAATTAATTCTCACACAATCAAACGAAACTTACACTGAATGTTCAAGATTACAAATAAATGACATGTGCTAAACAATTTTGGAAGAAAATGTATATTGGCTGAGTAATGAGCATAGAAAGACAAGGAAATCAAGGTAGTACTAGCCCCGACACCATGTGTGTTGTCCCATATATAGCTTTCTGTGTACAGTGCTTGTTACTTTACCAAGACTCGGCCAAATTTATTATGATTTTGTTGACTCCAGAACCTTGCAGTGCACACCAATACTTACATGCTACATGATCAACGGTTTCTGATCCATTCCACACCTTTTCTTTCACAATGCAATCGCATCACCAGAACTCACCTTTATCTTAAATTATGGAGGTAGTTTTAACCTCAGAAGGTCTATAGGGGAGGGGATGTACAGAAACTAGCCCCAAATTATAGCCTTAAAAAATAATGGTAATTGTCTATGTCCATTGGGGTTCACATGAGAGTATTGTGAACTAGTAAAGTTGTTATGTAAATATCTTGAATCATTTAAGGTATTATGAGATTTTTTATTGAATTAAGCATGAAAATGTTTATCAGTGTTACAACACACTTTGGAAAGTTCAAGCAAAAGTGATCATTATTTATTTGGTTTAAGAATATTGTGCTTGCTTTTGTTATACCTGATTCTATAGTTCCATTTTCGGCAGAGGATAATAGATAACAAAAGTGGTTGGCACTAAACTAAGGAAGAAATATTTCACTTTGGTTCAGAAGGGGGGGGGGGGATACTTTTTTATTTTTCTGCCCATCACAATTTTGAGAAACATTGTGTAAATACTATTTCAAATATTGAATGGATCTTTCAAAGTTTTCACATAGATCTTACGGTTCTTGCACTGTTTGATGCCTTTACAAAAGTGAGGCAATTCATTCTGTGATATGACTTTCATTTAACTTCCGTTCTCATTTGATGATTTTCTATCCTGCAGTCTGTACAGAAGGCACGTATGGTTATGAGTGTGGTTACCCCTGTCCTGGTACATGTATGAATGGTAACGCCACTTGTCATCCAAGAGATGGGAGCTGCACCTGTCTCCCTGGCTACCAAGGAGTCAACTGTGATAGACGTAGGTTAACCCATGGCTACAGACCTCTTGTATTCTCATTGGCTTAATACAGGGATCACCCAGTTACCATAGTCATTAGGTTCAATAAATATAAAATACATTTAACATTTAATTATTGTTTATTTTGAGCACAGTATGATCTATAGTTAGGGCCAGAAAGAAGAGCCTTGTTTTTTGTTTAGTGGGAGATTCTAGATTGGGTAATCTCTAGAAAAGTGTTGGCATTTAATCCTTGATTGAGTTCATCTACTTTTATTCATAAATGAAGCATGTTTATATAGTACTAGAATATCTTATTATTTCTTACCAAATAGTTTTGCAAAGCTGTGGAAATAAGTTGATAATGTCATATTTGAGACTGAATTTTAAAAAAAATTGTTTTTGGTATACATGCACAGCGCAAGAAAACTATAAAATCTTGATCAACCCACCATAATTATTGTACAATTTTGATTTCTCTCTGTATAGCTTGCCCATCAGGATTTTATGGTGTTGGATGCTCACAGGAATGTATGTGCAGTAAGAACTCTACCTGTAATCCAGTAACAGGACAATGTGAATGCTTAGCTGGATGGATCGGACCTGATTGTAGCCAAAGTAAGTTCTTTGAATTTATCTTTGATATGTGATGTCCTTCAAGATGCATTAATGTTAGCTGTTTTGTGTCATATGTAACAGTATTTTATGTACAACATTGTCACTAATCAGTATGATGGCTGTTTTGAAATGGTATACTGCTGTATCAGGGTTTAAATGATAGACAAGAGGCCTAGATCTATATTTCTTGCAGTTTCAAAGATCAACCTGAATATAGCAGCAAGGTAAGTTTTTATCTCCCAGAATACTCAAGCACATTTCTGTTCATGAGAATGAATAGATTGGCCGGTCTAAAGAATCCATATGGTTCTGCAACACCTTTGGATCACGATAACGATCTGGAATGGTTCTCTGACAGTTGTTTATTCCGTAAAAACTGTAGGAACAGGTCTAGGGTTGCAATAGGGTTTTAGATTAGGTATAGAGTTTGGTATAGTACATGTCCAGTGTTGTGTTCAGTGTTAAAGGTCCAGATTTGTTTAGTGTAGGAAGTTGACTTCAAAGCAATTATTGAAGGAGCATGTGTTATATACAACCTCTTGAAATATTTTGTCCCAATAATGTTATAACTTTGTGTTTGTCCAGAATGTCCTGAAGGTCGCTACGGCTATGGCTGTGCCTTCTCCTGTGACTGTGCACAAGGAGCGACCTGTGAACCTTATGATGGAGAGTGTATGTGTCCCATTGGATTCGGTGGACCAAGGTGTACAGAGAGTAAGTTTAAGGATACCATTTCTTCTAGAGGTATGGTTCTGTACAATACTGATTTCATGCAGCCGAAGCAGTGTCCTCCCAACCCTTGTAGCGCTTACAAGTTTGCAACATCTTAAGTTACAAGTCTGCTATCGATTGTCCTCTTTTCCTTTGGTTTAATCATACACAAACATCAATCTATGATATCTGTCTTCACATGATATGGACCCATTTTGAATTGCAACAAGAAAGACTCTTCCTTTGTTACCATAAGATATATAAGACACTGAAAGGAACGAGAGCTGTTTTCTTTTATTGTTATTGTCAACATACTGTGCTCATGATATTTTGTATTTTTTGAGGTCAGTGTTTAGTACCCTGTAGATTCCCTGATTTGAAGAGTTTAGGAATCATCCATAATATTCACCTTTTCATAAAAGCTATCTTGAGTGTAGTTTCTTTCAAATATACACCATCCATCTACACTGTGCAATTTAATTTTGCAATAATTCAGTTGCTATTATTCAGAATTAATAAGTAAATTTATACCAATTGTATAATATACAATTTATGTAGAGAAGAGACTTTACTTTAATCCTCACCTTCATCCTTGTTTCAGGTTGCCCAAAAGGAAATTATGGAGAAGGCTGTAGCCTCGTATGTGAATGTAATGAAGAAGGTACAGCATCTTGTAGTCCTCTCAATGGACACTGTGACTGCAGCATTGGCTATAGAGGACATCGTTGTGGACAATGTGAGTTACTAATGATTTTTTTTCTAAAATTGTTTGATATATATGGTCCAAAATGTCCACAATAGCCTACTAGAAAAATTACAAACTTGACAATTTGGTGAAACTTGACAATCTCATGGAGAACTTAAGGTCGGCAAGTCAATTGGTTCACTGCCTCGAAATATATAATATTATCCATTGATGATAGTAATTGATAATTCTTATAAAAATAACATGAAAAAACTTGTCCCCCCCCCTTCCCCCCCCCCCCAAAAAAAAGTCATTTTTTAATCTTACTGCTAAGAAAGCAAGTAAATCTATATATACTTATGGTTAATCAATACCTTTCTGTAAATTTGCAGACTTTGGATATTTTTGTTAGAAATTTGACATTTATTTACACCATATTGTTTTTATTGCAGTGTGTGTGCCAGGAACGTATGGAATTAACTGTCAGTTTGACTGCAAGTGTCAGCATCAGTCAGCCTGTAATCCTGTAACAGGACAATGCCGCTGCTCACCTGGATGGATAGGAGATACATGTGAACTAAGTAAGATGGGTTACCACTCTTTTTATTGAATTCTTTGTCCCCCTAATATATTCAGTTAGAGTTATCATATCATTAAAGTTCAGATTTCCTAGGAATAAAAAAGTGATTATGAATGAAAGTTTGATTCAAGGCTGCTTTCAAGATTTCCTTTTATGCTCACAATGTTGTTGATAAGTTATACAACTGTACCAAGCGTGTTCAAAAGGATTATTAATGTTACAAAGACAAATGGTTGTGAATTATTAAAATGTGCAAGGAATGAAAACGTTTGCTGTTGTCGTAAGATTCACAGCTTAATTATGTCCAGATATTCACAAATTTGCAAAGTCACTTAAAAAAATATTAATTTCATGATTATGTTCAGCATCTTGCATTGCTCTACTACATTAATTTACAACCATCCCAGAATGGATCATAGTATTTTGATTTACCATTATTACTGTTAAGGCTATTATACTTTTGTTTTGTAACAGAATGCCCGCCAAGCCACTATGGTATGTTCTGTAACAACACATGTTCCTGTCCAGGTAGATCTGAATGTGATCATGTGAGTGGGCAGTGTTTGTGTCCACCTGGTTTCTATGGCAAAGAATGTAAACAAGGTAAGTATCTCATTTAAATATTACAGGGATTCATGTGTTCATATCATTTATTTATTTGTCCAATGGACATTTGTTTGCTCACATATAAATAACGGGTTCATACAAAGATTACAAAAACAGAAAATATGATACAAAACATTGATAGGCCCATATTTTGTTGATAATAAAGATAATATACATAATACTGAATTTCATTGTCTAGATAGGGGAGAGGAAAATAATTCTATATGGGATTTTCATTTTGTTTTTGTGAAGTGGGATAGGAATTGGGGAGGGATGCAACTTATCCATGACATAAGAATGTAAATATTTCAAATTTGAGACTGGAAGATAAATATGGTTGGCTACTAATGTAATGATGACAATAAAATAAGAAGGGAAAATATTTTTTCTCAATTGCAATAACTTTTATTTCAAAATATAATAATTTACACCATAATAAAGAGCAGAAATAAGTAACAAATGATATTACTTGTTTTCTTTGTCTCTTCCAGTGTGTGGGCCAGGGTTCTATGGATCAAACTGCAAGGAGACATGCAGCTGTCTCAATTCTAACTATGTTTGTGATTCAGTCAGAGGCTGTGTATGTCCTGATAATGTCTATGGTGGACAATGTAACATTGGTGAGTACAAGCATTCAGTTTCTTTGTCAAGACCTATTTGCAAATGGCTCAAAAAAGCTTTGATAGTTGCTACTTTTATCTAAAATATTACTAGTAAGTCTTCATCCTCAAGATTTTTTCAATACCATACTTATTCTTGAATGTCTGAGAGGTCTATAGTAAATATGAAATTGTATAGCTGTGGAATTTAAAAAAAAAATGAAACAGAAAACACAATTCATTAAATAGATGAGACATCCATGTTACCCTTTATGTTTAGACAGGAAATAGTCAAACATTAGCTATGAATGAATATATTATGCATCAGTAAAGCAGTGGAAAATGAGGAATACACTGTACTAAACAGATGAGATAATGAATTACATGTCACCCAGCAATAAGGAATGAATATTCTCATCATTTCAACAAAATATGATTCTATTCCTTACAGCTGGAATTAAGAACCAACAGACTGGTCTCATGTCTGGAGGACCAATGATTGGTATCATCATGGGCATCATCATCTTCATCCTCATCATCCTCCTCATGTTAGTCTTCCTCTGGAGGAGAAGATACAGAGGAAAACCAGATTATGGATTCGCTATCTCGTGAGTAGATTATCTCACTTCGTACAATACTATAGTAAACCAGATTCTCTCTCTATTTTCAATAGCCATACGGCTTATTACTCATATATTGCAAACTATATCTTGTCTACAGAAAATTATTTAAATTTAAGTTAATTTCACATCATATTGAAGAAAGGCCTACTAATGATAAGCGATAAAAATATTCATAATTTTTTGGTGTAATTCATATCACATTAGTGTCTGTATGTATGGAGTGGAATTTGAAAATATATTGTGTCTAGAATAAAATGGTATTGTTTTGATGAATGAAAAATATTAAATTGTTTATAATGGGTTAGATTATAATCATTTAGTGGGTAATAAATGATAAGGGAAATTGTACTCCTATTTCTCTACTCTTCTAGATATTCAAGAGGTGACATGATGAACTCCTCTGGTCCCACTGTCGTATCCAATGGAAACGCTCATAACCTACCCCCAGCCAGAGACTCCCCGCTAGGGGCCAAAGGTCAAAATAAACTCAAACTCCAGAACGTGAATCCTCTATTCATGGCGCCGGTGAAGAATATTGAAGATGATGACATGGCTGGGGGCGCCATAGGAGGAAAATCATTTGGTAAGTTTGCTGGTTAAGCTAACCTAACCTAAATGCTGATCTTTCACAATTAAAATGATATCCTAAGTTATTGGGATACTGAGATGAGATTACATCATTTGTTGAGAGCCAGAAGGGCATTATAAGTTTGTTTATGAGTTAAAACTCTTCTGGCTCCAAACATATGATAAAACAGAGAGCAATTTGGTGATGGTGCAAGGTAGCTTAGCACAAGTGGCTTGAAAAGATTCATCCAGAACGCAAAAGGAATAATTGTACGTAAGTTGGTGCTTCTGAAATAATAATCTGACCTATCTGAATAACAATTGTTAGTATCAATTTGTGCCTAATTGATTCAATAGAGTATACTACAAATGAAATAACAATTTTTTTTTACCACCTTCTCAATTGCATTCTGAATGCTTCTTTACGTGCCACAATTTGCCAATGCCTAAATATATGCTGCAATATAGGAAGAATTGCCCCTGATGCTGCAGAAAAAGCCACCATTTTTTTGTTTAAAAAAATTAAAGTATCCTTTAGTTGTTGAGATATTAAGACAATCAGAATTGTTTTGCAAACAATTGGCTTGATGCCAAAGGTCAGTTTGGTTGATGAATGGAAGCTATTTCAGGCTAAATGGATTTGTTTGGAAATGTTCCAAACTCATACTCATATAGCCTGAAATCCACTGGTGTTTGGTATAAGTAATTAGTTTATGCTGATGTCTTTCATCAAAGATCTTACTTAGTTCCCTTTTTATTTTTCCTTTTAGTGTGGGAGTTACAGGGAATTAGTTAGGTCTATTAGATAATAGCATGATGATACATGCCAAGAAAGCAACATAAACAAACTGTGTTCAGACTTTCAAATATCATGCGTAAGTCTGTGTAGAAAAGGGAAGTTGGTGGGGTTTGTAAAAATTTCTGGTTGACTTTTAAAAAAGTCCTTTGTATTACCAAAATATCAACAAAAAATAGGAATGAAATTCCATTTTAAAAACATCAACTTTAATTTGTATGTAATTGTTGTGTGCTGTTTAGCCACTGAAGACAAGGTTGACAACACGTATGAAACAGCGATCCCGCCCCCTCTACCCCCAGGACGGGGTGAGGAGGGAGACTATGAAGATGGTAAACAATCCAAATCGATATTCTGCAGGCAAAAATTAAAGCTAACACACTGCTCCCAAAATACATATTCATTGAGATATATTGATTTGTACACACCTGAAACATATACCATGTATGTGTGTGTTTTGTACTAATGCTCTAGAATATGCATAGCATCATTCAACAACCAGAAGTTCCCTATCCCCTATTGATCAAACATAGATTGCCTTTGAAAATTCAAATGATATAGTTGCCCAATTATGTGTGCACCTGAAAAAGCATTTGAAAGAAAATAAGTGTTACTTGCACTACCTGACCTAGTTCAACTGCAGAGAGGAATATAGCATGAAATGCAAACTGATTATGAAATGTTTCATGTTCATACATTCACCTTTGTTTGCCCTCATATTTCCTCTCTCATTCATCTCACTTGATGATTAATGTAATTTATCTTTCTACTTTTGTTGATTTTGATTTTTCCAAAAAGCATCAGTGTCATAAAATTTGTAATGCATTGTTCTAAGCAATTAGATAAGAACTATGGACAGATACTTGTTCTAGTAAAGAATGGATTTTAATATGCAATGAAATTACCCGATTTAGAACTACCCGATTTAATAAACCGAAAGCATATAGCGTTTCTAAAGATTTATTGTAACTGTACTGTTATATGTTTAGTAAAGCTTGATTTGTAATATGTAGAGTAACTTTTAGATTATATACTTTTTAATGTTTTTTTCATTCTAATACAATTGAAGATTTTATGATGTATACTTCCTGACAATTTTTTTTTTGCAATAAATTAAGGCAATACATCTTTATTCAGTCATTGTCACAAGCATATATCACAATCATCACTGTCATCACCACCAGCACCAGCACCATCACCATCAGCATCAGCATCATTTTGTTCACAGACACATAATAAATGCATGATCAATCTTTTTCATTTTTTCCCCAGAGGAACAGTTTGCAACATTTTTCAAATCAAATTTCTTTTTTTTTAAATAAATTATTTCAACAAATTTGCTACAGAATTGCCACAAAATATATTGTTTTTTAATAATTTTTCTTTATTCATGATAACAAAGATGCACAAATGTTTTTATAAACAACCACACAGATATGTCATAGTTCCCTGTAAAGTGAAGAGTGGCACATTTAATCTGCCGATTGTAAAAGTTGAAAATTAATGCTTTTGTGTGAATCTAATTTAATAATAGATTAGAAAGGGTAGATTGTATCAATTTGCCTCCATTGGCATGCATGTATTCAGCCATTAATTGTAACTGATATTGAAACTACTATGTTTCAGAGATTGAATGAAAACTTATTAATAGCTATCAAATCCCACTATGAGTTGAAATAAATGAACAAGTTACTGGAGCCAAAGTTTCAGCTATGATTCTGTATGTTTCTTTGGTAATTTAATTGTCAACATGATTGTGTGCAATCTACAATGTATGTTATTACACAGATCTAACTATGAGAGTAAAACAACAAGCATATGTCACTGTTATATATACTTTGTGTGTAATACATAAAATGCTGACAAGTCCCTGAAGATATTTCTATTACTTTAAAAGCAAAATAATTATAACCGTTTTCAGTGAAGTGTGCAAGTTTTAGAATATGAAAAATCTAATTGACCAAATCTATACTTTAACACCAACTTTTGTAGCAATATATATCTACTCTAGTTTTCAATATGCTGTATCTTATGTAAGCACCATAGCAAACAATATAGTAATAATAACATTTGCGCACTATATCATATCTCCTTTCCTGTTGTAGACTCTAACTGTGAAAAAGCTACTAACTCTTATGAGTGTATTCCGCCACCTGTACCACCCCTTAGAACTAACATCAACCAGTTTGATGGCAAAGAACCCAATAAAATACAACATGGAAAATCGCAAAGTAAGTATAGTCCTCCATACATCATTTCTCATAATAGCTGTAAACTCTCCTTGTAGTTAATAGAGAAGAGAAAAAAAGTCATGTAATGAATGTTTAAGTAATACTCTGGCTCTCTTTTCCTTTCCTATTATCAAGTTTAGCAAACTATAGACCCTTGTTGCCATGCTGTTATCATGTCTTTGGCATTTGAAATAGTCCTTAAAAATATGCTCAAATTGTTCTGCTAACTTCAAAAATAGTGAGGCAATAACATGAACCCCATTTTCATTTCTTGAAATAGTGTGAGATGGCAGCAGTTAGATATATTATCAGAGGATATAATTGCATTTCAGTAAAGAGCAAATCCATGATATGACTTTAGAAGATGTATGGTTTAAAATGAAGATGTCAGTATGACTTTTAGGTGTTCATTTCCCCCTCATATTAAATTGCTCAAGGGAGGCTCGCTGACCTGTACTCAATCTTGTATTTCCCAACATTTGTAGTTGTTAATTTTTCATTATTGGTATATAGTTCAAACTCCAGAACATAACATCCTTAACTTGACTTGATACTTACTTCTACATTTTTTTTCGAATTTGTTTTACTCACTTCAGTTTTTAAGAAGGCTAAGAACAGCAGCCCGAATCTGAAACGTTATTCCAGTCCTGGAGACTCAACGGAGAACATCTATGCTGATATAGATGATATGCTAGCTCAGGCTAGGAAAGCCTCTCAACCATTACCACCAGTACCAGATAACTACTCCAGTATACCCAGAAATACACCAGCATTACCATGTGAAGGTAGCGTATTCTCTACTCTAGCTCTGGAGGGTCATAGGAATCTTAGGCCTGGATGCCACTAAACATTTAAAATCAATATTGGGTTTAATCTCTGTTTAGGTCAAGTTTAGCAAAATAAATAAGATTGTGATGAAAGTTTTTATTTTGTTGAACTTGACATACACGTTAACCAAGCCTGAAACGCTAGTGTTGGGTTATTTGGATATGGAAATCAATCAGCAAATCAATAGACCATTGCTACAAAGTCATGTAGTAATGAAAAACATAATACTGTAAAACATGACGGGCTTCTGAATTTCCCCATAGTTTTCTTTTGCTGTGCATGTTTGACCAATATATGTAAGACTGAAGTGTTAATGTGAATATTGCTTCATTTATTAAACTATATCGTGAAGAACAATTTTAAGCATATTTAAGTTTAAGTGCAATATCTGTAAGGTTTGAATCTGTGTTCATTTTTAGAGAATAACCTGGTTGTGAGAAATAATCTTCATCTTTATATTATTTTCTTGTCTCCTTTTTCTTCACAGAACCACTTTTATCATCCATGGAAGACTCCTTTAGCCAGAGTAGGACACTTCCTAGCCCTGTCCCAGACCAGTCTCACGTCATGTATGACAACACGCCTAGAGGGGTAGATATCAAGTATACAGGTCTCTCTGGCTCACTACCCACTACTTCCTTTGAAGAAGACGAGTTCATTGAGATCGGCAAGAGATCACAAGCTGCTCTTAATTCATAGGCGTTTCTGTAGGGCAATCTCTAGAAACTCATTCCTGTACTTGTAGGTCTCTGAACTTACGATGAAGCAAGTTGTGAACTAGAAGTATGTAGCTGTTAGCATGTAGTTCAGCTTTCTACTAACCTTATAGCATTTGTCCACTCCCAAGGAATTTCTCAAGCCAAGGGATTTTATGCTGCTTAAAGGTAACTGGAGAGAAGAAACATATAGGTGATCAGAATCCCAAATAAGTCAGGAATTAATCCTCCTAATCAAGATGAACTATTTCATGATTATTCCAGATCTAAATCTACTTTAATCAAATATGGAAAAGGTTAATATCTGGTTTTTCCTTTAGTTTAACTGGCTCAGTATGAATGTAATACATTCTTTTACCAACAGTACACAGAAGTTATTTATATCAATGAGGAAAATATGCTTAATGGTTGCATCAATCATTGTGAAAGCATATTGTTAACATTTTAAGAATATATAACTAATGGAATACAGCAGAATGCACTAGATTCATCATTAAATGAAATAGATGTGCCTTGTTTGTTTGATAAAAGCAACATTAAGAACTTGAACAAACCAGATTTACACGTGCAGTATTTTTAATGAAGTGTGTGTATGCAGTTGGCATTCATTTGTATTTACATTCAAGATTCCAGGTAGACTTGAAACCCTCCAGTGTAAAATCATTGCATAGACTTCACATCAAGTTAAACTGTATAGTAGGTTTCATTCTCACACTTGTCATTTGCAATAGATGTGTACTTAATCCACATTTATATAACCTCCAAATGCTGATTATGCCAGAGAGACTTTTATAAAAAGCGTGTATATATACAAGTAAGCTCTTTAAGTAGGACTCTGATATACATGTGTTTAGGTTGCAATTTTACTAACTAAAAACTGACAGATGATATTGTTCATGAGAAGAAGTTAAAATGTGCAGAGAATCACTTGACCTTGAGATAAGTTAACAGCAGTGTACTTAAAACTAACTGCCTTTGTAAGCAGAATAGGCACTTTGATAATTAGTAAATAAGTACATTTTAGCTACTTACATGTATGAAAGTGGGTATGCAGTTTGCACAATAAAGTGATTGATGGGAAGGAGTGAATGAAACTACAGAACATGTATGAAGACCTTGCTCATGTAGATTTACTTTGCTTCTCCATGTGACATGGCAATATTTCCTTCTTTAGTGTATACCCAGTTTCTCAAAGCTTAAGCATTTTGAAAGAAAATGGACAAAAAAAATGGTTGGGTAGTAAATTTAAGCAAGACTCTCCATAGTGTCATACTTTGGAACAACTGGAAGGTTGTAAATATTTCTCTCCTGGGAGTTGGACATAGGTCTCTTGCTAAGACCTCCAATGCCTTACCACTCTTCTTGCAGACAGTAGTATGCCTTGAAGGATATAAAATGGTATTTTTCATTTATAGTGAATAGTGAACCCTTTTCTGATATTTTAAAGAAAATAATGCAACTCATCTCTTTAGAACTTCATAGAATATGCTTCCACTGAAATGGGGGAAAATGAGATTAACTGTGTATTTATTGTAGTTTATTGTTTGCTCGTTGGCTGCCTTCTAATACAGGATTTATGACTCTTTTGCTTCTCTTTCTTCCAATAGCCACTTGTTTCTTTCAATATGTATAAGTTATTGCAATCTTTATTTTTGTTTTGCCTGATAACTTGCCAACAAATCGAACTAAATGTGAGATTTTTGTCTATATGTCTGCTTGTTGCTTTTGTATAAGTGTTGTCCTTTGTTTTCAAGTGAAGTAAAGAATGCAAACAAGTGTGTTTACCATGCAATGCCATATCTTGTGTTTTCTTAGGTTTTACATGTACCCTAGTCACCCGACCGGCCCGCCAAACCAACTCTAAACCCACCAATTTGTGGTCATCAGGTTGGGCTTATGCTTGATCTGGTGTCGGTCTCATTGGTATGACTAGGATAATATGGAGTAGATGAAAGCTCTTGTCAAATATCTGATTTATTTATCTGCCTACCAAAGCAAAGATGAAAAATGTTAGATGGTGATGTATAATATATATATACGTTTAGACAAGGTTATAATATAGTAGTTAGTACACTATTTTATTAACGTAATCATTTTGTATATGATGTACCATGTATGTAAATCAACTCTTGGAATGAATTCCTTTTTCATGATTGTGAATATTTATCATTACTCTGTATATAATCATGCTCTATTGTAATTATGTAAACAAGTGTAAATTGTAACATAAATAAGTTGCTGGCAAAGCAAACTGAAAATTACCAATGAAGAAAAGAAAGAACCCCCCCCCCCCCCTGGGGAATGAATTAGCTTTTAGTTGGTGTCATATAGCAGTATATGCTAGAAAAGTATCTGCAGTTGGATAATATTTTGGGTTAATGCTTGATAAGATGTAATTGTCTTCCTTTTCTAAATCGATTATGCTGACTTTTCAACTTATTTTGAATGATATTGAGGATTCCAGACCACAAAGACTTCACTTCCACAGAAGTTTTTGTTACAGTGACCATGTTTATATTGGACTCTGAAATATAAATCATCTTGCGCTTTTAAATAGATAAAAGATTTACAACCAAATAGGTGAAAGACATTCAAGTAGCCATAGAAGATTTATCAGTTAGTCAGTCAAAGTTTTAAATTTGATAGCATTAAGATGCTTTAAAAAAGAGCAAATAAACATTGACATACGGTAGCTTTAGCCAATTGACCTTGAATTGTCTCATGTTTACAACTTGATGTAGATTTATTCTTTGACCTTTTTTTGGGGGGTGGGGGTTACAAATCATCATTACTGTAAGATACATGAATGTGTCTTTTCCTTTTTGCATTTTTTTTATTCCTATTTTTTGAAAAAAAATTATATTTTCCTTAATATTTGTGATAACAATTGATTCTGAAATATTGTAAACAAGTTTAAACCAATTCTATTACTTTTTGATACTAATGTTCTCTTCCATGATTTCTACCTTCATCTGTATATTTTTTATTTTATTATTGAATTCTTTAGAGATACATACTAATAATCCATTGTTTTGCCAAATATTCTGTTTTCTGTATGTAGTGTGAAATGCTTTTCAGTTCCTGGAGATATTTCTGTTACTTTAAATGTGATTTTATCATTATTATGTTCGGTAATTAATTTCATTCATCAAATCGATCCCTAAAATTACCAAGAGTTGGTACCTAGTACCATAATGTCTTCAACTTTATCTCTTTCAATTTGTTAAAAATGACGGAAAAATAGTGATTATATGGAAGGAAGTCATTTTTATATTATGTTGAAATAAATTGCTTGGATTATCCAACATTATTGGAAAGCATTGTACTTCAATGAATTGACTGTTTTGATATCAAATGAATGCAATTGAAGTGGCTTTATTGCAATGCAAGAAACACTTCTCATGGCACAAGTCCTTTTATTGAATTTTAAAAAATTGAATTGAATTGAAATGAATTTATTTCCACAAAACATGAAAAAAGTGAACAAAATGATAAATTACAGTCAAATGAAGTGGAGGGATAGTTATCAATCAGTTATCATGGGATTGTTTGTAAATATTTCCAAGAAGAAAACAGATTAAAATAAGATAATGTTTTAATATATTGATAAGGAAATGCATGGATCCATGCATTTTTTAAGTGTTCTGTCGAGAAAAGTAATAGTCCAGTACGGTGCAATTTTAACTTGCCTGTAAATCTGATATTTTAAGTCTGTAAATTTCATTACGATGTTAATGTGGTAATTGTAAATAAAATATTTGTATTCATATTGCATTGACTTTGTGTTGAATTATTCAGTCTGTAATTGGCTCTAATTTGTTCAATACCGTTAGCCCTTCCCCATCCTCACATTTCTATTCTTTTTCTTCATTTCTCCCCATCTCCCTATCCCTCCCCTCCCTGTCTCTTTCCTCCGTTTTGAATTCATCACCTTTTTATCTTTCCCACTCTGTTTATCATCCGTCACTTTTCCCTTTCTTTCTCACCCACTTTCTTCCTCTTTTTACCTTCCATTCTTTTCAGTCTTCACTTTACTCTGTTGTCTTTGATCCTCTTTATATCTTTCTCTCCCTGTCACTTTACTTTTGCCATCTCGTCTCTCTCTCACTCTCTCCTATCTTTACTTCATTTCTCCTGCATTACCCCCATGTATTGGCTATTTTCTGAACATGAAGTTCACTGTAGGTTTTAAAAGTTCACCATATCAAACTAAATATTTTCAAATAAATGCATGTATTTTTGAAATACTAAATGTTTGTGCTTGTATCAAACATGATCATATCCCAATGGTCAAGAAATAAAATTGAATTAAATTGTCCTTCCAATGGATTTATATATTGTTATACCTTTTAATTGAATATCTAGTATGTTTTGATGTGTTTTCAAACCATAATCACAAAATGATATAGTAAAAAGCTCTTTATATTTGATTTCCCTCAGCCGTGGCAACAACCAGCTGGTATACAGAACTGTACAAGATGTATCAACAACGATGAAATAAGAAAATTGCCCTGCCCGTAAAGAAACTATTGAATAGATAGGTATTAATAAATGAAATAAGACAGACAAAACAAACTAAATAAATAATAATAAAACAGAGATATAGTTGATATATACACAAGTCATTTTATTACAACATTCAAAGTCTTCTGTACAGTCCTGTGATGATTTGATTGTATTTTATACAAAGTCAATCTGGAAAAAAGAAGATAATAGTAACTTGTATGCAAAAAGCAATACAATTATTTCAATCTTATTACATTCAATAGCTTTTACAACAATGAATTTAAGCACCTTGGCACACAAAAAAAGTTTCTTGAATTTGAATGATGGTAACATTTTATAACTTAGTCATGAATAGAACAAGAACGTATCACTCATCTGACATATGCTCCGGCTACATTTACTACATGCTTTATTTTGTCAATATTATGAAGTATAAATGTATGATAACTTTAGATTAGGTATAGCAGTGCTCCACGGAGGAGGCTATTATTTGGTTTCTCAAGAATAAATTGACCTGGAGAAAATATTGCAAGAACATGTGTCTTTTAACAAAAAATATTCTGCTATGGTTGTTCATTTTTAAAGAGTCAATAATGACAGAACAATAGAGCTGTTCATCACAAAATCCAGTCAACAAATAAAGATGATCACCAAACTTTGGCTTAGAAATTAATCATTACATTATCATTCTTACCGCAACCTACATGACACACATTAAGGTTTGTTTAGATATGCAGCAGTAAACCACTATGAGAAAGAAATAATGTAATGGATGGCAAATGTGCGCAACAAAGGTCCTACGTGAATTCGCTGAGCTATGTGTTATAAGATACAAAAGTGTGAAGTTTATTACACTTGCGCCATCATGACAAAAACGAGCCACCGTGGTCTATCATCTTATATCTGAACGAAGCCTTATTCTGAAATTGTCTGCTTGGAGCTACAAGGAGTATAACTATGTGTTCAAGTAGGAGTTAATGCCCTTGTGACTCCAAACAGACAAAATGTAAGTAAGGCAATCAATGACAAAACTTCCTTGAATATCTTCCTATGGCAAAGTAACATCTGTATGCTGTATTAAACTCTTTACCATCCAGACTTTAAAGCAAGCATGCTATCTTTCACCATAGGAAGCATCATTGCTTTTAAATCACAAAAATATCTAGGGCACAGACATAATTCATTGGTTATGTAACAGGTTGTGGTACTCGATTCGTTTAGTAATGAAATAATCTTAGTATTTACTTTCCAATCTGTGATCTGTGATACATCGCTGATGCATTAAGCGCTATAATATTATTATTATTATACATTCTTTTGATGGCTGATGTTGCAATTCATTCCTGTATGCCATATTACAAGCACAGTATAGATGCTAAACCAAGCCTAGGATATATATTTATGGGATCGCAATGCTGCTTCTATCAATACACAATTTTGGCACGCTAAATGAAGTCAGAATGACAGATTTCACTGGGAGATCTTTACAAATAAACCAACTACATATCAGAAGCTTCCACTGAATAGTGACTCTTGTTAAATTGAGAGAAGTATGGATTCTGCCATTCAAATAATTGCCTTGAAATAAATGGCACATTCCTTACTCATACACAGTGTGGTATTCACTCAACATCATTAAATCATCATAAAATGTTTGCAATATTACCATCATATGATTTTTTTTAAAATCTTTCTGATATGAAGATTTGGGTAGAAAATTAGAGGTTATTTGCAATTTTGTATGAATACATTATTCCATACTTCAAATTCAAATCAATCTTTCAAAGATGCTTCACATTGACCTAACTTTCAAGATGACCCAGAACAAGTGAAGAATGCATAAAGAATCTCTGATTTAACTTTCACAAACTTGATGTCAAGAGTTCAATGTAGTAAAGGTCATCTCAATCTGCCTTCCTTTCCTTATTTTTTTTTTTTATAGATCTCTGATTTAACTTCTACAAACTTGATGTCAAGAGTTCAATGTATTAAAGGTCATCTAATGTACAGCCTTACTTTCCTTCTTTTTATCAAGCAGATACTTACTACCTTCTTGTAACATTTCAGTGACTATAAATACCAAATATGTGCATGGTTTTTGCCAGTTGATAACACAATTGGTACTCATTTTTGTATGTCAATACGTACATACTTTTAATATGCCAACAAGATTTGTTTTTCCATATCATTACTCTGGAATGGCTGCACAACCAGTTCACTCAAGTTTGACCAAATGTAAACAAAGATCTGCAAGGAACCTTGGGTGTACATATGAATACATTCTACATCACAGGGACATACACTTTGAACCAACACATGATGATTTACAAGACCTTGATGAAATAAAAAGCTGCTTAAATAGAACGATAAGAATGCTGCAAGAATGCCTTCATATAAACAAGCAAACCACGAAATGAGATGATCTCAATTTCACAGGCCAATGTCTGTTACCTATAGTCCCGGGTCTGTAATATTGGCCTCTCTAAACAGGTGGTGGCCTTTCTGTGCAGGTATTAGCCATTGCAGCAGGGTTTGACCATCAATCTGAATCTGTGTCCATGCAGTCATCACTAAATGCATGGTCTTTGTCCTTTGGCCTAATGTCATAAAATGAGAACAAAGCAGAAGCATAAACATGATGTATAAACAATGAAGTGATTACGAAATGTTCAGAATTACAGGTATATATATGGACTATATGGACAGAGTTTTCTTTTAACATTCATCAAACAAAGTAGTCTTCAATTTAACAAGTTTCATCCACTTAAGATGATTTTTGTTGGTATAACACTGTTCTTCCATTAACCCTGATGAAAACATGACATTTGTTATGGGCTATATTTCATCAAAGATCTCCATTCAGGATCAGGATTGCAGGTGGAGTTTTAGGTTAGATTTAGGGTTAGTTACACTGTTTGGTCCATGGTTGACATTCAGAATTTGGTTAGTGTAGAAAATCAAGCAAATTTTTGTCTGCGTTGTAAAACCCAAGAGTAAGTTCTATTGGGCTTGGTATTCAAAAGCTTAAAAGCATTAAGAGTGTTCTTAGTGTTCTCACCTTTCTTGTTCTTGTTCACCATCAGAGATGTCCATGTCATCACCATGAGGTGGGATTGGCCGGTGTGGTACCACAGGGTAGGTAGGAGCACCTAGGACAGGTATTCTCTGACCATCCTGAGGCACTGAAACAGGTGCCTTCTCCAAGGTGGAAGACTTTGAATTGGATTGCTGGCGTAGAGCTTTGCCATACTCCGGAGGAACGTCATCATCATCGACCTCGTCATCGTCTTCAACGGCACTTTGATGCCTGTTTGCTTGTCCATATTCTGGAGGAACATCATCATCGTCGTCGTCACCAGAGTCTGCTTTATTTCTCAAAGCTTTGCCATATTCTGGAGGGATGCTGTCTGTCCCTCTCCTATTTGCACTGCCATATTCTACAGGTACCGATCTGGAGGGTTGTGCCTTATGCTTGGAAGATGCTGTTCGTGAGCCTTCCCATCTTTGTCGATGGCTCTCACCCTTTTTGCTTGAGGAGTCTGTGCTGGGCCTAGGAGGGGTACTAGGCCCACTCCTCTTCTTTGCGTCCTTGTTCGCTCTGCTCTGGTCGATGGTTTCAAATCCTTGCCGTGACTGGAGCAATGACCGCGCCCGCTCCCACCAATCTTCTCCTAACCTTGACTCTTCTTCTGGATCTTCCTCTGTTTCTTCTGGCTGCTTCTCCTCTTTTTCAACAGCCGGTTCTTCCGGAGTTCCAAGCTCCATGTCATCGCTATCCTGATCAGGAGTCGCTAAAGCCATATCATCGTCTCCCATTTCACCTTCCTCCTTCTCTTCAACCTCACCCTCCTCCAATTCCACTTCATCTGATTTCTCCCCATCTAACTTCACTAATCCCTCCTCTGCAGCGCGCTTCAGCAAATCTCTTGCCAAGCTAGATCCTGAAAAAATATCACGTCCAAAAGCATTTTCCGGAGATTCACTCCTCTTTCTTTCCTTCTCTTCTTTCTCCTCTTTCTCTTCCTGCTTATCATCTATATCTTCTACAACTTCTACAGGTGGTTCCTCAGTTACAGCTGCTTCCTTGTCAGTTTCTTTTTGCTCTGAAACATCTTCTCCTTGAGTAGGTGATGCTTCAGGTGGTACAATGTCAACATATTCATCCTTTCCATCAGTTTCAGTGGAGTTCACAGATTCATTCTGAACCAATTCTTTGTCTACATCATCTGTTTGTAAGGTATGTTCTTCTGATTTGCTTTTTGTAAGTTCACTAGTGTCCATGTCACCGTTTTCCTGGGTTTGCTTTGTTTCTTTGTCATTCACTTCATCTTTTTCTCCTGTCTTCACATCAGCCACTGCTTCATTTAGTCTGTTCTCTTTGTCATCTGTCAGAAAGAAATGAATACAGAGAACGATAGATATATAAAATGCTACTGATCAAGTAAAAACGTATAACGTCAGCTTTCCAATTTTCTACTATCTTAAAGCTTCAAGAGAAACATCAAAGGAGGAATATAAACTGCCAAGTTTAAGGTGCTCTCATGTTTTTAACTTCCTATTCTTTCAAAGTAATGGTTATGACACATATGTCATGTATGTTTTATCCATTGCAATCTTTCTTACTTTTTGTAACATGTTAACTTATTAGTAAACAAAATAGATCTTCGACTGCCCGCAGTCGGAAATGGTGCAATTTTTAAAATTCAAGTTTGATTGTAATCCATTAACAGGTTCTCAGAATATCGGGATTACAAGCCACTTTCATATACATGTTTGACCCTTTGACCTTTGACCTCATGACCCCAAAATCCAACTAGTTCATTGGCTCATCAAGATACCTCCATGTCTTGAGTTTGATGGTAATCTGTCCATCAGTTTTAATAATAATGCGATCACAAGCTATTTTTGCATACATAATGAGCCCCATGGCTTTGACCTCATGACCCCAAAATCTAATCAGTTCATTGGCTCTGCAGAATACATAAATGTCCCGAGTTTGATGGTAATCCGTCCATTGGTTCTAATGATAATGTGATCACAAGCTACTTTGTTGTGGAGGCATAAAAACTGCCCGGTTGAATGGTACATATCATATAGAGAAGTATTTCAGTTATGAGAGGCTAGCTATCACTGACATACCTGATTTGGGTGTTTCGGCAACTTTCTTTGCTTCATTCTCCATCTCTCTCTTGAGAAGGGCTGCACTCTCAGAATCTTGCATCAGAAACACAAGCTTCAGTTTGTTATAGAGATACTCCGCCTTCTTGCGTACCGCATCACTGGACTTGAACTTACGCACCTACAAAACCAAACATGATTTGAAGGTCACTGTGATGTGTTGACTTATTTTATACAACCACCTTTTGCACAGCCTTTCAATTGACATCAATAATGCAAAAAAATTGCCAAGCTTGACAAAAATATAGCAAATTCATAGGGTGGCATCCATTATGAGACTATGTCACCAAAGATAATGCTGATTACTCCTCAATAAAAACTATTCTGATATACCCTCTTCCCTGTAAAGTAACAGAAAAACATATCCATTACCTTCTTTATTGTCTGCACAAAGTCAACATGTTTCTTGAGAAGACTAGGGGTTAGGCGATCCATTATCTGGTCAATGTTTGCCATAATCTGCAAGCTACGAGCTGGCTCCTAAAATGAAAATTAATATCAGAAGGAGAAGTGATAAGCAATTACACGTTGTGAAAAAATCAACGATGGATTTAAGCACATATTCAAACCAAAGCCATAAATATACAGAATTTTGCCAATGTGGTTCTAGTTGGACACAGTATGGCAAATACAAAACAAGAGAATTCATGCCATATTGAGTCCAACTGAAACCAACTCTCTTTGAAAATAAACATCACTGAGGAGAGAACTCACGTTTGTATTTTCAAAAAACCTCTGTTTACACTTTCAAACAATATTTCAAACTTTACATATACAGCATAGTATTGTATTATCAATATGACTTCAAAGTTCAAATAAAGAGTAATAATACTTACTGGATTATCAAGGGCAAGTGATTGCTTGAGGTTCACATGGAAATTTTCAATCTTTTCTTCAGTTTCTGAAATAGAAAAATACATTTACTTTATATAAATCTTAAAGCCCTAAAAATTTGATGGCAAAATTTTACTTAAAATTGTGTCATTTTGTGAAAGAGGATGTCATTTAAGACACATCTCAGCAAGGATTTTCAAAACAAATGTGTTTGAAGTCGAATATTGATGAAAGAATACAAAATTTAGGTTTTCTGCGTACAACAGAAAACCCAAATTATGTATTCTTTTATCAATATATATCTTCAAACAATTTTTTTTTTTTGGGGGGGGGGGGGGGGGGGGTGGGGGGAAATCTTTGCAGAAGTGTGTCTTAAATGACATCCTCTTTCAAATTATGATACAATTTAAGTGAAATTTTGCCATCTAATTTTTGGCGAATTTGGGGCTCCCAACACTTTAGGAGGGGCTATAACATAAGCATTATTTTAGAGAAAGCCAGAGGAACCATTCGTTCATGTATGTATTTTTATTATAGGGCACATCAATGTTAACAAACTGGTATCAATTGATTGATTGGTATTAATTTCAAATCAGTATGAATACAAACTTTACACCATTAATGGTAGAAATACCATTTTGAATCAATTTGCTTACAAGTATCCCCTCACTCCAGGGAGGGAGGGACAGAAAGAGAGAGAGAGAGAGAGAGAGCGAGAGAGAGAGAGCGAGAGAGAGAGAATAAAGAACATACCCAATCCCACTCAATCATGCCCTCATATATGGTATCTATCACAAAACCTTTTAAATAATTACTTATAATACATATTTCATATAGACTACAGTTTATATTCTTACTTGTTTTCTAAATTACTCTATGCAAAAGAAAAGAAAAAAGTACAATAGTTTAAGAAAATGCAAATATGTAAAGTATAATCAACACATCCCCTACCACAATAACTATTATCACCAGATGTGAAAATAACTTACCTTTGTACTTGTCTTTTAAAAATCTGTAAAAGGAAAATAAGGAAAGAAAAAAAATACAAACATATTTGAATTCTTCACATCATTATATTCAGCTTAAAGATACTATCGTATTTTCAAGACAACACTTTCAATAATTTAGAATTCCTTTTATGCACAATTTACATACAAGCTTCTCTAAACTAAATACCATTATCACTTTTATGTTCTTGTAACTCATACTTAGAAGGACAAAAAAGACAATAATACCACTACAATCAGAGGTGATCAAGTACAAAGGAACTTTTGAGTCATCTAATGGCTGACATTCACACAATTAACTCGTCATTTTCATATGAATACAATAGACAATACAGCAACCTGATCTTTAACATTTTGTTCCTATTTTCACGAAGTGACGGTAGTGAGGAAAATCCGCACGCAAATTGTATGCGATTTTCATTCACTACCGTCACTTTGTGAAAATAGGGACGATTTATAAGATTCTTCTCAAAACTAATATTGAAACACTAAAATCAGAAATAGGTGGCAAGTGGATAATACACATCCACTACACTGAAATCAAATAAATCCTAGAATTGAATTATTGAGGATCTGTTAGAAAATTATCGAACTTTTTAAATACAATGTTTTTCTCACCCTTCTTTTACTTTCTTCTGTTCACTTTCTTTTGCTTTGAAGGCAGCTATTTCTTTTTTCCTCTTCTGCAACAATAAATACATAAATAATTTAATTAAATAATGCATATAATAATAACATAATATATTTCAATTATTACATTCCATTCTCAAAGCTTCATTATTTTAAAGAGTAAACAAATTTGACAAATTTGACAAAAACAAAAGCTATGACATTTGCAAAACTCTTACACGACACACATGGTCAAAAGGAAAAGATAATAAGAGCAAATTCCCCCCCAAAAAACTTGCAATATATCTTGCTTACAATTTAAAGCAAATTATATGTGGGAAAAAATCTTTAATTTGGGATTAAAAGAAAAGTAAGATTCACGATATCTAAATGATGGATGCAAAATAGATTTTCACCCACCTCTTCTTGTTTTCTCTTCATTTCCTCTTGTTTCCTCTTGCCTTCAGCTTTCCTTTTCTCCTCTTCTTTTCTTTTAGCCTCTTCTCGTTTCTTCTTCATCTCCAGTTCTTTCCTCTTTTCATCTTGCTTCTTCTTTAACTTTTCTCCCTTTTTCTTCTCCTTTTCCTCCTCTTTCCTCTTTTCTCTTTCCAACCGCTTCCGCTCTTTCTCTTTTTCCTTCTCTTCTTTTCGCTTCATTTTGTCAGCTTTTGAACCTTCATCCTTGTCATCATCTCCTTCATGTTGTTGATCTTTCTTTTCCTCTTCCTCTTCCTCATCATCAGACTCCACCACATCCTTTGACTTTCCTCCGCTCTTCTCTTTTCTCTGCGGGGTTGCTTCTTCTTTGATTTCATCATCACTTGACTCTGGCTCTTTTTTCACGTCCTCTTCTTCTTTCATTTCTTCTCTCTCGGCCTTCATCTTTTCTTCACTTTCAGAGGACTTCCTCTTCTTTTTCTCCTCTTTCTTTTTGGCTTTCTCCAGTTTTTCTTTCTTTTCATCTATACGTTCTCTTTCTCTCATCTGCTTCATCTGCTCTTGTTCTTGTTTTTTCTTCATTTCTTCAATCTTCCTCTTCTTTTCTTCATCTTTTTTCTTCCACGATGAATGGAAGTCAGGTTCGCTGTCACTACTGTGAACCAAGAACAAAAGAACACATAACAACAGGTGTCCCATGGGGTAGAGATAACCTTCTAAACCTCACAATAACCCACATATTTAAGCAATGATTCCATAATGCATGACCACACAATTTTGCACATCCAAGAAATAAGCCTCCAAACATGAAATTAGTGTTGAACCTTGCTTTAATGTAATACTACAAAACAAAGGAAACTATAAGAAATAAACCTCATCAAGTGTTTTTATGTGTGCAATACTCTCTGGAAAAAACAACATATCAAAGCAAAATAAAACAAAAATCAACAAACAACTGTTTGATTGATAACTGTTTGATTGATTGATCGAGAGAAAGTTTCAAGCAAATAATTTTCACAGCTAAATCAATTAAATCCCTCAGATCTGTCTAAAACAATGTCTCCATTTGATGGAACAATCTTGGATACCATTTGTGACTGTCTTATATATATGTACCTACCTTGATAATGTGTCACTCGGTGAATCTAAGGCTGGCTTAGCAGCTGACTTCTTTTTGGCACTTGATTTGGGAGTTGCTCTAGGTTTCTTTTCTGCAAGTATAAAAAGATATACATAATGACTGCAATTTACTATTGTTTTTAATGATTGACTCATGTTTTTACAATGCATTTACAATAGAAATCGATGTTTATGATAAAATTCTGCAACTTTTTTTTCATTAAAAAAAACACAGCATTTTTTCCCTCCCTTACTTTTTCAAAACTAAGTATGAAGTAGGGCCAGAACACCCAGAATATATCTAACAAAATAATATTTCATAAATAACTTATTTAAAAGATGTCAAACTGTCTTATACTAGCATAGTCCACACACTTCAAAGTCACACATGTTTATGCAATATCTGATGAACAACGATTAGATACTGTTTTTGTACAAACAAAAAAAAAAAAATTCTGAAAAGCATATAGTGTACTACAAAGTAAGACTACAATTAATGCAAAGTTAAACCTTTTAGTCTCACCTTTTGGAGTTTGTTTCTTGGCTGGTGTTTTCTTTCTGCTCTTCTTAGCCTCCTCAAAGTCATCACCTTCTTCCTCTTCATCAGAGTCTTTGGCTGATTTGGCTTCATCTTTATCATCATCATCATCGTCGTCGGAGTCCTCTTGAGAATTTGAACTTTTGCGGCCTTTACCTTCTGACCGTCTGTCTTTTTTTTTCTTAGGTGCGAATTCCTATTGCAACAACAGCAAAAGAAATGGCAATTCTCATGATTTTACAATTAATCTGTCTAGTTTCATATTAATTCTATTTTTCTGAGTTAAACAAGGAAACAACAGACCATTTCTCATTTAACATGTTCTGTGAATGCAGTGAAGTTGCGGAAGAGCAAAGACGATATCAGTCTTTAACCATTGGGCAATCATGGGTATTTGTATTTCCAAAAGTTAAGGCAATATGATTGAGTGTAAATTGAAGTTAAAAGGTACAACAAAATATGGGGCATGTGCACATACACTTGAATTCAGCTTTCAACCATGACAGTCTCAACATATTTACCTTTATATGGCTAAGAAAAAAACGTAGGGCCATGTGAAAACATTCCTGGACAATGATGATGAAAATTATAATGAATTGTAATGAGGCAGAACCATAATGAGAGGATCCAGTGCTATTATATACCCCTAGTACCTCTACCTCTATGAATCTTACGTCAGTCACGACAAGTATGATCACAATTTCAGATGCAAATGGCCACCAAATAAACATAAAAGTTGCCTTGAGCATTCAAGGTACACTTTAATGTTTCACATTTTGCTCAGCTGTCTTACAAAGTAATCAATCATCTTTATCACTGTAGTATCAGTTTTCCATGGAAATTAACCTACCTCTCCGCTACTTTCATTTTCTGATGGAGTATCATCATAATCAGTGTCTCCTCTTTCTTCATCTGCTATGGGTTCAGCTTTCACACTACTTGTTGATTTGCGAGACTTCTTGGGCTTGGCCTGTCAAGAATTGAAGAAAAAAAATTGATTCATTATTGATGCTGTTTATTAATAATGATACTTTTCATGTCATTACATCATAAAACATACCCAGATTTCCAAGTACAATGGGCTCTCATTCATATCACAACCATGCCTGCTGTGAGTAAACAAACACATGTAACTTACAAAGAAAGTGTAGGAACACATATTGTAATGGCTGTGTTCTATAGTACTATGTTCCACTATCATTGCCTATTTCTTTATATATCAAATGCTCAATGAATGGAAATTGATTGCTGTTTAACGTCTAGAAAAGAACTATTTTCCTTTCCTTTAGCTGTATAGCTGGAGCATATTACCCTCTACAAAAACACAAATGAGAAGGGATACTCATGGCAGAGACTACGGAATCAGTTGTACTTTAGCCTCTTGAAAGACATGCTAAAATCCACTACAAGCATCGTAATTCATAGCAGAAAACTTGTGTATACAATATGTATGACTGATTATAAGATACTAGCTTAAATCATCACCTACCTTGCTAGTCTCCCCACTGGCCTTTCGTTTTCTTGGTTGAGCCTTTTTCTTTTCCTACAGAAATATAAAACATAACAAAATAATAAATAAGTATGCATCAAGAATACCACAATGCTGTTTCGTTTTGTCTTACCATTAAAAAAAAAAAAAAAAAAAAATTAAGATTGAATAGACAATTTAAAAGATTGTGCCATTGGAATACTATTCATACTTCATCATTTGGCCAAGTTACCATAAACAAACACATCAACACATGAATACAATCTGATTTACAAAATACCCTCATTTAATGCATTCATTCACATTCAATGTCATATTACAGCAGCTTGCTCCGGACTACAAACAGTATAGGCACTACCATTAAAAACATAGCGGTACCTATCATATTTAAAGGAATATGGAGCCCTACATACTAATACTACTAACTCCTGTTTGCAGAAATGTAGGTCTTTGTATGTCTCACCTTGGGCTTTGGCTTTGGTTTCTTGCTCCCTTCATCTATGACCAAGCCTGCATCAGAATCCTCCTCCTGCTCCTCCTCCTGCTCAACCTCTTCCTCCTGCTCATCCTCTGGCTCCATCTCTTCTTCAGTCTTGACTGCTCCCTCTGCTGCTTCTTCATCGGTAGAGGATCCAGGGTGCTGGGTATTACAACAAACAATTACTCATTAATATTTACAATATCTCTGCCTATGTTTTAATACAGAGGAAATTTTCAAAGAGAAACTAAAAACCAAACTCTTCCCATCATAATTAAGTCATGCAGGGCGCGACAAACCCGCTTGCCCGACGTCCCGGGGCAACCAAATTGAGCCGTCGGGCAAGTAAATCAAATTATCACTTGCCCGATTCGGGCAAGTGATACTTTTACAGTAATTTCCTAGTGTCCAAGAACTCTACCATTCACCCGTCAACTTCTTACCCGTCGTCAAAATCCAGAAGCAAAAAAGCGATCGTTCCGATTTCGAAAAAACTTCACAGACAGCTAGCCAGCTCAGCTAGCTCAGCGCGCATGCAACAGTGACACTTCAAGCCATGAATGCCGCTCCGCCTCCACGCACGGCCGGCCGTGAGCTAGCTAGAGACAGCTAGCGCGATCGTACCAGCTGCGAGCTTATTCGCGCTCTCTCTCTCTAGCTCTGCAGGCCGCACCGACAGGCCTTTGCTATTCTCTGATTGCCGATTGGTTGAATCACGCCAAATATGACGTCATTATTCTAGGGAAATGAACACGTGCGAATCGGAATGGAATAAACAACAGGGATTTTCTAGTAAGTACAAAAAGTCAAATGTTTGATATTTATTCATAATGACTGTTAATGATTGTGAACATATTATTTAAAACTCGCTGCTCATATAAATCAGATGAATGTTTTTGTCTCGTTTTCAATTTATTACTGCGGTCTCAAGATCCGACCGAGCGAGTCATTTTGATAATAGTATCGAGACCCCCAGAATATAAGCCGTTGTTGTTTTGTTTTCATGGTTTTAGCGACGTTGTTTAGTCTAGTTTTCGCATACTTATCCGAGATTTATCGTAAAATATCTTCAATATTATTATTTAGTAAGAATTTACAAATTTTGGCATGATATTTATAGCAGTGAATGATGAAATAAAAATGTCCGTACTTTATTTAAAATAGTTGATTACCCATTATTTACATGACGTTTCTTGATGGAAGAGTTGACCCAAATTATTAACAGCTGAAAATTAGCCTACGTTTCCAAATGACAGCGGCTTGCACAGACACACATGTGATGTTGCACCATGGTACATGTGGCTACCATTAATGACATGTTTGTATCATATTTTTTACAACAGGGTCATTATGCTTTTTTACATGACTGAATATTAAAAACTTAAACCTGCTTGAACCATTCTACCTTGCCGAGATTCATGTGAATCTGATTATTTATGGAGAATCAATAAAATGCGTTTTTTAAACCTTCAACCATCCTTTGTTGACCATTTTCTTTGACATATTAGGTTATTATTCAGTACAGTTACACTGTACATGTATGTGCATTAATTTGCTATCTAAAACACTAACTTATCATTACGAGATAATAAATGCTTTAACCTCGAGTCCTTTTTCGCTTTAAAGTTTTGGGCAAGTGGAAATATTGTTTGGGCAAGTAAATTGAAAACCCACTTGCCCGACAGGGCAAGTGGTGAAAAAAATTCTTGTAGCACCCTGGTCATGTTCATATTGCTACCGTGAGTCAGAGAGGTGTTAACTCTGTGTTATCATCACCACACCTGCCAACCTCTGGAGTTCAAAAACTGTATTCTTTAATCCCCAAAGTTGTATTTTACTGACAAAAGATGTATTCTTAAAAATAAACACGGACTGTTACGTGGATCAATGCCTCTTACAGTTCCTACATACAGGAAGAATTTTTTTTATGGATCATTGGTTGAATATGCATGATTTCGTCACGACTGGTGTGATACTTTACAGGACAGAATGGGCATTTTGCCATTGAAAATGGCACACACATACACACAAAACTAAAATTAAAAAAAAAAATTGTACTGTCATATTTGCTTCTAAAATTCGTACAAAATACAACTGAATCGTATTGGTTGGCAGGTCCGCAAAACCTATCTGGCTCTTAACAGGGCAGGTGATATAATGCCATTACTATTATTATGTCCTCATCTTTTAGAATATTTTTATGAATATGCCCAATCTTTGTATATGATATATGATCATTACTATGTTTAGTGCCGAGTGCTGTATGTACATGTTGTTGTTCCAAACTGATTATTTGCTTCTTTTTGTTTTATCAGCACTCTGTTCAGTATTTTGTAAAAGCACTTAATGTGGCACAAAGTTAAATATCATCACATTTCACACATGACATATTTATTGACAAATGTTTTTGGGGAGTACATACATTTTTTGGTCAGCGATGACAAATGGCATCTGTTGCCCCCCCCCCCCCCCCCCATTTTGGGCAACAGACCGCACCTTTAAATTGTAAAGTTTGATATCATATTCATTCATTATGTCATTCTGCTGAATTAACTTTTAATATGATCTGAAACTGAAGGCAAAGAAGAAATACCGACATTTTTCTAAATAAACATTTTTGAAATAAGACATGCATTCAAAACTATTTCGGAGAGAGCTTTTCTTTAAAATTTCATTTTACCAAATGAATAAATGTGGCTGCTACAGTTGCTATAGTTATGAATAGTTTAAATTGATAGATAATACTCACTACTCCATGATACTTGACATGTGCATTGTTTTCTATCTCCCATAAGCCGATGTTGAAGGCTTCGTAACGTTTGTGAGGCTTGCCAAACTTCTCTTTAAAATCCTTGTATGGATAGAGGTCCTTGACTCCCATGAAAGCACTGAAATAAGAACATGTTCAAAGTCCTTGTGATTAATTTACGAACATGGATAATCTGAAATAAAAGAATTTGTAATGGTCCAGAGTGCAATAAAGTAATAAATTATGTAAACAATAAAAAATATCTTAAATATTCTCTAATTTTCGTGTCTTCTAATGCATCTTATTGTTTCTTAGTCTATTGTAAGAACATTCCATATTGGGTTATTCCATATTGGGTTATTCAAAAGAAAATTGTCAAAAAAACATTTTGCATATTGTTACAAATACCAGTACATCTGTTAAATCTAATTAATAATTTTATACTGAAAGAATAAGAACAGCAAGATACTTCATCAATTTATGAACTTCTTTAATTAATTCAATACCTACCCCCTCCCCCCCAAAAAAAAAAAAAATATATATATTTTTTTAATCAGCTTAAAAAGAAAGAACGGAAATAGTTAGAAACACAATATCTTGTACATAACCTGTAAACACTAACAAGGAAAATGAACAGGAACAATGACATCGTAAAGTGATGTATTGTAAAAAGTGTTCTTAAAAAAAATATATTCATTTTTAAGCATTAAAAAAACACGTCCATTTATCTCCATACTCTTTATTAATAAAAAGTTTGCAAATTGAACAAGGATTTTACATGAATTCTTGTCATTGATGATGGGCATGCTAGCAAATAGACTGTGAAAATGTCTTTTTCTCAGTACAGTAGAACTCCTTTGTACCTTTCATGAGTGCCGAAGAAGAAAATTGGATACTTGTTTGGGGGTGGCTTGACCCCGCCTTCCGGGACATCATCAACCTGAAACAAAATAGACATAAAATAAAATTTAACAAATAAGACACCTAAAAATGCATATCATTAGGTTTATATTTCTAATGGACTTACAAAAGCAAAGATGATTAATGAAACTATCCTTCAGAATTTTAGAAGAAAATTAATAAAAAATATACCACCACTCCCTACAAATCTTAAATGGTGGATTCTGGTATGCTTAAATGTGATCATTAAACTTTGGCTGCTTTCGTAGACTAATGAAATAATCAGTGGCAGCCTCAGTTGACCTTTCTCAAATGTTAATACGTATTATTACACTCCAAACACTTTCACAGTTTTGGCTTTCAATCGATAGTGAATAAGGAGTTAAATAAACTTTTCACAGATCATTGAGGAAATGCTTTCAATCAATTTGATTTTCCAACTGTACTTGTTTAAAAATATAAAGATTTCAACTCTGTAATTCATAATTTTTACATTGATATCTTATTTGCCTACTTAGGAAATTTCTCCTGTTCCTTTCACTGGGAAAGAAAAGAGATTAAACAAAAATGTATCTGAAAAAAATAAACGTATCTGGGCAAAAAAGGGGGAAAAAAATGTTTTCTTACCCTTGCAGGCCAAAATGGCCACCCTTTCATCTTGGCAAACACCTTGTCTCCTGGCTCATAAAACTTGGGACGAGACATCTTGGTCTGCGTATTCTATTCTGACAAAACAATCGAGAAAGTCAAGTTTTAACATCACAGTTTTATTCTTTCATTGAAAAAAAGGGCAAATCAGTAGAGAAAAAAAACTCAGTATTTATAATGTGAGTCTCAGATTTATCAAATTCACAATCTATCCAGATAATAGCAGTTAGTTAAATGTACAAAGGCGTAAGCACAGAGTTTGCTTAATTTAGAAAACTCCCTGCGTGCATGGGCATGCCTTATTTCACTAATCATTATTATTGAATATTGTAAATATCAAATTGGCAATGCAAAAACACCTATTTTTGTGTAGACCTATGTAGCCAATTTCAAAGTGCTTTGAATTGTACAAGTAGAAAGCATAGTCAATTCCATTGATTGAACTAGGCCCTAGCCAACTCCTAGTCCTAACTTAGGACAGTTTGCAAGCTTCGGGTCACACTATCTACGCACTTTATGTTTAAATTTATGTTTAATTTTTTTTCACATCAATCTTCATCATCAGTAGGGGCGCTGGTCCAAAAATAAGTATCGTCTGCATAAACGAGGATCGTCTTCATGAACGCGGCGGACAGAAAAGAATAAGGATGATCCTCATTTCCAATCCACGAGTTATCGATAAACTAATGCACTTCACATTGACTCTGTACAGAGACTTTCACGTTACGAGCGATAAATCCTCGGGAAGACGGACAGGACAACCCATAGTAGGTCTAGATCTAAAGGTAGACAGAGATATCATTAGGGGGATATTATTATGCGGAATCTGTTATCACATTGCCAGCGCGCGGATCGGGCACCCGAAACCAACAGAGCGCCAAAGAAAAAAAAAAAATTGATCCTTAAAAACTTAGATCTAATTTTGGGTACGCAATTTCTGCATTTTCTGCGTTTTCAAGGATATCCTCGTTTATGCGGACGATCCTCATTCTCATCATAGCTCTTGCCGCTTACCATTATTAGTTAGATTCTAGGAGTTTGATCTTGTTTTTAAGTTTTTACAATATCAATTATCATGTTAAAAAAAATTAAAACAGACCTAGATCTAGACTAGACCGAATTTTCCGTCTCTTTCGTTCGTTAGCCTCTTATTGGGGTAGGGTCGGCCGGCTCTCTCTTTAGAGACGGAAACCGTCTATACACTATACACTGTGATAACGCCATTACGAACGTGTAGATGGCGCACAGTTTTTCCTTCATAATCATTTTGCCTTTGGCGTAGACTAGAAGGGATGAGATTGATTTAGATGACTCCGGCAGCGAGAGTTTAACACGGCTTGCAAGATTTTCAACATGGATGTCGATTTTGACCCATAATTTCCTTAAAAGGGACCATTAAACGGATTATTTCAGTCAAGTTGGTAAGTGGAACTGAATTATTATAGCCTAGGCCTAATTTACAATATAACATCCACGAGGTAAAATAACATTTTGGGGGATTTTGGGGGCAAAACGCTACGACCTGAAATGGCCGTGGCGTTATCAGACAAGGGAATGTGTATAGGCCTAGACGGTTTCCGTCTCTAAAGAGAGAGCCGGCCGACCCTACCCCAATAAGAGGCTAACGAACGAAAGAGACGGAAAATTCGGTCTAGATCTAGACTAGGTCTACTCAGTCACAGTCAAAGTCACACACTGATAGTGACACAGTCACACTGTCACTTTGTCAGCTCAGCTCAGGGAGTCAGGACTGGACTCAAGTCAGTCATTCAGTGTCACACTCACATTGAGTCACAGTCACACTCACAAACATGAAACTATGATCATAGGGAAAAGAACGTGAACTCAATGAATTGACATACACTGCACTCTATAACTTATAATTGAAAGAAATGTCCTTACCAAATAACAGCCTTTAGATCTCGATGTCTGCACCTGCGTTGCGTGTGAGTAAATTCAAGCCTGCACGAAGGGCGCCATTTTACAGGATGAACTGAAGCTAGTCAACAAAAAATCCGCCTGCAAAACACACAGCACACACACAGAACTGTACGTGTCTGATTTAAATGATTTATAACGATTTATGATAATTTCCTACTGGTCATATCCGTAGACGTAGCCGTAAAACGGTAAAAGTATATCATCACAAATCTAATATGTATTCCAGTAAGCGATATGCTGAATAAATCCTTTAAGGCATAAGGCATTACTTATAATTGAATGATTTATTATAGAGTTTTACATACAGCAGAAGAGAGAGAGAGAAAGAGATATGACAATCTGACCAGTCAAATATAAAATAAGCAATAAATGAAGGGGCAACAAATGAGAAAGTCAAAGATAGAAAGAAAGAAATACATTGATAATGTTTCACCAGGAAGCCCTGGTTTCACAAAAAATCATGGTTCTTGAGTGTACCAGGGCTGAGTGTACATATTTATTTCTAACCTTTACTCACTCAGTTCAATTCAATTCAATTCAAATTAGGTTTTATTCAATCTCGTCAAAAAGTCCAAAGACTAATTATGCAAGTCGATCACATCAAACACTTACAAACATATTTTTTTAAAAGCATTACAAAACATATGTTTATATAATATATACAGAAAAACATAGCAAATGGGAAAAATATATCAAAATAAATAAATGATTACATCAAGACATCAAAGCTAAAACAAAAAAGATAGAAAATATCAATATTGCTAGCATGTCAGACAGGCGCGTACATAGGGGGGAAGGGGGGGTTAACCCCCCCCCCCTTTTTGGTATTTTTCTGTGTGTAAACCCCCCCCCCCATAACCCCCTAAAACCCCCCCCCCCTTTGGATTTTTTTTTTTTAAATTTATTTTTAAAAAAAATTAAAAAAAATATTCCCATGGCTGACCTAAAAAAGCTGACCTTACCCCCCCCCCCCCCCAACGAACCGAATGTCAAATTTTCAAATTTCGAGACCAAAAAAAAAAAAAAAAAAAAGAGCACATTTTAATTTTTTGGGGGGGTTTCAAAAATTTCGCAACACCTCAGCAAGCTGCTGAATAAGCGGGGCTAAGAGGACATATTTTTATTTATTTTTTTAGTCTAAAAAATTGACCGATCAATATTTTGTTTCGTTGGGAGGGGGAAGGTCAGCTTTTTGGGTCATCCATTACCACAATTTTTTTTTTTTAAATTATTATTTTTTTAAATATAAAACAAAACAAAAGGGGGGGGGGGGTTTCCTCCAAAACACACACATAAAAAAAGTTCAAGGGGGCCGGGTTCAACCCCCACCCCCACCCCCCCCCCCTTGCGTACGCACCTGACATCCCATGAGTACTTGTATAAGGATAGTGCACACCCGGCCCCCCCCAATCAGTTTTATTTAGGGTACGCGTATGCTTGTTCCCTCTTTTTGAAAGCACCCCCTATCTGAGGACTGCCAACATTTCTGAACCCCCCTTTCGCGGGCTTTTCGGGGGCTTTTCCTGCCTTGGAGACCACCCTAAATACAGAAAAATGCTCAATGTACCCCCCTAAATTCAGAATAATTTCTCAGGAGTCCAAAGAGATGAGAGAAAAAAAAAACACCCCCTTTATAAAGAAATCTCTGGGTGAAAAGTCAAATACACCCCTTTGTTTACATTTCTCGGGCCAGACTTTGTCGCACGAAAAGTACCCCTTTACCGGACATTTTGGTAACACGCATGCGGTCATTCAGACCCCGGAGTGGGGGGGCCGGGATTGCACATGAGATAGTTAGAAGTTCTTCGGTATTATTGGTCACAGTAAGAATAGCAGAGTAATTAAAAAATGTTGTACTGTAAAACATCATCAGAAGAGAAAGAGATGGAGAGGAGGAGGGAGAGACAGAAAGCCGGAGAGAGAAACAGAGGAAGGAGAGACAACTAGGGAGAAAGAGAAAAAGGCAGAGGCAGAGAGAGAGCAGAGACAGACAGACAGACAGACAGACACAGAGCATAGAGAGAGGGGATGGGAGTCACGAAATAGAAATAGAGAGGAAAGACCAGAATTGAAGAAAAGAAAAGGAAATTTGGAAAGTAGCAATAAAGTTTAGATAGGGAAAAGGGATGACAGAGTGAGGGGAAGGATAAAAGTTCATGCCAGTAACGGTCAGAATGAAGGAAAATCACATAATTATTATTTTTTTTGTCAATCAGGCTAATCTCTTGTTAACAAAAAAATTAGCTGCTTGCAATCTTTAGTTTATTTTCATGATAGGCCCTTATAAGATTACTGCAAGCTAAGAAGAATACACGATTTTTACTTGATCATCGCTGAATGACTATTTGTCAAATTGGCAACTGGTTCTCTCTTATTATGTCGAACAAGCTCCTTGATTTAGCTTGCACTTTAATAGCGCGCGCTACCCCTACTTGATCTGCATGGCAGCATCGTACGGTACGATATTGTACAGCACCTATATCGGGAGCGCGGTTGGTTGGCTGGTCGGCTAGCGCTAGCGATGGTCGGTCAGATCAGGCATGCACAGTATAGCAGCTAGCTGGCGCGCTAGCTGGAAGCAAAACACCAATTATGAATGAGGCAATAGATCTAATCTCTGAGAAGAAAAAAGTCTTTGCTATTCTTCCTGCCGCAGGTACAGGGGAACGAACTGGCCTTAAAACACCTAAACAGTTTTGTGAAATTGCTGGATATCCACTTATCCTTCACAGTCTCTGGAATTTTCAGAGGTAAAGTCACATTTCATTAATTAACTTTTAAACATTGTTTATGTTTGCTATCAAAGTTCTAACGCTACCGGCTACAGGCATTGTCATTACCCCGAAGCTCCCCGTTGGCCGGTGGTGTTTGTACCCGGGCGTGGCCTTGTCGTTAAAATCTAAAATCAGACTGCGAACGGGAGTATGATATCAGACTCAGTCGAGGCGGTCAGTAGAGCAAGAGGTAGTCGATATCAGAGATTGAAGCTTTAAGTTTATCATCATCAGAGATTGTATTCCGAAGACTTTGGTGTTTTGATTTTCCATGTTAGCAACAATGTTAGTTGTTATGTTATAACATTACTAGGGCCAAGTGAACATTAGGACAAGCCCAGTATTTAACTGTGAAAAGCTAGCTACATTTGTGCAAAGTTAAACAGTAACTTGGTAAAGGGCAAGTCCACTCCAAAAAATTACTTACTTTCAATTAAAGCAGACCAACCAATCAAAAAAGTTTGAGCAAAATTGGATAGGTTTTTAAGAAAGTTATGAATTTTTAATGACATGAAATTTTTGAAAATCATAAGACAAATTGACAACTCATTCATGAGTCTGTGACGTCATTACCTCACTATCCAATAACTGTTTTCTTTAAGTTGACAATCTAAATTTCCAATTTCCCCCCGAAAATCTTATTTCCTCCCTAAAATCTTATTTCCTCACACCAGTTTCCAAGTTATATTGCAAGTAATATGTTTCTGTGTGGATGCACTATAAGTATAGAGTAATTTTTCAGTTAAATTAATCATGAAATGAAAATTGTAATTTTGATAAACTATTCATAGAGATCTGCTAGATATAGAAAATAGCATCAATTCTTCACAGTTCATGAAAGATTTTGTGAAATGTCATGCATGCAATATGATACAAATCATATAAACCTGGGCATAAAAGGTTGGGGGATAAAAAGGGAAATTAATGGGATGAATATATACAAAGCAATTGATAAATAGTGAAGCAATGATGTCACAAACTGATAATCAAATTGGCAATTTGTGTAGTGATTTTCTAAATTCTTAGTTTTTCATACTTTAAAAAACAATTGTAACTTCCTTATCAATTATCTGATTTTACTTTTGTTCGATTCTGTTTCTCTTGTTTTTCTGCATCTATTAAAAGCAAATTATTTTTGGAATGGACTATGCCTTTAGTGAAAGGGTCTATCCTAGTCTAATGTTTACAACTCAAAAAGAAATATTAAAATTTGTGACAAGCAAGTAATAATACATAGGTATTGAGTTTATCAATATGATAAAAAATTAAAAAACAGGTAATTTGGTTTTACCATTCTCCTCAATTAGGCCATGGATTGCTGAAACAGTGGTAGCGGTCTCTGAAGACTGGTTACCATATCTGCAGGACCTCATTAAGTTGTACCGCATACAAAATGTGCACCTTGTTGTGGGAGGGCAAACTCGTCACCAGTCTATCAAGATCTGTGTGCAGTATGTCCGAGAGAGGGTCCAGAATGCAAGATGCAATGCCAGTGATGTAATTGTCATTGTCCATGATGCTGTAAGACCGTTTGTAGCTGAGGAAACTCTACAAAGAATTGCTGAGGCTGCTCACAAACAAGGGGTTTGTTATTTTAGTATTTCCCATTGCACTTTTTTCCTTCTCTTATTATCTTTCTTTATCTCTCTCTCTCTCTCTCTCTCTCTTTCTTCTCTCTCTTTTCTCTGTCTTCCTCTCTCTTTTCTCTGTCTTCCTCTCTCTCTCTCTCTCTCTCATGCATACACTCTTCTTTCCTCACCTTCAAGTTGTGAAAGTGATAGAAAATCAGCTTAACTTGATGCAGAAACATTTCAATATTAAACAAATATCAAAATATATTGTCATCTCGGGGTGGTTTACCACCAAAAAATCAAATGTGTAAAATTGGAATTTGATATTATAGATTTTTATATAAATTCTGTTGATGTATTCACATTTCTATGGTGTCAATTTAACGAAATTTGAAGTTACCTTTTAATCCTGATTCCCCATTGATATATCAAACAAGGTGGCCTATAACTCTCAATAATGACTTGACCATCCTTTTGCTTTCCTGTTTGTTTTATTCAGGCTGCAGGGGTAGTATGTCCTTTGGTTTCAACAACGCTAGCAACCCAAGAAGATGGCATTCTGGATTATTCCTTGGTCCGATCTAAACATTGCAACAGTCACACTCCTCAGGCTTTCTCATATCAAACTATAGTCACAGCATATGACAAGGTAAAGATTTGACTGTGGCCCCGACTAGATGGACACCAGGGCATTCTTTCACAAAACCCTGATAAAGACAAGTTCGCCAACATCCCATTGAATCATTTGTACATGTGTTACAATTATCATGCATGTCAGTTTTGTGTAATGAAGCCCATGCCCACAACAAATCAAACAAAATGTAACAATACTAAAAATTGAAGTTTATTCCTTAAATTTTTCAGATACTATTGGTCCAGAGATGCCAACCCTCCCAATTTCATCGGGAGGCTCCCGATAATTCACCCCAACTCCCGACCTTACGATCACCATCCTTATCCTCCCGATTAAAAAAAAAAAATTATAAAAAATAAATTATGACTATTTTTTTTTTTGGTGCTTATCAAATATATATATCTGTGAATTGAATGAGAAATATTGTCTGTTAACTTTAGCATGTAGTAATTCCACTATGTTAAAAGAATCTGCACAGGATATCATAATGTTGTTGTTCTTGGAATATGTATTTCTTTACATATTCCTAGAAAGTTATATATGTCTGGTGGAAAAATGTTAACCATACATCCTTGTTTAGGATAATTATGATGTTTGAATAACAAATGAAGCCACCATATGCATTTTGATATTGAGGAAATATAATCAACCCATACTCGATAGATCTCCAAGCATGACCTGGATCATGGCACAGAGGTTCTTCATCTAGCGCTGGAATATGCAGGTGTGAGGGCCAAACTCTTAGAAACAAAAGATGAAGTTTGGAAGGTAAGAAGGAAAAATTAAGAGAGAAGGGGATGGGGGAGTTTAGAAAGTTACCCAAGTGATTAATAGTTTCCAGTAATATAATTCAATTGAATTTTGCATCAGTGGTGGATTCTTCCGTAAATCTAAACAGTCAGATAATCTGAGCCCCAAGAAAGTTAGGCAGATTTGTGGGTAAACATTTTTTGATTGTAATTGTTTACCTGTTCAGTAGTATTTTTTTACAGTTTCATACTTTTATTGTTTTTGAAACTGACTGAACTAATGAACTTACTTTGATTAAAAGAAGTGAGGCAACATTTTATTCAAAACATCAAAGACACAGTTATGACATTGATATATGTACAGGTTGAATTGGGTTGAATTACTCTTCATACTTCATACTAGCTTTGTCTATTAATTTCCTTTTTAAGTAATTTGTCCTGTGTTTTTCATTTTTTAATAATTTTAGGTGTGAATGTTTTTTGTCCATTTAAAGGTCACATATAGAAGGGATATCTGTGCTGCTGAACAGTTTGCAAGGGGTAAGGATGTTCTTTTTTGCTCCTTTTTTATATACATATTTTTTACATTTTCCTTGAATGACAAGAATGACATTTGATTGACATACATAGCGAATTATCATGAATGTTCAGAAACCAAATGTTTTTTCAGACTGTGCTCTCAATATATTTTCACCCATTCAAAAAATATATATGGCTGATCTCTTCATCATTGTGAATTGGAAGAACCCATTGCTATTACTTCTGGAAATAACTGTAACTTGACCAATGTTTAGTTTCATAAATTAATTCTGCTGTTACAATTTTCTTCCAGAGAGACTTGCAAGGCTGGCAATCCTTTCAGACCAGACAGGTAATGATGTTATTGGTGTACTGGAAGAGCAAGTAAAGAAAAAGAGATTGACTCTCTTATCAAAATGCTCATCTCTTACAACTCTTCCATCTGGTGTAAATGCTGTCATTGTCATTGCGGTGAGTGTCCCTGAAGTCTTCATTACCATGCTTGTTTCACTTTAGATATCTGCTTTATCTTACTACCTGGCATTTGTTTTGAAATGCCTTGAGAAGACATTTGCTCTTGAAATGTTCTTTTCCACGAGATTCTGCCTATTTTGAGAATTTAAGGAGACCTCAACGATTGCAAATTTTCAATAGGTATTATTAAATATGCTGAACTGTGTGATATAGTAATAAAAAGAAGTACATAATAATGATAATATCATTTCCTTTACAATGAACCAAAAAATTTAATGTAGTTGATAGCACACAAAAATTCTTAAGGGAAAATAGTAGAGGTGTTTTGGTCTAGTGGATAAGACTCCGGACTGTGAACCACAAAGTAAAGAATTTGAATCCCTGCTGCAGCACTAATGTCCATTTGCAAGACATTAACCTACAATCACCACTCTTGACCCAAGTGTGGTAGGATTTATGTTTTTAATACACTGAGTGCTAGAGTTGCTGGAGCTAAAGCCAGGGTGATAATATCCAATATACCTTGGAAGTGCATAGAGACATTATATCCTAATGTGATATGCACTATACAAAAAAAATGAAAAAAGGTATAATATTATTATATTTTTGTGTTGTTCTTGTTAAAGGATGCTCCTACCACTGATCAATGTTTGTTAGATGTAGCAACCGTCCTTGAGAGATTAAAACAACAACTACATCCTCTCAAAGGCTCTCTCACTCTACTGGTTACCGTGCCAACAGAAGAGAAGATGGTGAGAGATGATCTTATGACCAGATTCAGAGAGCTTAGATTAGACCAGAGATGCAGGGATATTTGTGTCTACTGTGTCATCTTAGAAACAAAGGTACTTATATTTCCGTTTGTTATTATGTACCTTGTCTTTATCACTTCTGGATGGTGCACTGGGAACTATAAATGGAAGTATAACTTTGGGTTTGATAAGAGTGGTGTGTAGAATTGTAGCTTAATCAGGAATTATGAAATGACTTGAGGTAGATTTGTTCCAGAGCTTTACTGCTTCAAGGAAGAGAGATTAAGGATGTTGAGCACTGGGAGACAAGTGCTTTATTGATTAGACAGCATATGATTGGTAAAATATTACCTGATTAATTTTGCTTCCTCAGACAAAGAAGGAATAGTTATCATTTTAGCCAGTATTGACATTTTCAGAAATGACTGTGCCTCAGTTTAAATAGTTTATAATTTCTGAAAGTATTATTTTTTCTTTGTTTTGTCTGCTTGTATCATTTCATTCATGGTCTGTTAACCATTTTTAATGGTAATGGAATCCTTTGTTCCTCTTTTATTCTTCCAATGTTCAGAGTTCGCCAGTTGAGAAAGAGAGGATGGAAAGAGCTTGTGAACTTACGGCCAACCTGGTAGTGAGACAAGATGAGCTAATGTCTGGTCAAACATTCATAGTATAACATTGCTAAAGTGATATCCTATCCATCAGAATCTTCCATCGATGCAAGTAGTTCTTGTTATATGAAATGATTTAATATGTAATATTCTGTCACCTACAATGGTACAAGTATCATCTGCACTATCAATCGTTTGGTTGAAACATTACGTTTTTAATGTTCATTGGAGATAACCATCTGGTAACGCATTATTTTTATGACAACATACATTATTATTGGGCATCTATTGCACAAAGAAGCACTTGCTGTAACAGTGGGCTTTAAAAGAGCATATTATCTTTCTCAAATCCCAGAAATTTTGCCTTTGATAAAGTGCATCTTGAAACTTTGAATGAATATCAAAAATTATATAGGATGGTTCATTTAAGCATGATATTAGACTACAATGTACATTACCCTTAATGTGATCATATCACCCTCATTTCCGACTTGGACATTAGGATTATACTTGAATGATATAGTCTCACATGCAAATTATGACTGAAGTATAATGATTATCGTTGTAGGCTCCCAGATTGTGTCACTCTTCGTTTAAATAGAAATGATAAATTGAATACCAGTATGTTGTATTGTGATGCAGATATTGAAGATGGATGACTTTATTTAATGTGCTTTAACAACAGTAATAGAGAATTCTTCTTGGCTCTATCATGCCTGTTAAGAATTTATGCAGTAAAAACTTACATTTATAGTTACTTGTCATGATTGAAGTCCTGAATACATACATGGTGCTATTTTTCTACTTGTATATACACAGCATGACTGATTAATGTTCATTAATTTTATCTTGCCAAAAATTGATTGCATAGTATGTGCTACAAATACAGGGTTTGAGATTAAGTGTACAAAAGACTTTGTAGTGCTCAAAACTTGGAGGATATGCTGTAGAGAATTATTTGTAATATGAGAAATTAGATAATTCCTGTAAAAGGAAATCATGTATGATGTTATTGATAGCATCACATGGAAATTGAAAGAGCTCATATTTCCATAGAATAGTATTGAGACTCTTCATTAGTTTCCCTTTCAACACAGTGCCCTATTCTTGGTAATGCTACATTCTCTTAACATTCAGACGATTATACATATAGTATTACTAGCAATTTGCACAAAACTTCTTTCATACAGTGCATATCAATAGGCGGAGATATACATTTTGTTGCAGTCTGATACAGTCGACAACTGAATTATTCATACCTTTACCAAATTTTTGTAATATTTAAGTATAGTTTAGTATGTGAAAAACCAATTTGTCCCGATTTATTTTTCTTAAGAATGACCTATTAAAAGTTACATCTACAAGTATTTAACAAAGGCCCTAATTCAACCAGTCAATCTTTCATTCATTGGTAACGAAAAACACAAAAATATCACATTTAAAAGGGGTTTGAATAATTTAGTTGTTAATTGTATGTTGCCAGCTTGTATTTGTATTCATATTGCATTCATATTATATATTTCTTGTGGTATGCTTCTATTTTATTCCAGGTATTTATATGTATAGCAAGTACTTGTTGTGTTCCAGGGAAATACTGTGTTTAATCAGGGTTTAATCTACCATTGAGGTATATCACCAGAAGATCTGAATTGTAGATCAGTACTATGGGTAGTATTATAAAAATGATTTTACTGGATTTAACATTTGTTTATGTTATTGATAAACATCTGTGTGGTGAATGAGCTACTGATATTGGTTCCAGCATTTACTTGTTACTGACAAGTTATGTTTGGATTAATTAACAAGTTAATATCAACAACGATCACAATAACATGAAATAAAGTTAATAAGGGAAGACTGTTGGATTGCTAAAGAAGGATCATTTAAGTTATTTGGTAATACATGTAACATCTTAAGATGTTGCTCTATAGCCACCCCCCCCCCCACAACAAAAATGTGTAATAGACTCGATATGCCAAATTATCTTTGGAATAATTTTAATTTTTACCCTTCCTTTTGTCTATTAACTTTTGGATACGTAGCTTTGAAGAATTCTTTTGGTCTGATTTAAAAAAAAAAAAATTTTTATTGTAAAACTTTCTAGGGTTCCATGCATGCAATATATCAGGAGGAAGTACTTCTTTATCCAAATGCATTCCCATTTGTGGTACTAATTTATACCTTTTGAACAAAGATGGCAACAATCTTGCTTCAGTGATCTAATGTATTTAAAAAAATCATGTACTTGTATTCATATGAATTCCTCATTTGTTTTGTATTGCTATATTTAACCATAAACTTTGTATTTATTTTGATGTAGAATAAAAACCATTGAATTACTATTACATGTAAGTCATAAATTATTCAGTCAAGTGTTATAGCCTATATCCCATCCCTCTTGTCCTATTATACAGTGCGTCCCAGAAAAAACGAAACCGAGAACTATCAATGTTTTATCATAACTTAATCACAATTACAATTAATAAATGACACATATTTGGAAAGCTTAGATCCTCATCTTTCATTTGATGCAACTCATGTGATGCATATTTCACGCATGAGTGATTAAAAGCAATTTAAAGAGATGAAAGCAAAAAGTCATTTGGCGGGCGGTATCTGAATTTTAAAGGGAAAATCACATTTCTAGAAAGTTCAATTTCTCCCCTTTCATATGACACCTCAATCAGGAAAAATGAGCTAGGAATAACAGAGTTCTGTTTGTTTAAAAAAATGCTTGCATTGCTATAATTTGATCAAACGAGTTCGTTTTTACTGGCTGCCTGCCGTTGCAACGAACAGAGTTGACAAAAAACCTGATGCATGGCTGACCTTCAATGAAACGGAGTTAATGCTACGGCATGGATATTTTTTTTTCACTTTCACTTTATCCATCTGTATTAACTTCATTTTCACCAGACAGAGACACAAACATGCCTCACTCCCCTCTATTCCATTTACTGGCTCCCACCCCATCCCTCTCTCTCTCTTCTATCTTGCTTTCTTTTTATCATGCTCTCTCTCACCTCCTCTCTCTCTCTCTCTTACTCTTTGTCTGGTGTGCTTGACACAACTCTTTGCCGTGCTCGAATGACTCACCCACAGTTAACAAGAAATTACCTTCTAAAATTAGATACAGGAAACGTAATTCATAGTGTATAAAAAACCATTTATTATTCATCACATTTAGACTATCACACAATTACAAGAAACCGTGATTGTTCTTCCCTATTTTAAAGTATTATATGCTTCACCCTATATACCAGCCATGTGTAGTATAGTACACTTTAATACATGTTGGTTAAACATTAGTACAATATATATATCATTTAGACAAAATGCTAAATATGTATCCAGGTGAACAGAAAAAGTTTGAATCTATTTTACATTTATCAAAAAGCACCCATTAAGGAAAGACACCTTTTGTTCATTTATTTTGCTCTATAAAAAAGTTTTCAAAAATTGCACTCTAACTAACCTCATATAACCAAAATATGTGTTGTTGATTGATTTGTCAAATGTCAGTAGACTCTTACGCTATCCAAAACACCCATCAGGTTCCTAATGAATTTTTAATCTTGTGACTACTCTTAATCTGTTAAATTTATACCTGTGACCTCATTTCCTTAAATGAGTTCATGCATGCTGCAAACAAGTGTTTAAATACATGTCTCCAATTGACATTGGTGGAAATGCTCCCCTCATTAATAATTGACTAGCTTATATAATCACTGCACAACAAGCATCTTGCTGCAAGGTTGACAAAATGAGGTCAAATATAGCATAATAATAGAGAATGCACAACATCTTTAAAAATGATCACAAAGAATTTTGAAAAAATCAACCAATAACAATAGGCTTCTCCATCACTTCCTGAAATTTGTGAATGTTACAATGATGAATTTTGTAATCTGAAAATGATTACTCAAGGATATACAGAAGTATTTTTCAATTTAGACAGAAAAATCTGTATGTTTGGAGGAGGTTTTTTTTTAACATAATTTTTCTTTTGACACTCCGCCAAGAAATTTGTACAACTGAATAGACTGATTTTCGGTCCAAACGAGATGTGTGTCTCAATAATTAGGAAACCCAATGTGATCATAACTTTTTATAGATACAGACAACTCTCCTTTCAAAAGTAGTGAAACATTTCACAGAGTTTTGCAATATCTTTTTCTTGTTGTTTAAGGCATCCAGATTTTGAAAGTTTGTTAGGGTTCATGGTTCCTGCAAATTCAATTTCCTGCCACTTTGACAATATGCCAAACTGACATAATCTGTCTGTCACATACATTGTAAGACACCACAGCAGCATGTAATCAGAATTTGTCATCAAAGTATTGGGTACCTGGTGACCATTTAAAGCACAATCAGGTAAGGAGTTGAATAATTTGTACTTCATACATGTAGTTTCATGCACAGTATGCAATAATCATCACAGAATATCTAAATTTTATCAAATGTACATAGAGTACAGGTACATGTACCATTACATAAACATACAATACATGTAAATAAACATTTAAAATATACTTTTTCTGTTAAAACGTGTGAAAAAGTGAAGAAAAAAATTAAATTCTACGTAGTTTTGTATCAAATTTCACAATCTGAAGAAATAAAATATTTTGCCCGACACAAAAACAGGAATGTACATAAATATCAGCGTGAAATACATATAGGGTAAATGATAGTAATTTAATCATACTGTAAAAAGTACATAAACATGTACAAAATGCAAGAGATTAACCCACATTGTATTTAAACTGATGATACTCTTTCAAGCATAAAAATATCACTCCCAAAACAGTATCCTCTACCATGGATGGGAAATATAGAAATTGAAATACAATATATCAATGTAGTACTATATAGAAGAAATTAAAATCTGCACATCAAGAGTTGTCTACTTTACATTTTACATTATGATATTTTAAGAGTAAAGAAATTCAAAGAAATATTTCACATGCAATTAACAATTCAAAAAGCTGGGTCCCCCCCCCCCCCTCTTTATTTTAGAAACCAATAAAAGCTAACCTCAAGTGGATCTGTATGAAAATCTACATGCAGGTGCATTACCCGGTAGACTGATATTACAACAGACAACATGTTTCAAAGCCATTATCTTAATCAAGAATTATGATCGAGGTCCAATGCACTGCATAAGCACTGCTATGTAGGCAGGCATACGTACATGTACATGTACGGGTAGATGGATATAGCTTTTATCCAATCATCCAATTACCATTAGCGCGTACTTGCATGTCGCTGCTATTTCTGCATCAGTGCACTTCCATTGTGATGATGTTTACACAGAATTTGAATGACCAAAGTACAAGTTGTCCATTTTGTATTGTAAACACACCACTGGCCCACATAGCCATGAATACACATTCCTCTAAAGCAAGTATTCAATACATGTAACTACAAATGCAAGTAATTACCTGGTAGGTGTTTTTTAAAGAAATATTTATCAACAGGCAGAAATTTCAAAGGTGTATAAAAAAGAAACATCATCTATAGTTGAATTTAATATGGTACGAGCAAAAATGTGTTTCAATATGTTGGTGTGAAAAATTCATGGACTTAAGAATATCTAATTCTACAAATATGACAAACCTACTTTGACATGCAGACTTTTCTATTCTCAACCAGTGAATTGTATCAAATCACATAAAGGCTGATCTCATATTACATGTCTTTCAAAGAAGTATTGAAGGCAAATACATATAAAATAAGGATACGGTTGTTATAATCATTTATACACTGTATATATAATATTTACAGAATTCAAGCACAAGAAACATAGCCTTGTCTTACAAATCATCAATCCATTACAACAAAAATGTAGATTTGCATAAACATAACACATTTCTTATTACATTATTATGATTCATAAGACAAGGCTCCAGTGTTAATCTAAGAGATGTACCCTTTTAAAAAAGATATTCACACAATGTATCCATGCTTTAAAATATGTACATGTAAATCATATCCGTATCATATTCCTGTGCATTAACTCAGTGCAGTCCATCATCCTGTGATAACGTTAGGTGACAATAGTGAGCTGATTACATGACATTTACCACAATGTGTAGCCCCCATCTGATCCTCCTGTGACCCAGTTGGATGGTTTTTGACCCATGACGACATTCTGCCCGGTTCCGGAGGCCATCTGGGCAGCATTGGGGGCACAACCTGGTGGAGGAGGCTGTAATGGGAAGAAAAGGAAGACGCTTTAACCTTCATTGACAATGCATCTCAAATAGACTTTTATTTTAATTTAGTTTTCATTTTAATCCCTTTTTAAAATTGAGTGCTGATTTTTACAGTACAGAGTTTAGAATTACCCTTTTTTAGGAAACAGTTGATGAGAGTGTAGTAAAGTATCAAAAATGACAGGATGGTTGCTACAGTAGAATTGTCCTTTTTTTAATTGTTGAGGGTGACGACACCCCCTTGTATTTGCACCTCTGTGATAGTGTTAACACAATTATGAAGACTTTTTACAAGTAAACAACAGTTCTAAACCCTTGCCTGCTTTTAAATGATTTGGCAAATAGTTTGGAAAGTTTGGTTTAAAAAAAACCTCCCCTCTTTAAAAAAAATTCACCCAAGGTCCTTGTCTTTCACCCCCCCCCCCCCACCCCCTGCATGAGTTTGTTCTCCTAGTAACTTTCTTTTTAATATGTACCAACACCTAAAAAAAGACTAAAATCTGTATACATTGTAGCTTTTATGTAAGTATACAATCAAACTATAGGTTAATGATTAAGCTAATATGAAAGAAATAAAGGATAACATAAAACAGCATGTACAGAACCCAAGTCACCCTATTATATGCAAGTGTATACACTGTACATGTACATGTGCATTAGCTTGTCTAACCAACAAGACCAAGTCATTTTAATTTTTAATAAGAGTGTATTTAAAGCCCAATATATCCTTATAAAGGTAATATTCGAAGCTCGTAAGTCGTAAACAACATAGAGCCGCTCGCATCAAGAGAAAACTATGATTGATGAATGGTATATTTTAAACAATTTTCATAACTGTCTTCTAGACAGATGAAAATATTAATGTCTTTTTCACACATTCCTGTAATAACTACTCCTGTGCATACAGCAATGAAATACATGAAATACAGTCTGTTGGCTATAAAGCATATGAAGTAAACCAGGACTGTCAACTGCTTGGAGGGAAATTTTTTTTTTTTTGGAATTTCGCAACGACTCAGCCAGCTGCTTAATAAGCGGCGGGAGGGGAGGGGGGGGGGGGGGGGGGGGGTTTTTTCATAAACCGGGAGATTCAACATCATTGGTGGGAGAGCGGGAGGAAGGCGTGGTGGCGTGAGACTCCCTCCAAATGCGGGAGGGTTGACAGCCCTGAGTAAACTGAAACCAACACTTTTTTAAACAGGTATACCCTTACAAGCATGGAATGGACACGTAATATAAGGAATTCCATATGGAATACTGTACGAGGAAGTTTGAGCAAGTACGATTTTGAGTTATTCAAAAAAACATGTATGCCTAAATTACTTAAGTTACCTACATGTAAATTTAAATCACCTTACCGGTAACTTAAAATTGTCTAAGTTTAAAATACCAGGATTAACATTTTAAATCATTTTTTTTTTTTTTTAAACAAATTAAAGGCATATTTGTAACAAAAGATTGCAGATTGCAAATCAAATTCCTTCCTTGTCAACAGCACACAAAACATTAAATGTACATGTATCAGCCTTATGAAACTGTGTGCACAACTGTCTACTGTATGTAGTTGAACACTATGTGTAGCTAAAAAGTTGATGAATGTCAACTTTCCAAGGGCTAATAGGTATTTATTAGCTCTACTCCTGACAAAACTTTTGAGCAATTAATACCAAAAGCAGAATTGAACTGAACAAGTAAAACTCTGTTCATACTTTGTAAAATTTTATCTCATAAGAACATCAGATACTGAAAAATTACACCTTGGAGAATTAAATAACTTTTAAACTTGACTTCTGTAACCACATTGTACATGTTCAAGCACCTTCATTACTATTCACAATTTGATATACATGTACTTCCTCCTCTTATCATGTTCACACCAAAAGCAGTGTAAACATGTACGTAAATTATTAACTCAAGGACACGGGAAGCATTGTAACCAGACCAAAACATATATAATAATAATAATAATAATAGTTTGTCCTTTTATATACTGGTATTGTACATGTAGATACTAGATATCTAAATTGGTACCTTTTAACACTGTACCATATTAATGTGCATATAAAACAGGGTCATATGGGGTCATTGGAGGCTCAGTATCAGTATCTTTGGGTAGTGTAAACATACTGTACATTGCATTTCAATAAATGACCAGTTAAGGCCTGTTTTAAAAATTACATGAGCTTGCACAGTATGGTAAAAGTTAAAATTGACAACAACAACAACAAACAAAACAAAACAAACCAATAAAAAAGATGGCAAATCAACTCACTGGAATCGAAGGAGGATTTCTTGAGTTAAATCTTGCACCAGCATCATATCCGCCATTGACTACTACCGTCTGTGGTTGGGGTGGTTGATAGTAGACAGGGGCTTGTGGGTAACCAGCCTGCAGTTAATAAAAGGAAGAATACACAAATACATGTATATAAAATGGTCAAAAAGTAATTTGAACAAATATATAGACCGCTTTACCAATATATAACAATTTATGGATGTTTCTTTCCCAAGGGCTAGATTACTTGTTGCTATGTAGGGCAAGTCTTGGGCAAGCTTTTGGCTTGCTTAGAACAACGTTTTATTAAAAAGTAAGCATAAAATTTGAACATGTCAGTAAACCTGCAAACTAATATTGAGTATAATCGATCGCAACTACCGGTATGTACTTAAGATATAGGAAACTGTCAAATTACAAATTACTTGAGGACTTGTGATTCATTTGGATCAAGCGCAATTCTTTATAATTGAGGGCCCTGGACTTTCAAATGATTTACTGCATATTGTGTGACAAATTTCAATAATGTGACAGACTTGATATGCAACACCATCATATTAACACAATGATCATAGGGTAGGCCTAAACTTCTGAGCCTTTGCTGGATATAAATGTAAACTGAACATTCAGCTGTTCTTTACGTTAATCTCGACTAGCATTTTACATGTATATTCATGTAAAACTATTTTATTTTGCTGTGACAAAATGTTAATATGATTTGCCATGTATTATTACCCTGAATTAAGCTTTAGACTCCATCAAAGGAGACTTGTAAACATCTCATATGAGTCATTTGGAGAACTTACCTGTGCTGCTGGGGGAGGTGCTCCTGCTGCAGAATATGGGGGAGGGGCTCCAGCATATCCGCCAGCACCTGGAGGTGGGGCAGAATACATGTGCTGCTGATTAACTGGAGCTATCTGAGGGTTGTAGGGCTGCTGGGCAGGATAGGCCGCCCCCTGTGGGTAAGCTGCTTGCTGTGTGGGGTACGCAGCCTGCTGGACGGGGTAGGGCTTCTTGCCATCCTTTTCTGAAGAAAGAAAGAAAAAAGAGAACAGTAATAATCAGAATGGTCAATGTTATGCCATCAGGATTATGGTGCTTATTTTAGACATATCACAAACTCACAACTAGAAGCCAACATTTATCACCCAAAATTCTTGTAGAGCCTTTTTACTTGCACTGTACACTCGGCACTTGACAAACACAAGGTACGATAATACGCCAACGGCGGACTGTACTATACTGGAAGAAGAAGAAGAAGAAAAGGACAGGTCTCAATCATTCTACATCTTCATGAATAATTCAACAAAATCATTTTCAGAATGATAGGTGCGATATACTAACACAATGGTTCATATATACCTTGAAGATTTACATCCCGATACTGGGTTTAGGCACATATAGCTGCATTACTATCCTGGCTATTAACACGTAGTGCAGTGCTAGAAGTCAATACACATTAGCATTGACTCTCTACGAGTATGACTATTCTTTGCTGGAGTGGGTTTAGGCTTTCATTTAAAATCTGGTTTAACGAAGTGCGAAGGAAGTACGTCTGATACATGTAAATCTGGGATAAATCACATTTGCTTAACGTGATTTTTCCCCTGATCAGGTTTTAAAAAAAATGAATTATTGGAATATGGACCAATGAGTATTTACTGTAGATCTATTGCTACTTCTTATCAAGAACATGCATCAACTAGTTGTCTCATATCTCAATGTTAATCAAAGTACAATTTCATTTGTCAATTCGCCATGTTTGGAACATCTGGTACCAATCTACCAGGGGCCCGTTCTTAGAAACCGTCATAAGTCTAACTTCTCGACTATCCCATTGAAACGCGTATTAATTCTATAACACACGTTTCAATGGGATAGTCAAGAAGTTAGACTGACGGTTTCTAGGAACGGGCCCCATATTCATTGAAGATGATCCTTATTACAACAACGACAGAGTATATTAGGATCAAATTCATTCACAACCATAGCGTCCGAGTACAAAATAATCACACATCACAAATTCACCCACACACCGCGCAGGTACGTACATGTAGCTAGACATTGCACAGCGTACTCTCACACATTAGAAATAAATTATATGACAGGATTAGGTAAGTTAGGCCTCGGTAAACCGTATAAAATAGAAACATCATCATCGCATCGTTTTCTCCCATGAATCTCTCAAATATGTCAAATTGACGCCAGAAAATGTCAGTTATCAAACACATTGGTTACTTACTCTTCTTCCCGAAAGGCATTATTGCTATCAACACTAAATGCTTTATAATTAGAGAAAAGTGGGAAAGTCGCCGTGATCTGATCTTGCATACACAGCGCGTAGCCTTTTTATGCACACGTACGATCGAAGATAGGGATCCACCTTTTGTTTACATGAAATGGTATCGTAGTTTTAGAACCATACCATGGGAATAAGACTTTATTAATTTTTCTCTCGATGTCGATTATTTTCATCATTATATTTTGTTTTTCTTTGTAAAGATAGTTCTCCTCTCTTTACAATGTATGTATACTCAAATTTATTTATCAAGCATAAATAATTCCTTTCATTTGTGTTAACGCTATCGATAGAGGTTTGGAAAATAAGACTACATTACAGTACTGACGGAATGTTCTAAATTTAGTGCAAGGTACAATGTGCTAAATGACGTCACTAACATCACAGAAATCGAAATTTTTCCAGATAACTTCATTGGCAGCAGGTTGTTTAGTCACCACCACTAAAAAGAAAGGCAAAGACAATCGGAGAAATCAGCGGTCAAAAACAGAGGCGGATCATGGAAAGGGGGGGGGGGGGGGGACCTTTATTTATTGTCATGAATGTCTTACATGAATGTCAAACTCGATCTGTGAATGAAAAGGAGTTATAAAAATTAATGTATTTTCGTTGTTCAAAGTGCGCTCGGCAGTATAGGCCTTCCTGTGAGACCGTCATTTCTTTCTTTCTTGTTTTAAACATTGAAAAATTGAAAAAACAATAGCTTTTATAAAATCGATTAATAAGGGCAGTTGTGGGAACCTGAGGGGATTTACATAATTAAAATTAAAATTAAAATCCAAATCCTGACAAAGCTAGATTCTCATCCGAAAGCAAACAAACAAAACAAAGCGAAAGTAATCAAGATACGCTAAACCAGGAACCAAACCTCAACATATAACAAAGGAAAATTCTTTAAAAACAATACTGTCCTCGCAGCAAGTTACACAGCCGACAAAATTAGAAATATTGTTATTATCACGAAATAAACAAAACACAATAGGAGCATAGTATATTATTAAAAAAACCTCAACAAATCAAAAGGTAAATAACATCGACAAAAAAGCAATGTTGCTATTTTAGCTTACTAAACGTCTATTATCTTAAAAATTAACAAAGGTGTTGGATGAGATTTGACCGAGGACGGGGGGGGGGGGGGGGGGGAGGGGTGTAGCTATTTTGCATGCACTTTCTATAGTCTGGGTGTGTCAGTCAACTAAAACAGTCCTTACATGTATGTAGTGTGTTGTCAGCCTATAGTCTTACTGTACAGACTGTTACTCACACGACCGAGACCAGGGTTTGTGCATGCAAACTATATGAGATTTTAAAAGTGTGTCCGTGACTCCATTATCTAAACAAAACACACAATCATGTATTATTACTTATCAGGAAGGATTCTACTCCATTTGTATATCGACCGCAATTTTGTTTTTGTTCGATTTTTCTCAAAAAAGTTTAATCATGACTTGTGTTAAACGTCCAAAAAGTTAGGTAATGTCCCACTCTGTCAATCTTTTAAAATGTGCAGAATATACAGCTTGGCATGACTAGTTATTCTTCAAATTGTATTCCTCATTAATTTATTGTATCATTGTATCAGGAAGTTTAACTGAAAGTAATTGTCCAAGGTATTTCATAATATAATAAAGACCAAAATATTTGACCACCGCCCAGCATTCTTGTGTTTCGTGGCCATGTGAATCACGCTATAGTACAGAAGGTATATTATGTAGATCTTATACGATGTATCTATAATTTTTGTTTATTAGTATCCCTACTAAATTACATTTTTGACCAGTTTCACACGTAATATTGTGCGTGTGAGGGAGGGCGGTATAACAACATCGCCCATAATCTATATAATATACTCCCCGTTCCGTAGAAAACTTTAACGAGTGTGCACAATTTCCATATTTTTAAAATATACATCTGGAAAACTAAAATAAAACAAGGAGAACATTCATATTCAACCTGCCTTTCTCCACATTTCTGATACAGACGGTGTCCTTTTTATTTCCCATCATTTTTGCACAATGTTTTATGAGTGAAATTTTGATGGTAGGCCCCTGCTGTTCAGACAATTTAGACGTCCTGTGTATTTGATTTGATTTGATTTGATTTATTTATTTTTATATCATATTTTAAACATACATATATAAAAAAAAATATATATACTGTCCATCAGTGTGATATAATTAACGTCTTCACTACGATTTCGTTAGACAAAACTAATAACCCCTTATGTATAATATAGGACATGTCACGAGCAATTTTGGAAGATTAAATTATAACTAACCCTTACGATTTTACAGACATGAAACGCCAAAGGCCATTTCTATTATGCAAAAATCACTCATGCTAGCTCTCGATTATATGCATGTTTTTCAAAACATCCAAATCTGTGCGGGTATACGCATTCAAGCGAAGGTCGTATATGGAACAACAACGTTGATGTCCTTCGAAAACGATTATTTCATACTTCGTTTCATTCCTAACTCACCTCAATAGTAATTTGATATCTAAATATTTATGAACATATGACCAACAACAATCACATAGAGCACCATCAAGCATACAACTATTGTGTCGTACATCATGTACATACACACAGAAATATATATATATCAGTAACTTTCCAATATTTACCTTGCGACATGGTTGAATTTTCTCTCTAAAATCAAGCTACAACGAAACAGCTATAACTAGTATAATGCTTATCCAAGCAAGATAGGGTGTGATGTTTGACAACAAAATGACTGCCTTCTGTAAATGGATAACTACAAATGATAATATACTGTGCCAGCATTTGCATATAATGGTCCAATAGGCCTACTGGTAAGATCAGTACAGAGTCCACTTCGTATAGTAAGCGGTATCTCAATTGAAATGCATTATTGATCGGTGGTGAGAGAGGGAGGAAAAAAGAGTTACATAATTGTATTTACACAGGTCTCAATGCGTGTATGACGCCAATACCTTGAATAGTATGCAAATAAGCCTGGTGTCAGACGTCAGAGATAAAGATACCATGGTTAGAACAGGGAGTTGAAATTCCAACTCCCTATATACCTATATACTTAGAACCACGGAGTAAGCTACGTACTACCTTTAGTAACTCCATGTTAGAACCAAGGAATAGAACGAATGCCACAAGTGATAATTCTACATCAACAATTTCAGACTTGTTTGCATTTTACTTTCATCTGTCTTTTTTCCTAGATCATTAAAAAAAAACAATTGAATATGATAATCCAACACAAACCACTGCACCGCTACGCTTTCCAAATTTGTGACTGTTTTTTCGTGTGTGGTAATATTCAGTATTCATCTTGAAGATGGCTGGCAAGGACTTCAGAGCTTAAACAAGGGAACACATGCAAACGTTTTTGGTTTACAGTAGACTTGAGCTGGCAAAGGGCAGCCATTAGATGATTGGGCTACCATGTTTCTCCTATGCTTTATTCCATACCAGTCCATAAGGTATCAATGTTTATTCTCATTGCATGGGCATAATAGATATTATACAACGTCATATTGAAACTTTTAATATGATGATAGCAGGTTGAGACATCACAAAAAGAATTGTCTTTCCATTTTTTAAATTTTTGTAATTATTTATTATATAGGGTACAGATTCGGTCGATGGACTTGAGTCATCTAAATCATCATCCATGAAGAAAAAAAATCTTCCAGATCTTTGATTTTTGGTCCTCTTCTATTTGAGATTGTTGTCTCCTGAGTTGTCTTTAATAATAATACATTCCTCATTGAGAAAGTTTTGGGTTTATTTGAACTCGAATATCTCAGGATAAAACGAAACATCTAAATACTTTGAGTTAAACAAAAGTTAAGACTTCTTAAAATGGCAAAAAGAAATCTCAGATTAGAGAATTTCTAAAAATATCACTAGATAATGATATATTTTTTATTTTTTACTGTATGTTTGGTATTGATACAGAAGTCGACACACGTTTGACCTCCATGTATATTAAGTAAGGAATATTTCTAAATGACTATTCTATTTCTTTGTTTACTTATATAGTTTATGTTACATGTATATAATGTAGTATAGTAAAAAAAAAAATAGTTTTAAAATTCTTGCCAAAGACAGGGAACCAGACTCGACTGGCACTTGTGCTAACTTCTGGTACCCCCTTTAACAACAAAAGTGTACACATACTATTTTATTCCATTTATATACGACATACTTTGTAAAACAATATTTATATTATTCATGTGTTATGTTATCGATCTTGTGTTATATTGTTATATTTTATGTAATCATGCTTGATAAATTATGTTTTGATTGTTATTATTTTTGTTGTTAATAAACTCAAACTAAAACTCAAACTCAAACTCAAACTCAAAGGATCACTTAAGGGATAGTTGAATTCTGTTGCAGAGGGCGCTACACAAAATAACTTTTTTGTGAGATAATGAAAAACTGAGTGTCAAATCTGAAAGAACATAATATTTAAATGACAAAATCATCTTTGTTTGATCAAAATTGGTTCAGAGACGGTTGAAATATAGCGATTTCTAATACTTGTGTACCACCACAAATATTAGATTTTTTGAAAAATTTGAAAAAAACCGTTGAAAAAAAAAAGAAATAACACCTTTTACGTCGTATTTCAGCAATGTCGATTTGGGATTTTTTTGTTGGCATTTTCGTGTTGATTATATTACGCACAACCAGCCGGCCCATGTTTTGTTATTTTTAATCAAATTATTAATTAACGGTCACCGTGTTTTTTTTTAAGGGGAGCTGAATTGGTATGCTCGTATTGGCTAAATTTCACACATTTTGGGATCTAAAATTACCTTCATAGCAATTTTAGGTTCTAAAAGGGCACTAGAAATGTCATAGATAAGAATAAGAGCAATAACCATTGAACCAGAACTCAACTATCCCTTTAACTTAACATCCCATTGACTAATTTCAAAATAGGTTTTTTGTTGTTGTTGTATTTGTGTGTTATTGGTGTTCGATGATGGCTACAGGGAGCAGACATGGTCTGGTTTTGTGATATAAAATCCACTTAATCTTACACTTTTAACTGCAGATCGTGTATTTTATTTACCTGATTTTGCTTTTTGAACATATCTTCAAGCTTTTGATATGATTATTTTGTTCTTTGATACCTTCTGGAGGTAGAATATTGTGATAGTTTTACAGCCATTTTCTGCCAAGGAATTTGAACACACACCTGTAGTCCCATATGGAGGATCCTGAGTTTGCTTATTTTGCCCAGCCTTCTTCATACCTACACTACAGGCAACAATAACTGTAATGTATATTTTCTGACTGAATTATGCTTATATTATTCTTATGATATAGAAGCAATTACTCACTGGGATTTAAATCATTTACCAGATGATTTAGCTTACGGTCTACTACTACTAATAGCTAACCTACATAAAATGGGTGTAGCTGAGTGAGTGAGACTGCTGAGCTTTTCTGACTTCCCTTTGTTTGTTCTGAATACGTATTGAATATTGAATACTGTCCTGCCAAATTTAATCACCGGTATTCATCACCGTTCGACTTGCAAACGCCATCATGAAGAATTACTTCTTACCACCCTCTTCTTCTAGATCACATCCACTCCTTCTAGCAATACTCTCAATAGTGTGTGCACTTAAACTATTGAAGAGTGGAAACCTGTACACGCAGATTGCAGACCATAGATCAGCTTCTTTACCCTTCTTCGATCTACACGCAACGCTGTGTGAACCAAGATCACTACACCAGCCTACTAGAAGGCGTACTTACACTGCAGATATTGATAACTGCAAACTGTTACTTTTTACATCATCCTGTAATAAGTGGAATCGAAATACAAAGCTTTGTCCACTTGACTTCAGGTCGACTTCTTTGAGCCACCTAACCATCCTACTTCTCCTCAGCGGACAAGTTGAAACCAACCCTGGTCCATCAACTAGTGCTCCTGAGACATTTCCATGTGCCATCTGTGGGGATGAAGTGAGAGACAACGACCCTGCTCTCTTATGCGATCACTGCGACTGCTGGTGCCACATCTCATGTGTCGGTATCTCCCCAGACTCCTATGATATCTTGACGAAGAAGTCCAGGAGCTTCGCTTGGGTGTGCTGCCAGTGTTCCTCTACCAACATAGGGTCAAGCAGCTCGCTGCAAGGTCTTAACCTCTCACAGACCAATCGTTTCTCACCCCTTCACCACGACTCCAGTAATGAAGAAATCCTTCCCTCCATCAACCCTCTAACCTCTACGCCTACATCGAGCCCTGGGGGATGTCGTCAACCACGATTTCACCCTCCATCAAGAAATCGCAAAAAGGCATTTAAAGTGATGGTTGTAAACTGCAATGGTCTTAAGGGGAATGCTAAAAAATCAAGCTTCCATGCAGCTATTGCTCACCACACTCCTGATTTTGTTTTTGGTTGTGAATCAAAACTGGATGACAGCTTATCATCATACTCGATCTTCCCAAGCAATTACTCCATCTACCGTAAGGACAGAAACATCCATGGAGGTGGTGTTTTCATAGCAATCATCGACACGCTAATTGTCACTGAATGTCCAGAGTTTGACTCAGACTGTGAGATACAGTGGTGCAACGTGCAACTTGCAAATGCCAAGCCACTGTATATTGGTAGCTACTACTGCCCCCCCAACAACAGACAACAAGGTCTTGAAGGCTTGCACCAGTCATTGTCCAAGATTATGACAAGGCACCGGCGCAGCCACCCTAACATCTTGATAGCCGGCGACTTTAATCACCCAGACATCAACTGGGATGACCAGTCGACTACAAATCCAGCCACTTCTACTTGTCACCAGAAGCTGTTGGATATCCTTTTGCACAACTCCTTGTCTCAAACAGTCAGGGAAGTCACCCGACCTTCATCCAACAACATCCTGGATCTAGTTGTGACGTCAAATCCCGCCCTGGTTGAGAATGTGTGCGTAAAGTCTGGGATATCAGACCACAACATCGTCACTTTTACTCTTGCTGCAAATCCAAAGATCTCTGTCAAGCCCCTGAGGAAGATCTACCAGTTCCACAAAGCTGACGAACAGCAACTGAGAGATGCAGCAGCCGAATTTGCGACGGAATTCCTCCAATCAGATCCAGAAAGAAGATCAGTGGAGACAAACTGGTCTATCATTGTCAACTTCTTGAACAGGTGTTTGTCTGAGCTTATTCCTTCCAAAATGAGCAAAGGAAGGAAACATCTTCCTTGGATTACTCCTCCTTTGAAACGCCAGATGAGGAAGAGAGATAGCCTATTCAAGAAGGCACACAGCCAGTCTTGCTCCACAGCTTGGACAGCCTACCGACAATAATATTCAGGAACCAAGTTGCCAAGAATGTGCACAGAGCACGTTGTGAGTACGTCAACAACATCACTGGGGCAAGCCTTAAGGACAACCCAAAGTCTTTCTGGTCTTACATCAAGACATGTCGTTCTGAAAACATTGGTATTCCTACCTTGCGTACTCCATCTAAACTATGCGCCTCAGCATTAGACAAGGCAGAGACACTGAACGACTACTTCCAGTCTGTCTTCACTCCTCACCAGCTCCAACCTCTTGTACAGAAAGGACCTTCTCCTTTTCCAACTATTGGTCACCTGCATGTTCACAGGACTGGTGTCGAGAAACGCCTCCAACAACTGGACCCTTCAAAGGCCAGCGGACCTGATGAACTTCCACCCAAGCTCCTAAAGTTGGTAGCTCGCGAGATTGCTTCTCCACTGTCCTTCCTGTTTCAACAAAGCTACAACAGTGGCATCGTTCCAGCCCAATGGAAACAAGCACTGGTTACCCCTATTCACAAGTCGGGAGAAAAGTGTGACCCCTCCAACTACAGACCGATCTCACTTACCTGCGTTTGCTGCAAAGTCATGGAACACATCATCCTGAGCCATGTGTCGAAGCATGTTGCAGTGAATAATATCCTCACTGATGCACAGCATGGCTTCCGACGAGGGTTGTCAACAACCACTCAATTGACAACAGCCGTCCACGACTGGTCCTCCATCCTACAGCAGCGTAGCCAAGCTGATATAATCTTCTTGGACTTCAAGAAGGCGTTTGATCGAGTACCACACCTTCTCCTGTCAACCAAACTTCAGTACTATGGAATAAGTGGTGACTCACTCCAGTGGATAATGTCTCTCCTCACTGATAGACAGCAGGCAGTTGTAGTTGATGGATCCAAATCAACATGGAGGGATGTAACATCTGGAGTCCCCCAGGGATCCGTCATCGGCCCTACCCTCTTCCTGTTGTATATCAACGATATCCAAGACAACATCCAGTCCACAATGCGTCTCTTCGCAGATGACAGCACCCTCTATCGTGAGATTCGATGCCCTGAGGACCATCAAATCCTAAAGGACGATCTCCAACAGCTGTCCAGGTGGTCTTCAAACTGGATGATGGACTTCAACGTGAAAAAGTGCGCTATCCTCACCATCACACGGAAGCGTACTCCCAGCATCCGAGAATACCACCTGTCAAATGGACTGATTCCGAGAGTGAAAGAGTACAAGTACCTTGGAGTAACGGTTGCTGCTGATCTCCGTTGGAACAAGCACTGCCAAACCATCCGGCATAAAGCAAGCCGTACTCTAGGTCTTCTTCGCAGGACTCTCTCACCCTGTACCAGGGATGTAAAGTCCAGGGCCTACACAGCCTTAGTGCGCCCCCAATTGGAGTATGCCTCGGAGGCTTGGAACCCACACAGCGTCACGGTCACAAAAATGCTAGAGCAAGTACAAAGAACAGCGGCTCGCTTTGTGTACCGTGACTACAGATACACCACATCACCATCAGCTCTTGTGGCAGCTCTAGGGTGGGACACGCTTCACACACGTCGAATCCTCGACCAATGCACCCTTCTCTACAAGATCCATCACCGACTTGTCTCCATACCTGCACCAACTATTGTTATCCCCGCTACATACTTCGGAAGACATGACCACAACCTGAAGTATGTAATTCCTGTTGCAACTATCGACTCCTTCAAGTTCTCATACTACCCAAGAGCAATAAGGATCTGGAACCATCTGCCAGGCTCTGCAGTCAATGCAACAGGAATAACCAACTTCCAGGAGGCTGCTCTACCCTCCATCAGAACGATGCAGCCCCCCATTGGTTCTCACATCATATAAGCTTAATAGCTTGGTTTTTACTTGCACTGGACTTAGCATATTTTACTGTAAATTGACAAGTGCTTTGTCCACACACCATTCCAGCAATTCATGACACTCCTTGTAGTCACTTGCCTCACCTACCATCCCAGTATAGCTTCCTGAGTGAGCTGCCAAAGGGATTACCCAACCAAGTACCAAGTGTGTGTGAGAGTGTGTGTGTGTGGGGGGGGGGGGCTGGATTGTCGTTTATACTACATTGCTAAAAGTGAAATATAATGATTTTGAAAATATGTGCATTCTGTAGTTTAAGTTTAAAAAGACTTGTCCAAAATATGTAGATTTTTTTCCCCATTAAATAGGGATGACAGGGGTTAGAAGTTGTGTATGAAATTCGGGCACAATAAAATCCCTTAGGCTTTTTATCAAACAGGGAATATGCATTCATCTAAATCAGGAACATCAGATGTGTAGATCATGATAATTCAATTCACCTCATAATAGTGTTAGAAGCTTCCCCTTGGCTGGCTACTTGGGCTGCTTTGCTTGCCTTTTTCACTTCTAGATATTGTATATCCAGCTTGTGTGGCAGCCCTCCTTGCAAGTCATTCTTCATTGCTTGAAGGAAATCAGGACCTTCCTTCCATGTTTTCGATTAAAAAAAACTTCTTCAATTCCGTTCCTCTTAAAGCCCGTCTGTACTAGTTCGGCCAGGGGGGATCAGACCAACCATCCTGCGTGGTCACTGACAGGTGGCTATCTCACAAACTCAGCTCTTAATTAATATAACAAAAAGGGAACATGGGGGACCAACGTGCACCGCTTAGGCATTGAGAGGTAGCTAGAAGAATTAGTGGGGCTTTAATCAAATATCAGTAGGATTCAGTGATGACTCAACATACATAACATGGTGTGGCGTGGATCCATCATGAATTACTGCCAAACGATTGCTAACAAAAGTCTGAAACCTTGATATCTCATCTCATAATGAAACCCAGTACTGTCATACTATGAGTAGGTCCTCTTCACTGGTATCTCAAGTTCCCTTTTCAGCATCATGTTCACTCCGATTGCAACACATACTAATATTAACTCCATTCTTGGAATTGAGATATCTTCGAATAGTGTCACCCTAGATTTGCTCATTAGAAAAGAACATCTTGGCTCTCTTGACATTAAGCATTTGAAAGTAGGAAATTGTGTCATATTCCACTTCACTTGCATCTGATAATTGATGTAGAGAGATCGACTCGGCATCCTTAGCACCTACTGGTTTTAAGCATCTCTCTATTTTTTCCTGACAATTCTGGCAGCTTATCTAACTATCCCTGCTATCTTCCCTGGACCATCTGACACGGACACTACCAGATGCAGAGGGCTTTGTTGTTCAGTTGCTTAAAATGTACACTCAGACATTCAAGACAGTGTGGGCCGTATGATGGTATGATCCATCAAGTTCCATGTACACAATCTTCATCTACAGATCCTCTTTACTCTTCATTTTTACTTCCATGTTTTTATGGCGCCAAGTTGAACGTTCAAAGCTATCTCGTGTAGTGAAGAAGCATTCCATGTCAGGGTGAATAACGCTTGATTAAGGTTCTCTCCCTCTACAGTTGTTACAGTAGCACATTATGGGTTATCAATGCCACATGTATTTCAATTTTGGGGTGAAATTTGCAGCTTTCTGTGACAGAAAGCTTCTGCCTACACATGGCAGTCTGTTGTTCTTTTTCTACTTCTCTGCTTGTATAGTGTCTAATTATATTATGTTGATATCTTTCTCTCCACCAACCTTACCATTTTCTTGAAATCTGCATTATCTGTTATGATGATGGTAGCATATGAGGTAGAAACAATTGCTTGCATTGAATTTTATATTTGTTGTTTGTTTTCAGAGCTCGCTTTTTTGACAAAGAAGTTATTTTTCTGTTTTTTATTCAAGAATCACTAAGAATGAGATCCTGTATCCTTCCATTCCTCCGTTACTCTCTGTGATTACAGATGTCGTCTTTTTTACAGTTCTTTGTTCATTCAGGCATACATTTCCCTTTGTAGTAGTGCATGATCTATATTGAGTCTACTTTTTATGCCCCTTGCGTGTATTTATGATTACAAGTTTATCATTTCTCTTTTCATTTAACCCCCCCCCCCAAAAAAAAAAAAAAGATAGTGATAATTATGATGATTTATTTCTGCGTCTTCTTGATTCGTGTCACCGATCTCTTGAAAAAGGAAAAAAGAAAAGTGAAAAACAGGAAAGCAGAAGAGAAAAAAGACATAGACAACCTTTCGATTTTAACTTAATTCAACAATGTTCTTTTTGTAATGACAACGTATCTCATGTTCATCCAGAATACATTGTGAGATTTTTTTTTTACTGGTAGCGTTCATTCTGGCCTCTCCAGGGCGTAAGTTAAAGCTAGATGTAAAGATGTATACTAGGATGCCCAGTAATCATAATCTTTTCCTTGCTAGCATGTTTAAAGAACATAAAAATAGGCACCAATTTAGTTGCAAGTGCTTTAGGAAGAAACGAAGGGTGTTTAGTAGATGTGTTTTACATACATACATAAATATTGATATTTATATAGCGCCTTTACATAAACATGCTCAAAGCGTTTTATCTAAAATATCTCAGTCTACCACCTCATCTTATATGGGTTGGAAATATCAGGATAAAGCAGAACTCGTCACATAGTTGTTATGTCATGTTTACAAAAAAATAAAATATTATTGAGTATAACTGATGAGATCCCAGTTACCAAAATGTCGTCATCCAAGTCTACAAGAGCTTGTTCTTATATGCTGCCATCTGCTGTCAATATCACTGTTGGTATTTCTAAAGTTCTCTCTCTTCCTACTCGTTACTCTCTTCTTGTCATGTCGTCCTCCCTTTCATCATCAAATCATCATAAACTGTTCCGTCCATTGTGTCTACTCCATTGTCAATGGAGTCCAATGCCTAAGAAATTGATTACATTAAGACGCCATTGCTGTGCCATTTTTCTGACGAGTTCCTCTATTGATGAAAATAATGATACCCTAATCCCATGAAAATATATTGCCGGGAAACTGGTATTTTCTGGTCATCCATAGCTACTATAGTTCTGTGCCATTACACTCAGATTCGTCCACAGTTTTTAGTGGGAATAACAATCAATTAAGCAACATGACAATAACAACCAACAACTGTACATGCAAGGGGACCAAAATTATATCCTATTAAACATATTGTTTCTTATAGATGAAGCTCCATAAAGTTTGAATATTTACAAACATCCATTGTTCCGTTGTATTGCTTGCAAATCTAACTTTTTTTTTTTATATATTTTTTTAAAAACTTTACTACGATAGAAAGGATTAGTTGTAGGACATTGAGCCAGAGATTCTATAAGATAACTTATAAATGTACATTGTAACTGCATGATGTTTGGTCAGTTTTGAGTTCACTTGTTTCAAGTATCATCGCCTGTTACATGTAATAGCAATACAAGGTTCATTTGTCATTAGAAAGAAAAAGGGAAGAACAGCTTTTGAGATTAATTGAAAAATATGTGGTCATCTTGTCGGATAATTGGTTGCATACTTACATAGCAAAATGTTCAGAATCGATATGTGAAAAATATTTCTCAAAAAGACTATATATATATATATATATATACATATTTTTGTCATTCTCTTGTCTCGATCTACAGTAGATGTATAACTATAATTAGGTCTATTTTGCCCTACTTTCTTTTTAAAATTACGTTTTTACTGTTTTAGCCCAAGAATTCATTGCTAATATTATACTTGCTACGGATTTAGATTTTCCTTGAGATCTAAAGTGACATAGCGCTTCAAAGGCCCTTGGGAAGTAGGACCCGAAAGGATGTTAAGTAAACATTGATTTTTATATGTGTGGGCGAGTGTGTATGTGTAGGAGGGATTTTAGGCCCCAACAGATTTATATCAGTATAAGAAGCCACGGGAGAAATGCTACCATATACATGATGTACACACCTTTTTCCAAGGGTTATCCTGGAGTGGTTATGAATACTATTTTTAAATAATTTTCCTCATCCCACTTGACGAACTTGTTTCCAATTCATAGTACAAACTTAACAATCAAATAAGCTCCTTGTCTTTCAAGAAAAATATGCCTTCAAACCATCATTTATCAAATTTTTACTGTAATTGACCCCTAGAACCTGCCCAATGTGTGTACTCTCTGGATTGAAGGTACTCGAAATAATGATATTTTTTAAAAATAAAATAAATGTCATTTGGCAGGATTTTAACCTTATTTCAAAATCACTGGCTTTTAACATAAATGTAGATCAGACTTGCATGACTTTGAAATAAAGACGTCACACTGCACACGTGTTTGAAGAAAACTTAACAAAATTGGCTCACTGGTTTAGTAGTAAGAAATCCAGGCCTATTTATTAGCCTTTTTTTTGTAATACTTCATAATAATCTCACCAAAGTATATTTGGATGTGTCCATTCATCTTGCTCTATTGTATCATGGTCGTCATGATCACTTCTTGTATTTTTCCTGTTGATAAATTTATGTTTTTCAAAACACTAATTTCTATTGCCATTAACAGCTTAATAGAAGGTTGTATTCGATTAAAAGTAGAACATTATTTGTAATCTGAAGCATTGCCATAATACATTCGCTTTTATGTAAAAAAACAATTGTAGCAAAGTCACATAAAAAGACTCTCTTTAAAACACCCTTAGAGTAAAATATAAAAAATGGCTAGATAGTTTTAATCTAACGTACAAATTTTATTGTCACTTATGTGATGTCCATGTACTGATATTTGTGTTCAATAACTTTTCTACATTTGATTATTTGCAAGATGAAGTGAATTCCTTTATCATTTGGGTTTTTACAGACCTCAGTATTATCCTTTATACTATACAACTGGAATTTCCAATAAATATATGAACTTTTTTTTTTTACAGTGCACTTGCATGACCAGAACTAAATTTATCTTTATCCTGTCAAAATGTATTCTAAAGAAAGTC